CTTGGGGTGCGGCGCGCTCCAAGCGAACAGGGGTTATATAAATCGAGGCCTATGATTGCTTGCTCAATCCCAGGAGTCGGGACTCTGGATAACCGACGAATCACCGTTCTTTTATGTACACTTTAGTAGTCGGATCATGGATCCACCATCTTGTTGTAGTGTTTGCCATGGATCTCAACCCCAGGACAATTTTATACTAATCTATCTCTGATCTGCATCCTATATAATGCTCTCCCTACACATATGGCGACCGGGGAATATTCAAAGTAAATTTCGTTCTCAGTTTATTCCCACTTTCTACTTCCTACCCCGATACATTTCAACCTTAAAAGTCATTGCCGTGGTTGAAGAAGGTACCAAACATTACTTACACAGAAAGAAAAAGCGAGCACCTCGAGCGCAAGTATTCCACGCCCCCAGAATTGCAGCTACTGATACTTTTTCCAAAACAGTTTGTGAAGAAACCATGTCGTCTCTCGACCCCGCGTTGTTATCTGCGATCGCGAATTGTTTGACCCCCACCGCCATTCTTCTGGGGGCGGCTATCTCGCCCTGGTTGACTCGACAGTGGGCAGCCGGTACGCTTGGCCGCTTGGTTTTCATTCTCCGTGGTGCTAATTTTGCGGAGATACAGGAACCACGAATATACCGTCCACCTCCCCACAAGGAACAGATCGTGCTGTCTGACAAGTTTCCTTTGCGACCTGCATGTTCAACCCTGTGTCAGTCAGGTCGCGTGTTGGCACAGGTGACTACAGATTGGTGTTCAGAGGTCTCCTATTCAGGCTGTGGATAGAGTCAGATATACGGCGACTGGCTTTTGGTGATTAACAATGGCAGCTATCACGTTGTGAATATGCAATCAAGTACCTATATTCTGTAAATTGGTTTCAACAGGGTCAGATAAGGAACTTTACTCAGGGCGTTAGTTATATGGACTATAGTTAGAGCTCTCTCGACCCCGCTAATCTCGAGTTCTCAATCGTATTCTACCGTTCTCACTGATAATTTGGTTCAATTTATGAGAGGCTCATTCAAACTAGTCAACCCGAGCCAGGGGCACGGTAGGGGGAATCTATGCGGTTCTGAAAATAGCGTCCTGGGATTGACCGTACATCGCACGCCACCTTCTTGAGACAAGGTCCTCTGAGGCCTGAATGTGTCTTACCGCAACATAAGAATAAACAAAGATTTCAATCTATTAGCCCTAATGTATGTATGTTAATCCGGAAAGATACATCTCAATCCAGCTAGCGGAATCATGATTAGGGTAACTAAACCTCCTCTTCCCCGCACGTGGCACCACTAACCCTCCGCGGGTGGAACCTCAACGAGGCGCACGGGAAGAAAGAAACGGTATCTGAATCCTGATTGCCTCGGACGTGACCAACCCCAACGCTTAGTGCTTATGCTATGCATGCCGAACAAGCATGGCGCAACGCGGCTGTTCGTGGGTCTTGCAGAAACTGACAGGTTGAGGCTTGCGGGGGGGGAAACCTATTTAGGTTTCTTGACTCGTGTTGTTACTTAAGAGTTGAGGTTGAGTTTGACTTTACTTCATATTTTGTTTGTTGGACTTTATATGTATGCGGCTTTCTGGTCGCTCGCTTGAACTTGATAAAGGGTGGTGATATGCTTCCCAAAAGTCTGCATCAAGTTGCTGTCATGTCGCAGAATGAGGATCTCTCGTTTAAGCCGCTGGATGATTGGACCTTTATGACTGAGAGGGAGTTGGATAGGGGTGGGGTGGAAGTATTGGAGAGAGATAAATGTCAGTTTATTTCTCTTGGTATGGTTAGCTTGTTTGCTGATGTTATGCAGTGACTGGAAAATACCATAGTCGCATGTCGACTCTTGACTATAAACTTGATGTAAGATATCTTATACAAACAGCGAAGCACTGAATGCCAGAATGACACATTTCCAGACTGGACATACTATTCCGCATGGCATACTGCAAGTAACCCTATCTCGACGATCCCACAAAATCTAACACCGCACAGGTTCACAACCACCAAAGGGCTAGACACCTGGGCGACTCGACAGCGCCGCGGCTATTTCCCATCAACCTTCTGGTCGGTCGTATCCAAGAACCTCAACGGTACATTCGGGTGTGAATATCATCGAGATGGGAATGGGAAAGTACTTACCCACGGTGGGTTTCATCCCATCCCAGATTATGCTCAATGCACACCATTACAACCAAAGATAATAACAAAGATAGACTCCTGGAGCTGTTTCAAAGTAAAGCGCATCTGGAAAATGCCCACCTCATTCACAGTCTACGACCACTGGACCCAGCTCGCCGTGTTTGTGCGCCACCATTTCGAAACCTCGACTCCACTAGTCCTGTTCCTCAACTGTCCCGACCAGATCAAGTCCCAGCTGCGCTCGTCCATGTCCTCCATCCTAACCAGCGATCCGTATTCCTGGCACGCTGCCTTCGCAACCCAAATCAGGGATGCGTACGACCAAGCCATTTGGGACCTCCGCGGGGTAGTCTGGGAAGTCGAGGCCGTGAGGATCCACCCCCACCTGTGCCTCGAGAGAATCCCAAAACTGACCTTCCCAGTACCAAAAACAACTCGGCAGCTTCCAACCCCAATTCACTCTCCTCCACGACATGGCCAGACATATCAGCCACAACAAGGAGATCCTGGATGTCGCATCAGACACGTTGGACAGTATACTGTACGAACAAGCGGTGCTGGATGAACAGCATCCCCGGCCGGCGGACAGGGTACCCTGGCACGTCAAAGACGTTCATCGGCAGTTGTATCTCACGTCGAAAGGGATCCGGGCGACGAAGCTGCGATGTATATCTCTCAGCGAGCGACTGCAGAATGAGATCAATTTGGTGAGTTTGCCTCACAAACTTTCCCATTCATACAGTGAAACTGGCTTATATTAACTATTAACTATGACCAAGGCATTCAACATCGTCTCCCAACGCAACAACGAAGCCTCGGTGCAGATGGCCCAGAGCGCCTTGGTGGATAACACGATGATGAAGACGGTGGCGATCGTCAGTCTGGTTTATTTACCGGGGACTTTTGTGTCGGTGAGTATTTGTACTTTGGGAAAGTGGATGGTTGAGTGAGTTGCTGATCGGATAGGGTATCTTCGGGATGAACTTCTTCAACTTCGATACCACTGAGTCTGGGGCTATGGTGTGGGCCTTGTCGGATAATTTCTGGTTGTACTGGCTTGTTACGATTCCACTGACGCTTACCACGATGGCGGTGTGGCTACTCTGGTTCAATCGGGATGTTATTACAAGGGTGCTTTGTGGATGGACAGGTGGAAGGCCGGGGAAGGGCTAGTGTGCTTGACGATGGAGGTGGTCACTAGCTTATGTTTGTATGATTTACGACGTTTAGGGACATTGTTTTTGCTAGCGGATATTGACGATGGAGTGCATATGGAAATAGGCAATCAAATAGTATATCGACTGGCAGTTGTTCGTATCTATGGTCATAAGTTGATTAAATGTACAAGGTGATGCCGGAGATTGGCGATATAGTGTTGAACTGGTCGAGTTGAATACGACAAGGAAAGCGTACTGCAAGGTCGCTCATGGCCGCCCTAGCGACTAAATAACAGGCTGGCATGAGGTTGAATCTCGTAACGGACGTAAAGCCATTATATGTTGCGGTCTATAGACCGGGATCATTAAATATTTCACGAGTCGAAGCCCACTGACGCGATGTATGACGGCAACGCGGTTGGGTCGCGCTGGGCGTAAACGTGGACCGGCGCTTTCAGGTGAAACGGCGAAGCGCCGGGAACCACCAGTCGCAAGTCCAGGGCGTATACACGGGAGGTAAGGCAGGTGTGGAAAGACGGGATGAAGTTCAGACGTGGCAATGTGATGGGCACTAGCAGTGTTGCTACGTAGCAGTTGTCTTCGACGGGTACCCAGTCTAAAGATGCTATGGAGTACGAGAACGGCGGAAATGGGGATTCGGAGTAATTCTTCGGTCTCCCGAAGAAGTCTTTCTTCTTCGCTGGTACGTCTTCATAGTGGGACGCTGTGTAAAAGGTAGTAGCAACGAGTCGTCCCCGGAATGCCTGGATCTGGGGCAGGACTGACTGCTCCCCTGTGACTCGGTAATGCAGGAACAGGTTGACGGTGCTGCTGATTAAACTGTGTGGATCTCGTAGCGGGAGACGAAAGCTTTTCGGTGGCTCCAGCGTCACAGTCAGCTGGCCATACTCCTCCTTTGTGCGACTGTCGAGGACTGCGCGATCGGCTTCTAAGCAATAGTCATTCACGCCATGCAAGAGATCCAGAGGCGGCCATTCATCGACGGCCGGTTTGACCCGGAGCTTGATCTTGTGCACGAGCAGAATGTCCCGCTTGTTGATCGCTGGGATATTGCGAAACAAAGCGGCTTGGATGGTGTATAGAATTTTGCATTCTGGGGGCGCATAGTCGTCCTTTAACTTGCCTCCGAAGCCCGATACAGAGGGATCGCCGAAGCTTGGGGGTGGCCGTAGATGGGCCTGTCGAATGGCCGGGCTGGTAATCATATGGTTGCAGACATCAGGCGAGAGATGGTCTGGCACCTCGAAGGTGAATTCAAAGCGATACCTGTGACGTTCCTTGAAGAGCTTGCCGGGGGGGAAACATGAGTCATCAATTAAGTACTTGAGGTCCTGGAATTGGCGATAGGCCTTTCCAGTTTGTAGTGTCGTCCGTTCCTCTCCTGTTACCATGTTAGACGGTGCAGCTGGCAATGCTCGCCTAGGACATACCTATAAACGAGATTTCGATCCCATCAACCCGAATATCACAATGCGAACGAACGGTGACGACACCTTGGATTTTGTCTCCCGTCAAATGGGAGTAAAGATAGGACTCATGGGTGCTATTTTGCCCCGTTCGCAGAGCGATGTCCACCGAGAAGATGTCAGTGATACTCATTGCTCTGGACCCGACAAGATGGCGAGTGCTTGGGATTTCATGAAGAGTCAGAGATTGTCATGGTCAGTGTCAGTGCCAGACGAGACTCGGACCAGGATTCGGGAATCGCCAAGCTGGATGACTGCATCGACGGTGGAGATCCTAACGCACGCTAATCGGGTTAGCGCGGTCAAGTGAGCAGTCGGGATCCCTTTTGGGGTTAGTCAGAATCTGGCATAACTTCTAGCTGAGTCATGCAGTCTTGCACAAATGCAAAATTCACTTCTTCACAGTGCATGTCAACAACACCCTGATGCTGAGAAGCCCACGGCCATCGTATCTGTATTGCACACGCTTCGTATATGGTACGCAGTACTGGGTAGGTGTTGGCAAGACAATGGTATGGCATACTGAACGAAGTAACTACAACCCAACCCGCCCGTGTTAGGAGGATGTATATAACTGCGTAACTGATGAGGACGACAGGTCAGAGTGAAGAACTATATCTCCTGTACCTCCACCTTATCAGACATAAACAATAACGGCAGGCCGTCATGATACAACCTAGCACATGAGTCACACGAGAGTCGTGCTTCTTGACCATCTAAAAATACCAAGTGAATGACAATATCGACACCGATGGACCAAGACGAGATTCATAGACCTATTACATGCTATCAATCGCCAAAGATTTTCACCAAATGACACCGACTAGTAGCTGTGATGAAGCACAGGTCAACAGGTCAATGGACTGATCCACATGACGGCTTCGTAAGAGCTATTATCTCCATGGTTATATCAGCACCAAAGGCCGCCCCAATCACCTTGGTACGACCGGGCGATCCCTCTCGATATCCCCGTGCCAGCTGATGCAAAATACTAAGAACCGTCACCGAACTGGTATTACCAGCATTACTATAGCACTTATAGCTCATCCGCAAGTGATCGTCAGATGAAAGCCCTAAAGCGTTCTCAGCCGCAGTCAGGATCGCCTGACCGCCCGGATGTAACGCCCAGTCGTATGTAGTGGGATCGAAGTTGGACTCTTCCAGGCGAAGGGAGGAACAGTTACTGATGAGGTTCCCAAATGAAGGTGGCAAGGCCGCCTGGACGAGCCTTGGGACCTCCTTGGAGATTATCGGCATGATTCCTGGCCTACATGAGCGAGATTTGTAAAACAGATATGGGGCCGTCCTGACCTGTGGGAGTACACTGAATTCCAATATTGCCTGCTTCATCCAGAAGCGTTGATTGAGCGCCGTGGATATTCCATATAGGCTCCCTTTCGCTCTCCTTGACACCGACCCCGTTACTGAGGACCAGTGCGCTGGCGCCATCTCCGAACAAGGTCGGGGCAAGATTGGGTATTGATTCCCTTGCGACGATGTCCAACCAACCTTTGATATAAACAGTCTGAGTCTCAGTAGCAATCACAAGAGCACGGCCCGGCTTCCCTTGTTGTGTCGCACCAAGCAGAAGGTCGTATGCTGTACGAAGGGCCGCTACGCTGCCAGCGCAAGTGATCCCATTCAACAATGTCCGGCGGACATGCTTGGCGAGCCCGAGTTCCTGGCAGAGTGTGCAGTCGAATCCAGGGCTCGACGTACTTGTGCAGGTCATCGCCACCACGTGGGTGATGTCCATTGGATTGCCGCCCCAGTCTGCGATGGCTTGCGTGGCCGCGAGTATTGCTAGGGGGATGCCATACTGTTTGAACATATTATCGCATTCTGTGTTGGACAGAATGTAGTCCTGGAGCCATATAGGATAGTCGATCGGGAGGACGCTGTAGCGGTTCTCAATTTTCGTTCTCTCGTTGATCTCAATCAGCTTCAGTAGCCTAATAGAAGAGTACAGGTTAGCCTGGTGAGTCACCACGGCAAGGGACGCTCACGCGACATTGTCCGTGTAGCAGTTGGTCACTACTTTAGGCACGAACTCTGGCCCAAGTTTGTGTTGGGGATATTGAAGCCCAGTGCCCACGACAGACACCAGAGGAGACGGAGGCATTATGGAGGAGTTGAGTATCGGGTCAAGAGATGGGTAGATGGGAGATGAGCACTGTTTGTTTACGACCGTCGCTCTTCGTCGGTCCGCTCAATATATTTGCATTGGTCAAAGTGAGTGTGAACAAGCTTGGAAGGATGACGGGCCACAGGCTAAGGGCAGGAAGGGCTTCCGGTTCAAGGCCATAACCACGGTGTGCTTTGTTTCCTGTCTTTGTTGGGCAAAATGATGTGCGTATGTGATATAACCCCGCGATTATTCCACGGTTCATGCTTGGTGATGGCCGTGGGAGTTACAAGGCTCATTAGATGATGACGATAGCAATCATGATATAAACTTGATCGGCAACAATCGACCCATGGCCGCTCGAAGCCACGGAACTTTCATATACCTCGGTTTTAGCATATGACAGCGTGAATAATATATTTAACAATGGGCGGAGAATTCCACCTGAAGTACCGTGTCTTACAGTCTACTGATTAGTCCATTTATCATAATATGGAAACAAACGGTACTCAGCGTGCGTTCGTGAGGGGGCCCACAGACCCACCTATCTATTCCAAAACCTTCGGCCAGTTGATCGATGAGCAGGCGGCTACCTACGGCAAGAAGCCTGCGATCCTATCGCCATGGCAGGGAATCAGCCTCTCCTACGATGAACTAGCACAACGGAGCAAGCATGTCGCCAAAGCGTTATTGGGAATGGGGATGGCACACGGTGATTGTGTCGGCATCATGGCTGGCAATTCCTGCCAGCATATCGAAGTTCTTATGGGAGGGGCACGCATCGGATGTCCTGTCGTATCCCTACATAGCACATACACCCCTGAAGAGCTGAAGAGGGCCGTACAGAAAACCTGTAAGTTGCTCGAGGCTGGAATATATAAGCATAATGGACCGTTCAACGATAAGCTGACACACACCAAAGCATGCAGGCTCCTTTTCATCGCATCTAGTGTCGGCCGTCGAGACCTCTCCGCTCATGTGGAAATGGCGAAGGATTGCTTGTCGTCCGGCGCACTCCCAAACCTACGTGGGGTGCTTACAATTGGACAGATCGACTATGATGGCTATGCTCAAGGTCTACATACGTACGAGGCCCTCTTTTCGGAATACAAAGAAGGTGTAGCAGCACCTGATGTCGACGCAGCATTTCTGCTCGATTTGGCAGAGAAGGCTGTCACACCCGACGACGTGGTTCGCCTCGACTTTACCTCCGGTTAGCGCTCTGATAGCTGCCCCAGATCTATCCAGTTAACCAGTCCACAGGGACCACGGGAAACCCCAAAGCAGGAATGTCAACAGCCACGTATGCACAATCCTAGCCGCGGATGACGAGCCTCCTCTAATGTCAACTAGTAACCTCCTTGGATGTGGTTTTATAACGGGCGATTGCTTAAGCCTTACTCCGAACGATATTGCCTGCTCTCCAGCTCCGCTATTCCATGCCTTCACTTTTATAGTAGGGCTTCTTGCACCCTTGACGCATGGTTGCTCGATTGTTCTCCCATCGGACCACTTTTCTACACATAAAGTCCTTGAGGCTATACAGAAGCAGGAACCTACTCTCTTACTGGGTGTCCCCGCCATGTTCCTGGCTGAAGTAGAGGCTATGGCAAAAGAACAGACCAACACTTCCCTCCGAGCGGCTGTGGTGGGAGGCTCTGCTATGACGTCCGGCTTAATAAAGACCATCTGTGATGTGATGGCGGTAAAGGAGGTTTTTGTCGTATATGGGATGATGGAAACAGGCGCTACATTCATGGGCTCCTTCAACGGGTCAGAGGAATCGACAGGAATGGTAGGGCGCGTGATGCCGCACATCTGTGCCAAGGTCCTGAATGAAAGCGGCCATAATGTTCGCCGAATGGAAAAGGGCGAGCTTTATACGAGTGGATACTCACTGCAAAAGGGATACTTTGACGACGAAGAGAAGACGCTGGAGGGGATGCCACGAGACAATAACGGACGCATCTGGATGCGCACGGGGGATGAAGCCGTCATTGATGAGGGTGGCTGCTGTCATATCACAGGGAGGATCAAGGATATTATTATTAGAGGTGAGCATCCTATGTTAATCCCACTCTGATACACATAACTGATTAATGAATTAGGCGGGGAGAACATTTCCCCCTTAGAAGTTGAGAGTCGACTCGCCTCACATCCATCCATCAGTGAAGCAAGTGTGTTCGGCTTGCCTGACACAAAGTATGGGGAAGTTGTAGGTTGTTTTCTGAAATGTGCGCCTGATGCGGAGAGGCCGTCAAAAGACGAGGTGCAGAGCTGGGTGAGAACAACCTTAGCCTGGCATAAGACACCAGTGCACATATTTTGGATCGGAGACCCTGGCGTTGCCGATGACTTCCCGAGAACAGGAAGTGGAAAGCACCAGAAGCATATCATGAAGATCATCGGGGAAAGGCTTATTGCCGCTAGGGGTAGAGCATTTTGTGACCCTAGGTTGATGTGTGAACTGAGGATGTAGGGCAAATAGACCACATGACATATATGTATGGGACAACATCCAGACAACTACTGTGTTTTAACACTTTGTTTTATTAGCGTCGAGAATGTTATAAACTGCATCTAAACGAATATATCTAGCTAGCCTTGTCTTCCAGTTCTAGAAAGTAGAGAATCCCCCCACTCAACGCCGGGCTAATGACACTTCCGTGGTCTTCATCCAAATATTCCCTCCTCTCCACAGTACCTAGATGTTGGCTAGCCACGAGCTGTAAATACAAATCATTGCAGTTGTCTGCCATGCGACGCTTTGCCGCCGACAGCACCCGGCGTTCGTACTTTTCCAGTGGCTCATTGCGGCGGCGCACAGGAAATTGCTCTCGGGTGCCGTATGATAGTCGTAGTATTGGTCCTGTACCTGTCTTAGGTCGTTGTAGAAACGGTGGTACCTTGGTGAGAATATATCTCCCATTCCACCATATAGATGGACTCGCTGCGATATATGTATCAAAGCACGTCGGTTGCGTGAGAAGGGTGTTCAATACAAAGAGTCCTCCGTACGAATGGCCAAACAGGGCCGACCGAGCAAATCGAACATTAGGGAAGACGGATGAGGCCATGAACGGACGTACGATGTGGTTAATAAAAGAAAGGAACCGATCTGCACCGCCGTACGGTTCCGGTCGAGGGCTGCCGTCGGGACCTTCAGGCGGAGTATAGTGGTCACATGGCGGAGTGAGATCCAAAGAGCGTTGAGGACTATAGACAGAACCTTTCAACGGATACCCAAGTCCAATAACAATGGTCCCAGGTTTGTTAGGGTTAAGTGACTCTTGCCGCCGAGTGACGTCTGTTGCTGTGAGAAACATGGCATTGCCATCCACAGCGAATCTGCAAGTACGTACATTAGTGCCGCCACTGGAAGCAGGATCCACTGGGGATCAGACTTACATTACATTGGCAACGGCTGATACGTTTGTTTCTCGCCAGGTAAGCGGCCAAGAGGCCTCCACCAAGTACGTAGCTTGTGTGCCGGTTGAGACCTCCCAAGCGGCCATGTTCCGGCCAGAGCCGCCATCGGAGGGAGTAAATGTCCACTGTTTCCGCATGGTGATGTAGTATAGAATAGTGAACTTGTTGCTGGCCGGTAGTTAAAGATCAGACCATCGGCAATAGTTCGGCGGATATCCGTCAAGATGTGCAGACTCAGCTAGCCAAGCGGTATTTCAGCACGAATTTCGGAGCCAGGAATTCCGCAAAATAAATTGGACCACGCAAGCTTGAATTTCTTGGCCATCGGCCGTTGCTCCGTGCCCACTATTACGACCATCTGCCCAATGACCGCTTGCACTGCGACGTAGGAAGACGCTACATTCCGCGCGGAGGCTCTTGGCATTCATTATCTGATCCTCATCTTTCTACAGACGAAGCGTGAATGTGACTAGTTCCACTCCAGCCTGTGTCATTGGTCACGGCGATGGGGTTTTATGCGTTTTTCCCGACAGACCGAGACTTGGTCCATGGCTCAATGCGCGGAGCAGCGCCATTTGAGTGCTTCTTAGGCTATTCGAAACTGCAAACATGACTCGCTTATCAGCCCAGATCAGATTAGATCCAAGAGAGACCCACTTATTTCCGCTTTGGCCTGAATCTCGTGGGATGTTTCCGAATGCGATCTGGATAGGACGACTCATACGGCAGCCCTACATGCTTGCCAGATGCTGCAACACGAGGTCCAAGTGGGGTGCCATCTTTGATCAATTTTAACACATTCCTTGCTTTACAGACTCAATAAAGTAAGTTTTGGCGCGCGCTATGTGAAGTTTATCTTGTCTGATCTTTCCGCGTTTTTATATTTTTTTTTTATACTTTTTTCTTCCACGTTCCTCGCCGGTTGTATTCTAGCTTGGCCTGGTGCCTACTAAAGGCCTGAGCAATGGACCGAGTCGCAGAAAATTCCAAGGAGGCAGAGGATTCAATCTCTCCTCGTGTCTCCCATACAATGTCAGAAGCGACTAACCTGGACAAATCTGGCAACCAAACAGTCGCGGAGGCGACCTCAGCCGACGACGTGGAAAAGCAATCCGATACACAAAGCCTTCAGGCAGGTGTGCAGAGAGCAGAGATACTGCGCAAAGGATGGACGAAGAAGGGTCTATATATGGCCTTTGTCGGGTATGCGATAAACACATAGTACTATCGGATAAAAGACTCGTTACTGACTTAGATCCTGTCCAGTCTGTTCATCGCAACACTCGCAATCAACTTTGGCGATTATTCCACCCAGGTCTACGTCGCTTACACCACTAGCGCATTTAAGCAACACTCAGCAATGAGCGCTGCTCGAGTAGTCATGAACATCACTCGCATTGCTTCCTACCCTGTTATTGCGAAGCTAGGGGACGTATGTATGCCATAGCTTTGGAATTCGGCGGTTTGACTAATGGTTTTGTGCCTGGCAGGTCTTCGGTAGAGCAGAGATGTTTATTCTCGCCATTGCAGCCTCCACGCTTGGCTATGTGATGTACGCCGCTTGCGAAGATATCGCGCAGTATATGGTATATACAAACACTGCGACAACTACAAAATTAGTGGTCTTCCGAACCATGCGCTAATCTAGAACACAGGTTGCTGGTATCTTTGAAGCAATTGGATCGACAGGCTACGCGCTGACGCAGCAAGTGTTCGTCGCCGATGTGACCAACCTCGTCAACCGTGGTATTTGGTCCACACTTCCTGATTCCCTCACGACAGTCCCAACCTTATATTTGGGCACGATTGTTGCACAGCGCATTCTTGACCATTCGACCTGGCGATGGGGTTGGGGCATGTGGGCCATCATCACACCAGTCTGCGCAGTGCCTCTGATCGGAACAATGCTAGTCTATCAGCGGCGCGCACCAATCAAGGTTCCCATTGCCAAAGCAATGGGCTGGAAGGAAACAGATACTTGGTATCAGCGTGCCTACCGACTACTCTGGGTTGAGCTGGACCTACCGGGTGGTGTCCTCCTGTTGCTCGGACTGGCCCTATTGCTGGTCCCCATCGCCCTGACAGGCGCCAATAACAGCAACGCGTGGCACAAGGGCAACTTCATCGCCATGCTGGTCCTTGGCGTCGTGTTCCTCATTTCCTTTGTCATCTGGGACGCCCGGTTCGCAAAGAAGCCATTCGTGCCTTACCGCATGATCAAACAGCGCACCGTAGCAGCAGCATGTCTCCTAGGTGCACTCGACTTCTTCCACTACTCGGTCTTCTCCGTCTTCTTCACCAGCTATCTCCAAGTTGCTGGCCACTTCAACGCAGGCAACGCCACCAGAATCGAGTACGTACATACCCATACCTATCACTGGCATCTCACAGACCCCAAATCTAACAAAAGCGCAGCAACTCCCTCCGCGTCGCCTTCCAAGTCTCCGGAATCTTCGCCGCCTTCTTCATGAAGTACACCAAACGCTCGCAAATCTGGGTCCTCGCCGGTGTGCCCATGTGCATCCTCGGCATGGGAATCCTCCTCTACCTTGTGGACATGGGCGACGGCAAAACCGGCAATGAAGCAGCTTTCGTGGCCGCCAAATCGCTCATCGGCGTCGGCCGCGGCTTCTACCAAACTGCAGCACAGGTCTCCGTCCAGGCCGTCGTCTCCAGACAGGAAGTATCGGTCGTGACGGCCGTTTTCTTCGCATCGATGAGCATCGGTGGTGCCATCGGAACTAGCGTCGCTGGCGCCATTTGGCGCAGTAATCTGCCCCGCAAGCTGAGCGAGTATCTGCCCGCGGAGGCGAAGGGCCAGGCAAAGTCGATCTTCGGGTCCATTGTGGTTGCCCAGAAGTATCCTGTGGGTAGTCCTGTCCGACTCGCGATTGATCGCAGTTACCGGGAGTCCCAGCGGCTGTTGGCTATTGCTGCTATTTCGGCGCTTGCGCCTATGATTGTTATTATGTTCTTTTTGAAGAATGTGCATCTGGATGACAGGCAGACTGCGAAGGAGGAGGGGGAGACAGAGATGGCGGAGCAGAAGAAGGCGGATGCGGAATGAGGTGTCTGTTTTAATAGGTTGAGTTTAATATATACGCGTCGTCCCTACTGTGTGGACACATATCTAGAGTATTTATAATGGATTTAATATGAAATCAGGTTGGCATTGTTTACTAATTGAACATCAACTTATTTTACAGATATTGAATATACCAATTGCGCCTACGATTCTTGACTTGCACTTGGGGTCCATTTTACAGGTTAGTTCTGATATGTCGCCGAATGGCGAAACTGAGGAAGCTTATAATTCATGGGTATGGGACCCTAGAAGGCAGACCATCGACCATATGCTGGGTTGTAAGAGTGCCTGGATACATTTAATTCCGTTGTTGGTACACATGAGAGAGGCGAGCAATTGGACCATAGCAGAGATTGAGGAGCTTTTATAGTAAAGGGTAAGGAGCACAACAAGGGTTTCGCTTTTCCATGATTGTTACATGCCAGGCCCAAGGGCTTTCTGTCATTAGGATGCACTGGACCATACTGACTGAGCCTGTGGTCAAAGCCGCGGCAGGGCTCACGGACTTGCTCATACAACCTGGCTTTTGGGCGATACCCTCTTGCACATATATTGTTCTTTATCACCCCACCTGCTTTTTGTATTTCCTAATACATGATGGAATACCAAGACTCGAATACGTTACCTCGATGCCGGCCTTTCTCCTTTCCACATCACAAAAGACCCGGATACAGGTTCTTACCCAGTGGAATTATCTGCTCCTTGAAAGCAACGCCATTATGCTTGACAGATATGCACCGGGCTGTTCCATGCTTTTAAGCGTTCTCCTGGCGATTGTCCCTCTGTCATATATATATGCAAAACGTACTTTGCAACTATACCGAGGCCTATTGCTCTCACCACCAGAGCAGAAAAGTGTTCTTCTCTTTGCATTCCCGGTGCCTTCTCAATGGACATATGGTGATGGAGATGCCAACAGGATGCGTAGAAGAGAATAGTAGTTTGTTTATCCCAGCGAGAAGCCCAAAACAGGCTTCCTTCTGCAGTGATAATTCAACGTGTTTGGATGCCATTGGAGGCCAGTTCATGCACGTGACTGTTGCAGCCTTGCGCTCAGCCTCGCCTACACTTGCAAGACCTCTTTTTGATCCACTGGTGATCCCAGATCTTCATGATACCCTGCTGCCGCATGAACCCCTAATTGGGATCAATGTTGACACATGATGACTACACAGTTGGATGGATCTCGGCATTGCCATTGGAGATGGCGGCTGCCCAGCTCCTTCTTGACCAAGTACACCCGGATCTGCCACAGCCAGCTCGAGACTGCAATACCTATGTTCTGGGCGAGATTGCAGGCCACAATGTTGTCATAGCATGTCTCCCATCCGGAGTCTATGGAACCACATCAGCAGGAGCAGTGGCTCAACACATGCTGTCAACATTTAGCTGCATCCGCTTCGGTATGATGGTGGGTATCGGTGGCGGCGTTCCGTCCGAATCTGCCGATATACGGCTCGGGGATGTCGTTGTGAGCAAGCCAATAGGCGTCCTGCCAGGAGTCGTGCAGTATGACTACGGTAAAACCATTGTCAATGGGCAGGTCGAACGGACGGGCACCCTAAACAGACCGCCACAATCGTTGCTGACAGCATTATCTAAGGTGGAGTCTCGACGCTTGCTTGGCAGATCGCGGTTTGAGCGATACGTAGCGGAGTCGTTAGAAAGAACGGAGTCCTCGACTCCTGCATTCAAGCATCCAGGTCGGGACGAAGACAAGCTCTACAACGCTTCGTACGAACATAATCCATGTTTCCTGTCCTGTTCAAATTGTGATTCAAAGTACCTAGTAAAGAGAAATCCCCGACACAGTCAGGCGCCAGCCATACATTGTGGCATCATAGCGTCAGGTAACCAGGTTATGAAGCATGGCCTGACACGCGACCGGATATCTCAGGAGCTGGGCGGCATCTTTTGTTTCGAGATGGAGGCAGCGAGCCTCATGGACCATTTTCCTTGCATCGTTATTCGGGGAATTTGTGACTATTGTGACTCGCATAAAAACAAAAAATGGCAGGGATACGCTGCTCTGACTGCAGCTGCCTACGCTAAGGAGTTACTGTCAAACGTTCCCATCATCGAGACAATGGTATCCAAGCAGAGTAGAAGTTGTATACATTCAAAAGGTATCCCTGCTCTAAAAATAGTTTGGATGATCACTGGCTAACCTTCTTCTATAAGACTCATTCACTGTCTGATTCGAAAGCCTTAATCTTCCACGTATAGAGTGCTTTGTTGGTAGAGACAAAGAGCTCGCAGAGGTTTATAAGCAACTTCGCTCTCCTAATTCTACTGGAATAGTCACCCTGCATGGACTTGGAGGAATCGGAAAGACTCAGCTGGCAGCAGCTTACGCACTCCGCCATCGACACGAGTACTCCGCCATTTTCTGGTTTGATGCCTCAGATGTGACGAAACTAGTCCATTCTTTCTTGGCTGCTGCCAGACGCATTCGTTTAGACCACAACTCTTTTGCTGACTTTAGTAGTTCCAACTATAATAATGATCCCTTCAAGGGTGTCAAAGCTGTAAAGGACTGGTTGAATCAAAAGCACAACTTACATTGGCTTTTGATATTCGACGACCATACTGTCTCTGAAGCTGACAGGCCACGTGATGAAGGAAATACTGATCTCAAAAGTTGTCTACCTGAGGTCCTACAGGGTCATGTTCTCATCACAACTAGGCTTTCTGATGCCTATCTTGGCCACCGTGTGAAAGTTAGAAAACTTGAAGATCCTAGGCAGGGACTTGAAGTTTTGTCTGCCTCCTTAAACCGACCAAACATAGATGCAGGTAGACATGGCCGCCCCTAATGCACTTAGATAAAGTATCTGATGATCTCTGCAGATCCATATGCCCATGAACTTACCAAGGAACTGGATGGAGTTCCGTTGGCACTTGCATCCGCGGCTGCATACATGTCCCAAATCGGAACAAGCCCTCGAGACTACCTTCAGTTATACAGAGACTCCTGGCACCGCCTTCAAGAAAGCAGCCCACAATTGCCTGGATATGAGAGGTCAATGCATTCTACGTGGTCCATCTCATATTCTCAAATATCCGCACAGAACAATCTATCCTGCTTGCTTCTTGAATACTGGGTGTTCCTGGATTGTCAAGACTTGTGGCATGAGCTTCTCGATGATACGAGTGCACCCTGGACAGACAGCACTTTGAAGCTCCTCTCTGATCAAATTACATTTAACCAGGCGATAAGGGTACTTTGCGCTTATGGTATGGCCGAGGTCAATCCGTATATTGCAGACGATCGCATTCAATCACAAAGTTATAGATTGAACAAATGCGTACACTCTTGGGCATTTGACTACCTTCGATCAGGGCAACGCTCCGCGTCAGCGTGGAGGGTGCTGTATTGTGTTGTCAGATATACGGATCCGCGGGAGCCTGTGAACCAGAGGGTTTGCCAGCGCCTTGTGCCTCACGCCAACCGGCTATTGCAATTGATATCTAACGGAACTCTACTCCCCGACAGAGAGAGTATTTGGGTAGTTGGCTTACTACCCTTACTCTACAAACTTTATACCAAAGCCAGCGAACGAATCTCTTTGGGCTACACGATTTACCTGACTTCTTCGAACGTCGATTATTTTGAGAAGCGGTTTTTCGCGGGTTCCGAACGGCCGCACCGGTTGGCTGTAGAGCTATCGACAATGCTTGAACGAGCTTATGACTTGTGGCCGATTGAAAAAGAATGGATAAATAAGATACAATTTTCGAGCTGTATCATACTCGCCCTCCGGTACGATATCAGACTAGGAGAGCCTAGCAACGCCAAAAAATGGTATAAAATGGCTTTTCATTTCCGTTCAAAGCGAGCAAATCATGACCCGAATGACTGGACGGGTCAATTCATTCGACTCCGGATCAAAACGATCTGGGTTACCAAACACTTGGCTCATCTGTTCAGATTCTTACCGAGCCTTCGACCCATTGCGTACTTTATATTCTTTAAGGCTAATCTTTTGTCTTTTAATCTTCTCGCAGACGTGGTTGCCTTGGTTGTTTATGTTAGCTCGTGGAGTGCCCTGGAGTGGGGTTATATCACGCCATGGAAGGCTCTTTGCCTTGTTATCCTATCCAAGACATTGCACGACTTGCTTCTCTGCTTCGCATGGTCGCCAACCGACTGGATCTTTTATGCTTTGTCCATCCCCCTGTGTGTTCTCACCCTTGTTTCTCTCGTTCCTATGATCTCGGATGAAATCCTCAGCAAAGGCTCGTCTTCATTACAATGATAACGCAGTCAGCTTTGCTTGTTATCATTTGCCCATGTCTTGGGTAGCCTCATATACAAACTATTGTTAGCTAGTTCTACATGGCTGAGAATTGTGTATGATGGAGTTCTATCCACTAGTCAAAAACATCGGTCACATAGCGCACATTCCGAACCGCCTCAAACCTCGCCCTGACTCCATCCTCATCCTCACCCTTACCCTCAGCCTCAACCAAAATCCTAATAATCGCCTCCCTAACGCCGTCCCCAACACGTCTAGACCCACAAACAAAGACCTTTGCCCCCACTTCCCAAAGCTCTATGAACCTCTCCTTCTCCCTCCACACCCGATCCTGCACATACCTGCAGCCCTCACTCGCCGCAGAGCCCCTACTAAACGCTCTATATACCTCGACAGCACCAGCCCGCTCCCACTCTCCCAGCTCTACGGCATACAAATCATCCTGCTCCGGCGACCGCGTGCCCAGGAACAGGGCTGCAGGCGCTAGCGTCTGGCCCTGCGCGAGGAGCAGGGCGCGCTCCTGGATGAAGCCGCGGAAGGGGGCGAAACCAGTCCCGGCGGCGATGCAGATGATGGGAGTTTGCGACTGGTTCTCAGGGAGGCGGAAGGGTGCCTGTGGATGGCGGATAGAGACGGAGAGGACGTCGCTTTTCATTAGCGAGGCGAGGTACGAGGAGGCGACGCCGATGTGGCGGCCTTGGCCCGAGAGGGCGGGTTTGTCGAGGATAGTGAAGGTTAGGGTTGCGTGGTTAGGGTTGAAGAGTGGGGAGGAGGAGATTGAGCTGTAGGGTTTATACTGTTTAGTCTTTTGTGCTTGGATGGAACTTTAGGATGTAATATGGGGGGACTCACTATTGCCGGACTCGTATGGGGGGCATCATCGAGAGGAATGAGCCCAGGGACAGGGTGACGGACGGGTAGCGCTCGAGAAGATCGAGGACGGAGACGGTTTTGGCGCTGATTTCTTTGCCGTAGACTTCTGTGGCGAGGTGGTTGAGTTCGGCTTTGGTATGCTCGTCTTGCGCTGCTTCAGCGAGCGAGAGGATGTTCTGGTGATTGTGTGTTAGTTGAGTGATTTCTGAACGAGAAGGGTGAACGTACACGTTTTGTGGCAGGTTGCGCCAGCTCAATGTAAGAGCTCAGAATATCATAAGCGGATACTGACTCGTTGGACGGAAGAGATGTCTGTCCTTTGGTGGTAATGGTGATATGTGCGTCCCGGGCGAGGCCAAAGCGGCGCATGGCCCGGTGAACATTCTCTTTAGGGTTGACAGGCAATACGGCGAGGTAGTCACCTGGTTGATACGACATGCCTTCTGGGAGGCGGATCTCGATATGTCTCTTGACGGATTCCTCCCCGGTCGACAGGTCCCAGGCATCGACAACAACAGCTTCTTTCAGGTCTTGTCGGAGCGTCAGGAGTCGTGGAGTGGACACGGTTGCGTCCACCTGGGCCGCTTTGTCCTTGCTCTCCTCTGCAGCAACGCTATAACGTTTAGCCAATGCTGGCCACAGGATCTCGTCCTCCCATGTCTCAAAGCTGGTGAAGATGTCCCCGTTCGCGGCATCCGCCAACCCAATGTCCGCCACACGGCTAGCACCTGCTTGTTCGAAGGTCGTGTCCACAAGCTTCGGGATTCGGTGGAAGGTTTGCGCCCACTCATGGTTTCCACAGCCGAACACAGCGTAGGTCAAGTCCTTCAAGGGGCTGTCTTCCTTATTGAGTCCTTCCATCCAAGACACAAACCGGGCGGCATTATCGGGCGGCTGACCTTCGTACGATGCTGTGATAATCACGATAGGTCGATCAGTCGGCAAGGCCTCAAAGTCACTATCCATAGAATCGACCGTCGATGCGTGGAACCCATGCGAAGCTGCATCGGCCGCCAGACGCTGCGCCAAGGCCTCGCAGGTGCCAGTGTTCGAGCCATAAAGAATCGTGAGAGGAAGTCCTGTCTCGGCACCGGCGTCCCCATTAGACCCCGAGAGTTACTCGCCTCCATAGGGGCTTCGATGCCCGCCAGGCGACGCTCCAGCTGCGTTGGCGACATGTTGCCTCGCAGTTTGGCCGCCATGAAGAAATCCTTCGGCTTGATCGTCAGCGTCTGCTTAATCCCGAGCTTGTAGTCAGGATCAACGTGTTCAATGTCGAAGTTCTGGAGTAACATGGCCATCACCAGCAACGCCTCCTGCCAGGCAAACGGGCGGCCGATGCACGCCCGCATGCCATTGCCGAACGGCTTCCAGCAGTTAGGAAATTCGCGGGTGAGCCGGTTGAAGTTCTCGTCCAACATTCTTTCCGGCTTGAACTCATTGGCATCCTCGCCGTAGACAGCGGGATCCAGGTGCGATTTCGCCAAAAGACTGACGATTGTCTCTCCCTTCTTGACAGCGTATTTTCCTCCAATGAGCGTATCTTCATATGCCTCGACCGTGAACAACGGAATCGTGGCGTTTATCCTCAGCGTCTCACGAAGAATCTAATCCCACACAGTCAATGACACCCGCGCCCGCTCTGCATTACCAAGATAGACTTACCGCCGCAATATAGGGAAGCTTCGACATATGCTCAACTTTGATAGTTCCTTCACCGACCACGTCATCCACCTCCTGCCGCGCCTTGCGGTAAATCTCCGGATATTTCAAAAGCTGATAGAACGCAAAGGACAATAACCCCGACGTTGTCTCATGGCCCGCAATCAGGAACGTAATCAGATTGTCCATGATACTCTCATCCGTCATGCTCTGCCCGGTCTTCGAATCAACCCCCTCCAACATCGCCGTCAGGAGATCCCTCCGCTCACTCTTATGGGCCTTCCGCGACTTCAGCACACCCTCCGCCGTCTTCCGCAAAATCTGGATATCAGCCTCGTACTTCTCGTCCTGGCCCTTGTAGAATATGGAGGGCAAAGGAAGCCTTCTGGGCCGTTCACCGGACATCGTGAGAAAGTCGCCCATGGCTTCAATAAACGGGTGTAGCTCGGGCGAGTAGTAGCTGTTGAAGCGGAAGCCCATCGAGCACAGCGCCAGGGTATCCAACGTCAGGCGCGTGAAGTCGTCTGTCACCATGATCGGTGTCTCTGGTCCATAACGAGCCCACTTCAGCGCCAATTGCGTGGCGATATCGTGCATTTCGTCGAACATGCTCTGGATTGATAGTGGTCCAAATGCTGGCATGAGGACTCGGTGGGCAATGCCCCAGTTGACTTCGCCCTCTCTTGCCTGTATGGATCAATTAGTTAAGTCATCTCTTCGACCATCAACCATTGCCGGGGGAGTACCAACCGTGAAGAGACCATCATGCACACCATTTCTGACTTCCTATATTTCCGCCAACAACCTTGATCAGCATCGAAACAGTGCCACCGGGATTATCGGGTATTTGCACATGGCGCTTACACTCAATGCCGAATTGACGGATTTCTTGAATCGTTTCTCATCGCAAACTTCATTCACCAACTCATATGTCGAAATGAAGACTGTGGTTCGGCCGGGGAATCGCAAGCGATAGATTTCACCTTATGGAGCAGTCAGCATATATCCACAGCTATCTCCCTGGAGTACCGCATACCAAGCTCATCTGCAAGTCCCACCATGGACCCTAGAGGGAACTCTGGGTTCACGTCCTTGATATTTCCCAAGAGCGGCAAGCCCTGGGGCTCTGGGATAGGAGTTGAACCCTCCATCCTGTGCTTAAGTAAATGGACACCGAACCCCTCAGCAGGAATCAACCTGGATAAATAGAAGGAGGAAAAAAAATAAAAAGGGCTTGAGCGGCGCTATCGCAATTATATAAAACACGTTGTGGACCGACCCCAGAAATGACGCCTGTTGTTAAAAAAGCTTCAGCCTCGGCCGCACAAGATGGGTACTAAATGGGAACCATTGATTGGGCGGTTCAGGATAAGAATCCCTAATCGATCAGGATAGGGAACGCAAATCAATGATCAGTAAACAGAAATCATGCGCTAGTTTGGCTCCACCGTCTCGCTCGTTCTTGATCTTCTCGAGGGATCCACCGGGAGCCCTAATTACGGGATCAGAAGCGTACTCCGTAATACTTAAACCAAGTTAGGCTGCACCCCCGACAAGCCAAGGAAAGTACCGACGGAGGACTTTCCCTTGTGCAATGAGAAGTGCATGTTATGTAGAGATTGTGCTGTCGAGGGATTATAGTCTGTCTCAACACGCTGGCTAATGCATCTTATATATATAATTGCGCGAGCCTCATGTGCAGGGTTCATTGCTCAAGGGAACAAAATAACTCCGTGGTTGATGGTAGCTGATTGATCTCTTTTCGCTGAAGAAGATAGCAGGAAAATGTCTTCATCTCAGCTACTCGTGTAATCAATATCTTATCTTATTTCCTTTCATCAACGCTCTACATGAACTTGGGAAATTTTTCATGGTATAATACTTTGATCATGATAACGGGATCCATACCCGTTGGAGGATTATCCCGATTTGGCGCCGAGCCGAAGCTCGGGTCGGCATCACCCCCGATGGTGCCACACATGCCACTACGAACGAAGAATCACCTCGGTTGGGAGAACTAATTTATACTCATATATTGTAATCAATCGCTTCGGAAATTTTACTTCTTTCCTCTTTGGCAGACCACAGGTGTATGGCACTGATAAGAGAGACTGCCAATGACAACAAACCCGCCCCAAATTGTGCATATCGCCATCAAGAAGTATATATATCCGAGCTGCAACTATGCCACACCCGAAAATGAAGTTTAGTTACTGATGGAAGTTGTACCTTGGCTTTGGCTCTAAGGACAGGAAATTATAGAGATTGTAGACGCACTGTCACATACGGCCTACCGGTCCTTCACGAGACCGGAGTGCTATAGATACTCTGGATGGATTGACCTCTTCTCTTAACTATTGCATCTGCAACTGACGGGGATGCAGTACGTCATCATTTGGAACATACGATGTTTGGCCTATATAGCCATCATCAAAGCTTGCTGGGAGGTTGATCCATTTGGAATCTGGAAATTGCGCGTCCAGTGTGACTGAAGGTGAAATTGATCGTATACCAGAAGTGCATAAATATCCCACAGCAGGGAGACCTGTATATAATCATTGTCCAACCATATAAGGTGCCTCGTGTGACTTACCACGAACTAATACAGCTAACCCATGGTATGTCATATTTCTGTGCCAAAAAATACTGAATACATCTGATAATAAATGGGTTAATTGAGCAGAGTGTGTGCTCGCCGATCTCCTTTATCCGCCTGTTGGTTGGCTACGACCAGGGAAAAACCACTGGCACAGTTACAGGAGCATAATTTTCTTAGTAATGACATAGAGTATTGGATTCCATATCAGACACAAAGTTCGCAGGCCACATGAGCACTTCCAGGTACTTAGTGATGATACCTAGTTGTATTGCACCATTTGCTGTGATTCAGTCCTGGCTGCGTTGGCTGGTGTCGCTTCTCTCGTTGGTAGTATCGCTTTCCGAGTTATTGATATGACCCTCAATTTGAGCACGTGAAATATTTCCATCACATCCACCTTTCTTCCAGCAAGAGAAGGAAAGAATTGGAAAGTGCTATTGACGTGCACTTGTACAGAGCCAACTTGCATTCCAGCAGCGGTAGCAAGCCCTCTTGTGACAACCATCTCGTGATCTTTCTTGTCTTTGGGTGAATAATGCGCTCTAGCACCCCTAAGTACATGTATTAGCGAAGAAGGAATCTAATACCCGGAGGCAGAAAACGAGGAAATTCATACTCAATTCTGGCAACAGTGATTCTTGGATCCTTCAAAGCGATCAGCTACATGTTGAGCTATGAAAGGCCGGCTGACTTACGGCTTTCTCTATGGTATCTGTCACTCTCCTCGCGGACTGTTCCCATGCTGCCCCTGTGACTCCATTACTGACAAGGATATCATCTGCGGTGACACCACCAACGAACTGCATCAGCATTCTGGTCGTAGTCTGCAGACCCCTAACAAAGTTGCGGCTCATATTGTTTCGAAGATAGCACAGAGTGTCGACGTTAATGAGGATCTTTAATGACACAGATACATCAAAATCTGGTTAGAATTGGGAACCCCAGGCCCGGCACCGACAAACCTATGTATACCCACAGTCTGAAGTTCCTCTGGCTTTGTGAATGATTATGACTGAGGTTATCTCGCGCCCACCATGATGGATCTCACACCCATAGGTTCTTTCAGTGAATTATAGCATGCTCTGCGAATAGCTCGGGTCACCATCTTGGACTGGAGCCGTTTTAACAGGATTTTGACATAAGCAGAGCCACATCATACCTACTTGTTATTAGTTGTCATTATGCTCAGGCCTACTTACATTTACCTTCCTAAAAAATAAACCTCTTTGCGATTTCTGACTGAGACTTCCTTTTGCATGAGCAGCCTCAGCATACTGTCCACCTCGGAGCGGATTTCCTGGCTCTTCCACCCCTTCAACTAAAAGCACTTCTTTACCTTCGTCCGGCCATCTTCACTTGTGCTTCCCCAGAAGTCACATTTCTTTCCTATGATAACGGTACGATTGTCCTCACGCGCATTTCCACGGATTAATCCCGATACTGAGATGCATATATGCCATCCTCTTCGCATTAGAACCTCCAGCCATGGTCTTCGACCAAGCCTCCAACCACCATCCCCGTTGACTGATTGCAGGATAATGTCGTCCTTGACACGAGTTCCAGTTATGCCCCGCGTATTCCCTACTTCGGGATTTGATATCATAGATACAGTCGATAGAGTCGAAGAGGAGACCTTGCCGACTTACTCTGCCGATAAGTAATACCCTATTCACCTCGGAGAACTCCTGGATACTCGATATCAAGTACTCGCGAAGTTGGGGTACGGTGTAACATCTACAGTCTAGCTTTGCCGCAACCTAATGTATGTCGCCATCCTTTCTCATTGCGGATGGTATATATGTCTTGTTCTTGAACCTCTTGGGCTTAGAGTGGACCAATATCTATGGTTTTTCCCTGGGCGAGTAATGAGCCTTACGGATTTGAAACCATGTCTGCGACAGGTCTTGGGGATATTAGATTTTCTTCATACCGAGGCCAATGTGATGCATACTAGTAAACTTGTCCTTAATTATCAAATCATGTGTGGCTGAATTTCCTCTAGATCTACAGCTGAGAAACCTTCTGTTACCAGCTGGTGACCCGAAAAGCTTTTCGAATGTCGAGGAGGCAGAGATCAAACAGCCCTCACCTAGGAAAATACTTACTTGTGGCCGGGAAATCTATCTAAGCCAACTCCTTATTCCAGGGAATGGGTTACCTTTACTTAGTGACTTCAGCGAGGCTCGATTTGGCAACGAGGACCATAATGATGACATTATGCCACATGTATACAGAGCACCTGAGGTCGTTCTAAACATGAATTGGGACTGCAAAGTTGACATCTGGAGCGTTGCAACTATGGTGCATCTCCTTTAACATTCCAGATACTATAAAATATACTAACAATTCTCCTTGTACAAAGGCCTGGGATATTGTTTGCGGTCGCACTTTGTTCCAGGGCCAAAACACTCACGGCATTTTTGACGACAGGGCTCAACTTGCCGAGATCCTTGCACTTCTCGGTCCTACTCCCGCTGAATTGGTAACAAGAAGCCAGGTCGGTCAAGTATTCTTTGATGATAATGGTATATATTTGATCATAGTTACACATATAACTAAAGTGGCTCATTCTGATTTGTGAACATGCCCAGGTCGATGGAAGGACCTTGCCCCAGTGCCTGAAATAACGCTTGAGAGGTTAGCAGCTGATATCCAAGGGGACGATAAGAAAGGATTTTTGCGGTTTCTGCGAAGAGCCCTGAAGTGGGCCCCTGAGAGGAGGTCAGCCGCTAGGGACCTATTGTTCGATGCGTGGCTTATGGGAGGCTTAGACCTCAGCAGGCGTGGTTAGGCTTTGTCCTTCGAACAATTCTGTGCATCATGGGCATGAGGCTGAAAGCATCACAGTCATAATAATCTACTGTAGAATATTCATATACTGTAGTGTATTCGTAATCATAATGACATGTCCGGCCACAGCGGCCAATTAGGAAGCAGCATATCGGAATCGTGGTTTAATAGTATGTCAAGAGCCCACGATGAACATGATTAATAGAGATGCCGAGTATTGTGCATATGACTTATCATTTCTCAGAACAGAAGCACGTTGCAAAGAAATTTAGACTAATGTTTAATGCAAAATGATTTGGCTCAACTGGACATATATAAAAGGTGCTTGGGCGATCTCGTGGCATGCGGAACCAACACTAAAAAGTATAACGGTAGTAATGCGGAGAAGGAGATATCGCAAAATTACTGATTTTCTCTTCCATTCTACCCGAATTCTTCGATATCGCACGGAGTACCCCCCGCTATCGTCTCTAGGTCTAAATTAGGGCAACTCCTGTCGGATGACGCCAAGGGATCTTCACTATAGACCCTTGGTAACATGAGATCTAGACAGCTTGAGACCCACTCCTTTATGGGTTGATAGGCCGTAGAACTACGGAGTATAATGTTGAGTGTTGAATGACTGTGGATATCTATGTCAATTTCTTCTTGGAATCCAAGACCTGACCCTCTAGAGGGTTAATCTGCTGATCTAGAATCCTGTCCAGGAAAGGCATTGCGGCACAATGGAATGGTCAATCGCACAATACGATGTGAGGACAATTATGGGTCTGTGTTAAGTTTCATTCAAAAGAGCTTTGGCCGATATATAGTGAGCCCAGATCCAGACCACTTCATCGAATTGAGTCAGTGTAGATCCTAATGAAGTAACTTAGTTGCTGACAGCCGTTACCTCGATAACGTCGCCCGGGGACGTTTGCTGAATGGGCTAGAAATACCCCGTAACCTGCATAACCCGTCAACCAGCACCGAAGCCAGAGGGAATATAGGCACAGGACGTTTGTGGCGAGCTGAGCGTGGGCCACAGTAGGGTTAACTAATTCTGTGGCGCACCATATAGTGGACCAGACAGGGCAACGCCTTTTATAACTGGCTGCTCAGGGATTTAGTGTTTGGCTAAGATAACTAGTAGTGGCTCAGCTCATTCGAGGTGGGTCTGAACTTGAAGACGACCATGTGGCAGGGCAATAATACTCTCCCTGATGCTGGAAAAGGCTGTAGCCTGCCGGGCTTGGCATTCCAGAGTGCGAAACGGTTGGCACCGATTGAGCGATAATAATCATAATCACTGCTCAAGGGGGCTTGATCTCAAGATACTTGTACTTTTAGATAACGATCGCCATCGCAGGCACACAAGAGAAGAACTGCATAAGTAATGACTCAAGGCGCCGAAGGCCTGACTAAAATGATCGACCCGCATCGGTGTTGCCGAATGTTTGGCTTTCACCAATGTAACCCTGCCCAATACGGCATATGAATCGAGATAAGTGTCTATAATTGCATTAATCGACCTTCCTAATAGGGCCGACGTTGGAAATTTTCAGTTCCATAATGCTTGGCGACCAAACCCGTCCCATGGTTTCATCTCCACCCCCGTACCCACGACCCCCTTGGAAGGCGAGAACCCGCACGAGCTAGTTTACTTATGTGTGGGCGCTGTCTCTCCGGACAGTACCGGATTGTGGTCTAAGCAACCTTCGGAGTTCGATGTTGTCCATGTCCTGACGCCAGAGTATGAAGAGCTTCGCGGGCATAGCTCTTCTGGCCGGACTGCCCTTCTGTCTTGCCAAGACCGAGCCAGAGTCAGAGCCTGCCTCGGTGGACGTCGATGTCGACTGGTACGTTTTCCCTTTGGAGCTGAATCGCTGCTTTCACGTGCTGGTTCACTAATCATAGGCTTGCGCAGGTACGGCAATGATGGAACCTGGAGTGCGTAAGTTAGGCTACTTCTGGCATTCTAACCCCCACCCCGACTGACCCATACCTAGTGTGAACATATGGGTCGGATCAGAGTTGAAAACAGTCTCTCTGTTCCCAAGCACCGTGGATACCGACATATGGGTCGTGGGAGGAACTGGCTGCAAGAACTGTATGTGATGTCCTCCCTCCTCAGCAGACAGATTCCCTAAATCTCCTGATGTCCAGACATTGCCCATTGTCGACTGACAGGAAAAGATAGCTTCAGTAGTAAACTGTTCTGAAAAGCGAGGTGGGCTTTTTGACACCAGCAAGTCGACTACATGGCAACCTCAAGATGCACGTTCCGGTTCGGGGGATCCTTCGATCGAAACATACTACGGGAATGATACTGTATGGGTGGACTTTAGACCGGTTACCGAACAAAGGATTGAGATTCTAAATGATACCGACACATGGATCGGGTTACTTGGACTGGGCATGGGCCAAAGTGGACATGTCGACAACTTGGACCTCAATGTCATGGAAACGGCATATATCAACGACAGCTTTGCTCCCAGTGGCAGCTATGGCTACACCGCTGGCGCTTACTACCGTATGCCACACACTTGACGATGGTCCCAAGGCTTTCACTAATATTTTCGCGCAGGGCTGAAAGGTGCACCGGCATCGCTTACCATTGGAGGTGTGGATCGGGCGCGCTTCTACGACAACAACGCGACATTCCATCTCAACAGAAACGCCGACCCTGTTGTCTCACTGAATACCATATCGATTTCATCCGGAACAGAGGGCGGCGATGGCGCTCATATCGACGAACATATAATCCCGTCGAATCCCGGGGGTAGCTCATATTTCACCCTCGATTCCTCCACCAGTTACCTTTGGTTACCCAGTGACGCTTTTGATGCCTTTGGCGAAGCTTCAACCTCACCTACGATGAGAGCCTAGGCTTTTATACGTACGGAAATGATACCTTACACCGCGAACGACTCTTTGCCATGAACATTTCAATCACACTTTCAATTTCCGACCTGCCCGACTCTTCACAAGGCGTCAATATCACCCTCCCGTTCCAGGCCTTCGACCACTCGCTCACCTATCCATATCCCACCCTAACATCCGACACCTCACTCCCGTATCTCCCTATCAGACGAGCCAATACAAATGACGAACAGCGTCTCGGCCGAGTCTTCTTCCAAGAAGCATACCTAGCGGTCGACTACGAGAGAGGCCAATTCTCGCTTTACCAAGCGAAATTCGACGCCGACATCGTCGCATCCCATACAGACATCGTTGCGATCGACTCCTACATGGACAAAAAACTCAAGGATTTGCTTTTCGGCAAGCCAGGACTATCAGCTGCCGCAAAAGCAGGAATTGGCGTTGGCACCGGCACGGGGGCTATTATAGTTATCGTAGGCGCATACCTATTCATAAGGAGGCGGCGGCGGGCTGTGAACTCCGAGAAAGGCGTCCAACTGTCTGATTCCGTGAGCAATTCGGACTGTGCGTCTGACAACACATCAGGAGAGCTTGAGAGTCGTCGGGAGCGTCGGCCTGAATTGCCTTCAGACTCCTCTTGTGCGATTTATGAGCTCCCGGGTGACGGGATAGCTGAACTGGACGCGGGGCCGTCTTCTGCGAGGGGGAGGGATTATGCGACTGCCAGGGACGAGAAACGACATTGTTCGAGACATTCCGAAACCAGGTCGAGTATTGCTGCTTCGCTGGCCTCGAGGGTTACTACGGCGAGCTCAGATGACGAGGATGATCTGCCTTCGAAAGGAGGGCATCGTGAGAGCTCAGGCCCGAGCCCACCTCAATATACACCGTAACATATATTCAAGCATCCAAAGAGATGGAGTACATAGATGAAATTAATACTGAAACGTTAATGTTCATAGCTAAGGCAAAGCATAAGCCCAGTAGGGACAAGAAACAGGAACGAAAGAGGTTAGAAGACTCAATTAAACAATATTATCTGCAGAGCATAGACAGATTTGTCCATCCATAAGACTGAGCCAGTTGACCTAGCCTTCACGAAGACCCCACTACCTAGCTTAAAACATGTCGCTCAAGGAGAATTATGCATTCGTCATATTTTGCCTAGTCCCAACTGGCATCACCATCAGGAGACATGCTTGACTTGACCCATTGCCAGCCTTTCACACCAGCACAAGCACTAGCGACAACGCGCTCGCATAGGCACTCGATTGCATCCATGAGCAAAGAACCTATTGTCTAGCACCTGAACCTGCCATCCTTGATGCAATGCACCGGTTGACTAACAGTGATCTCTTTACCATCTGTTCAGGGGAGTGAATTTCGTCCACGCAAAGATCGACACATTTATCCAACTGATCAAGGAGTTCATTCTTTGCTTTCTGAAACGCAGCATGCGATCCCTGGAGGATCAATTTCAAGTTCCCACCACACACTTTGGTAAGTGCAGGAATCTTCTCATCGAGCGCTGGGGCAAGCTCCAACAATTCCATCTCCAAAGCCAAGAAATAATGCTCATTGCACTGGACGTAACCCTGGCTAGCCTTTACACGCTGATAACCCAGCTCGTCCTCTCTATGGCTCCTACACAGCCGGCGCTTTGCGAAGTCGTGCCATGTATAGAGACACTCCGTGAATCCATATTGCGCCCCAGATGGATCGATTACCCAGATTTCGCCGTTTGTGAGCGTGACACGGTAGACATTGTGACGCTCGGTCGTGGTAAGGGGAAACCCGTTGATGGTCTCGATGGAGATTTCCGGGTTATGAACGTCAATTGTAAGTTCCTCGATCTTGGAGCAAAGGCCTGTATAGTCAGCAGAGCTTTCAGGTAGAATACACAGGGTATGTGGGTCATTCTACCTGATAGGAAGTCTCGAACAAAGACAAAAAGATACAACAGCGCTTCTGTACAAGAGCTGATCATGACAATTGCATCGAACGCGCGTTGATCGCCGCCCTTCACCTCAACGGCTAGTGGCCGAAGATGTCGATAGGCATCTTGTTTATCTTCTTTGGTGAAACGCAAAATTACTCTAGATCCGTCAACAACGGCAGTTGCAGATCTGACTGTATGGGCGCGCAGGCGAATTCGATACAGTATCGCTTGAAGGGTATTGGCAGCCCTTGAAAGGGATTTGCGTGCCTGGAGCGGCTTGCATTTGGTCTTGTGCTCCCCCCAGTCTTGTGTCTGGCAAACTGAGCTGCAGTAGAATGTAGGCTTGGGGATATCTTTGTCGTATTCTGGAGCTCCAGTGCATCCGTTGCATCTTTTGGTGGCTGGACTCTGACAGTGGGCACAGCTTCCTGTCGTTGAAGATGGATTCTCCATTTTTGGAGCGTATGGTAAATTGGGAATGTTGATGGGCAGTGGTGGGAGGACTATCGTGGCCGAGAGAAGGTGGTGTGGTCTCGGTTGGCCTGCTTTGTTGGTTGTTCGAGAGATGTCTTTCACGATATATTCACTGCTTCACGAATCCACCACCAGCCTCATAGTGATTGCCTTGGCACTCCCCTCCATTCACAGGCTATACTTGGTGAATGGATGGATGATTGCTTTGTCAAGAGGGCCCACCATTATTCTAGTTCATTTGTTCCATGTATTGTTCTCTCCACGCATGTATATGCAAGGTCCACTGGCCTTTCTCCTATGGGAACACTATGTTTAGTCTTATGAGGCCTATATAGCCTGTTACAAGCGACCAATCCTTAAGTTACTTTCACTTTAGAATTTACACGGTTAATAAACAAGCCAGGAAAAGCTTGGCTACTAACAAGAGCTCAACTCTGGAGTTCAACGCAGTCCCAAGTTAGCCATTCAGAGACGAGGCATACGACCCCCATATATAGCGCCAAAATCATTACCGCTAGGCCGCCCAGCGTGGGCATATTGATTGTGGTGGTCTATACAGTATATGGTAGTATTTTCTGTGGCGGGCATAGTAACGCAGTACAGAGACGACGAGCGATCTGACCACACTGCACAGCCACACTGCACACTTACGACGAGACACGGCTGAGAATACATAGCCGCCCTCCCTCCACTCCTTCTATCACAGAACCATTCCGTGTCATTATCTCCTTAATCATTATATTCCTTTCGGTATTGGAAGACGCCCAAAGCTGTACTGTTTCGCCATCAGGAATGGACTTGTTCAAATACGGCCCTCTTGACCTGGACGGGCCAGCTTTTCGCCTTGTCCGTCTCTGCCATGGAGAGGGGCCAGATATCGAATGTGAGCTCTTCCAGGCGTGGCTCTATCCAGAGCAAAGTCTTATTTCGTACGAAGCCCTTTCCTATACGTGGGGCTCCATCGAAACGGTGGAGAGCATACGAATGAACGGACAAAGGCATGGTATTACGCTCAACCTATACATTGCGCTTCAGCATCTTCGTTTCCGAGCTCGGGATCGAATCCTGTGGGTAGATAGTATTTGCATCGACCAAGTCAACGATAAGGAGCGGGGACACCAAGTTCGACACATGGGGGACATATACAAACGGGCCGAAAGAGTCATATTCTGGCTAGGTCAGCCCACATACGAGACGAACTTGGTTCTAGATTCACTTCGGCAGCTACAGAAGGAAAGCACCAAGCATGCATGCAAGACTTGGGAATTGTCAGACCCACGTTGGGTAGACCTCTGGTCCGTCGTACAACCTCGTCTGGAGGAAGAATATCGAGAAATCTTCTGGGAACAGCGTCAGGGTCTGGAGGAGCTTCTCAGCAGACCTTGGTTTAGAAGGGTTTGGATCCTTCAAGAAGTTGCCAATGCAAGAGCTGGCTTAGTTTGCTGTGGACAAATGTCCGTCTCGGCGAGCATCTTTTCTCTCGCTCCGCTGTTAATCGACATGACCCCAAATGCACACTGCCGTGCGGTCCTGGATATAATGCCTGGACCGTCACGGAGTGGGACATGGTGGAACATGAACCGAGATCTTTATACCCTTCTACGGAAATTCCGTGCAAGTGAATCAAGCCTTCCCCGCGATATGGTATTTGCCTTGCTTGGGATATCTTCCGATGCACAGGATACAGACCGTTTAAGACCCGATTATGACAGTAATGAAGCTTCTGTTATTCGTGATGTTGTTTGTTTTCTCTTTGATGACCATATATATCGCACTCAGCAATCATATTTTCACACACTGCAAGACTTGATCAGAAACTTGGAGCTATTGAACACATTGTTCCTACAGCACTACATGGAATCGCCAAACCTAATGGACTTGGAGAATATTCTAGAACGGCGCGGCTTTGGGACTACAGAGGCTGATATTTCAGCTGCTGCACACGCAAGCAGACACGCCATGAGCAAATTTCTTGAAGACAATGCTAGAAGGTATGGGGAGGTGGACAATGTTACAATTGGGGTATGGGACCATCTGAAGAGCTTAGAGACCATTCTTCAGCGCCGGGGCTACAAGACGGAGATCATGACGGAAACACTTCTAGAAATAATTAAAAACACATACGGTGGACCAGATACGGTGGATTTCTTACTTCAGGGACGAGTCAAGGCGATCAAGATCACAGAGGCGGTAATTATTAAAGCCATATCATGTCTAAGGCAGAGTTCGGAGCTTGAGGAGTTTCTTGTCGAGCAATATACTAACAAAATAACTATAAGAGAGGCGATGCTCAAAGCAATGGTCTCACATCCATCACGTGCATTAGAACTTATACAGCTTCTTGTGCGGCTACCCGACTACAAGATACACATCACAGAAGATATACTCATCGCTGCAGTATCAAGCCCAAGCTATGGACTAAACCTCTTTAATTTTCTTTTTCAACAACGCTACGAGATCAAGATTACGGGAGTACTTAGCGCTGCAGCATTGAGCCTACACTGTGGACTACAGCTCATGAAGCATTTTTTCCTACGACGTGACAACAAAATCAAGATTACAAAAAGACTGCTCAACGCCGGAGTATCAAATATACGCTATGGAATAAAGCTTATACGGCTTCTTCTCCAGCCTCAGGGCGATAGGATACAGGTTAAAAAGAAAGTGCTCAAATCAATGAAATCAAGCATGAACTGTGGGCTAGCGATCGTGCTGCTGGTTAAAGTGCTGCGACGCAACAAAGTGAGAATCACGGACGTAGTGCTCAGGGATGCAGAGTTGAAGATACTCATAGGAAAGCCAAGATTTGATAAGCTAATGAGGTTTCTTGAACTATATGGCACCAAGGATTAGAGTACAGAAAAGTTACTTGAAAGCACAAAATGAGACGCACGCGATGTACGCAGGCTGCCGTGGTATCGTTTTTCATTACAAGCGTACCGGCCGAGACCGGATAGTGTGAGAGTAATAAAGGATCACTTACCGGTCTTCTGACCAGACTATGTACCGTTTGTCATCATAGCGTTAATGCACATTCTAGTGAAAAATCCTTGGGCAGATCATGTCTCTTGGACAGCTATACGTGTTATGGCATTTACGCGGCACACTTCAGAAGGCTGTGACATCTTTCCACGCTCTTCTGAACCAAATGACGACATATATTACGACTGTAGACTGTACTGTCCTCTGGTTGTACTGCAGATCTGTTCAGAATTTCTGGACGTTTTGGTTTAATATTACACAGCATTCGTGTAATCGGGCGTAGAACTCGCCAGTCGCTATTTATCAACCCTAGGTCGAATAATTCCTACCTACACAGAACAAATAGAAAATTAACTTGAGGCTCAGCGACCGTATATCCACATACCTCTACAACTCCATATTCGTTGACCTTTAATCTACTTTTGTTGGTATATGGCAGCCTTTGTATATAAAGAATTTCGCTACAGCGGCCACATAGTCCACGGCCCCTAATCTTGCCGCGAGGTTCGCTCAGTACAATGATCTAGACGCTCCGATAAGTCTGCAAGTGGAGGCCCCGACCCGTTGATCTGCATCGGCATGTGGGGGGTTGAACCTAACGAATGCTTATATATCAAAAGTGTATCCCATTCGTATCCCTCTAAAATTAGTACTTCATGTTTAAAAACGCGAATAAGTGTTCGTCAATATGTCTCTACTCCGTTTCTCCATGCTCGCTAGCACGCTTCTGGGTCTTGCAGGTGCCGCCTATCTACAAGGACATCATTCAGCGCCCACAAACGAGAACAACCAATACGCCCTGCAAAATGACCGGCAGGCCATCCTCGAGGACTTCGCGTACATCTTCTACACCGAAAAGAAAGTTGCAGAAGCATTCACCAAATACGTGACTGAGAACTACACACAGCATAACCCGAACATCTTGGACGGAAGACAGGCTGCCATAGAAGCTTTAACTCCGTTGTTCTCGACAGAGGGTATCGTCTTTGAAACCCACCAGGTCTTTGTGGGCGGCGACTATGGGCTTGTTCACGTCAAGGCCGTTACACCAGGACAGAATGATACAGCGGTCATGGATATGTATCGCTTTGAGGGCTTGAAGATTGTGGAGCACTGGGATGTATTGCAAACTATGACCGCAGGGATCAACCCTCATCCGTTTTTTTAGTTGGTAGTGCTGTTGGGATGTTGACTCTTCAAGGTAATCCCAACAATAAGCCTGTCGGCTAGACAGTGTCTTACATCCTTTGGGTCCATCTGCTGCGGCGTAGCGGAGAGATTATCCTGTACTAGATACATAAAACGGAAATTTCTCTAGCGGTGGAAGGATCTGCGAAGGGCACAGGCATCATTGTGAGTGCGGATTCAAAGAGGTAGTTAGAAACATTCCTTAGCCCAATTAAACTACATCCTTTCGACGTCTAGCTCCCTCATCTCCAACAGAATCAGCATTTTCCTCTCCTGCTGCTTTTTTTGTCCACTTGTGCTCCATCTCTCACACAAGTAGCTCAAGCTATAGGCATTCTACAATCTCCCTCGGAATGCAGGTGAGGAGCTCAATGGATTATAATCAAGCCCAACCTTTTGGTCTACACCTCTGCTGATAGCCCGCCATGCAGGTTTTCCTGCTCAGCTGAGACCGATTGTTATGGGGATCAGGTGCGGTATGTTAGTCTCTGATCTCCGATTTCAATTGTATTCCTGCCAGTTAGCCCTTGTTTAGACTTTGGCAGAACCTATTTTGGGTAGACCTGGCATTTATTTGCGGGTAAACCTCTGGGTCCTTCATTCAACCCGCCCCTACGGGTGGGTAAGATTCTGATCTGTAGACCCTCTGGGTAGTCTATCTAGAGATTTAATTCTTTAAAAAATTATCTATAGATAATTCTCACGGTCTAGAAATATAATGAATAAATAGAAAATATAATTTACTTATTTTGTAAGAGATATTGCAAGGGCCCGATATTCCACAAGACCAAAAGATCAGAATAATTCTGGATCAACAATCCAAAATGCCCTGGGCTGAATTATGCAGCCCGCCGTTACACGAAGGCGCCCTCATATATCCATAAAGAGTATTTTTAAATATCTGGAATATTCTATATCAGAGCTTAATTATATCATAAGAATAAATATAAAGATCTTAAAAAGTAGAAAATAGTTAAACAGGTGGTATCACAGTTCCAGTGTGTAATTATTCCCTATTTAAGATTAGTATGAAGTCCAAATAACACTGCCCTATTGGTGGTATTGGTAAAGTTGGTACTAGGAAGATCTTACATTTTGTCCGTTGGCTCGATTTAGGCCGCCGTACCCCACCTACAATTGGCCTAGCGTCCGCAGCAAGTCCCGAGTATCGCACCGGGCGCGAAGTGGCTCTAAAAAAAGCACATCCAGTAAATGATCTCCATGACAGCATCTTCAAGGCCAGCTTGGCCCATGACCAAACCCTCTGACAACAGTGTATTTCACAGGATCTTTGTAAGGTCATGTATGAGAGACAGACTCGAAGAAAAGTGCGTCTTACTCGGTCAAATTTGTCCTGAGTTGCAAATAGATGTGCTTTTTCTATGTAACATATCGCTTGTTCTGTAGAAGTCTCTATCAATCCCAATCTCTAGTGCACCCATTGCGCGAAGTTATTTCGAGTGGCCAAATCTAGTTTCTAGTCGCCCGAACTCCTTTGTCTCCAGGTGCGTTCCACCCTCATCCTGTCCCATTTCAGGCTGGCGCTTATTACCTCCCTCCTATTGGACAAGCTTCTTCCTGGCGTAGGGCATGGAATTATAAATATAACGTTGACACCCGCCATTTCCATAACGAAAGTTCACTTCTACTCCTCCCAGGACGTGCCCATACTCAGTCAAGCAGCCTGCAATGGCAAACCAGATCAGTCGGGGCGACGAATTGTTGGCTTTTACAAGCTCTGCATTGCAACGCAGTGTCGCTCTCCTTAATACGGTCAATAGATATAAGAACCCACCAAAAGCTGTACGCGAACTGAAAGAGGAACTTGAAGAACTTAATGAAGTTCTTGAAATATTCAGCGACACAATCAACACCAACGATACTGCGGACTTCACTGATCTTATTATCACCCTCCAGCGATGTGGAAATGCGTGCCGGGAGTTCGAAGAATCAATCATAGACTATTCTAATAAAGTCTGTGACCGCAAAATGAGCCTCCAAGACTGGGCAAAATTAAGGTACATCGGCGAAGATATTCATGGATTTCGTCACATGGTAGCTGGTTACAAATCAACTATTAGGATCGTTGTCACCCATGTGAATCTGTAAGTTGCCTGCGCAGGTTGGACATGTATCGTCGTGCTAATGCAATCATCTAGTCGAACGTATTCTGTCACAGCGAATGTCATGGAGAATTATAAAGAATTGATCAAGAACGCGACTAGCGACCTTAAGGCATATTTAAAGCTCATTGATAAAAAACTCGAGGCAATTGTCTCTGTGGATGCGGAGAGCTTATGCACCGACGTCAAAGAGATAAAGTCGATGAAAGAGGAACAACTTAGCTCCACAGTATGCCTCAAGATAATTTCACGTATATCGTGGCTGATTGAGCAGAGCCAGCGGGAAACAAGACAACGCGATAGCCGCGTTAAGTCATCAGCTTCAATGCTCTGGATGACCGACGAAATGTTACAAGATATCATTCGGTGCTCTAGCCAAGGTTGGCTGCGGGAGGCAGAGGCTTTATCCCAAAATCCGCACTTGGAACAACTCAACCAATTTACTAACAAGGAATTATACGGTGACTCAGCGAAGAATAATGGAAGTTCCAGCAGCGATTGGCAGGTGGAAGAATCAAAACTTGATGCCATAATGTTGGCAGAGAAAGCTACCGGCGTAGGCAACGCTTCAATCCCTACTGATCCAATTCACGAAGTGGGTGACTGCCTGAGTGATATATCGAAACCTCCATCTGTCTTTTCCTTGGCGACAATGCCATCGACCACTTTCACCACTGACACTCGGCTTACTGCAGATCAGATACGTACAGCTATTGACGAGCTTGTCTGCATATTTTTGGAAGATGCAGAAATTGATTACTTGTTCAGAGAAGCAATACTGAAACGAGACATAGCTTCAGATCGTCTAGACCGGAACTTCCGAAGGCTCATGAAACGTTTTGCCACAAATCTGAAGGACGAAGCACAAGAAGCAATTGATCTTGACCTCGCGAACCTCATTCTATCAAGGGTCACTCTAGTCGCCGAGAAAATCGGCACTAAATTTAGGCAGGAGTCTTCTGCGCTCGAAACTTTTCCTCAAGGCTCACCACAAATGCATGGGACCGTCGAAGTCGCATTTGATCTTGTACCAGATATCCACGATGTCAGCAGTGGCGAAGAGAACGATCAGGAGAAGCCTGGAATCGATGATCGCTTTGCTAGGCTGGTGTCTCATGGCCGCAGCTTTATCGAAGAGAGTGCTGCTTTCCAGAAGCTGCGAGTGGAATTCAAGAACTTCCTTATGCCAACTGTCAAGCCTATCCTCCTCGATTTCAGTTTCAATTCAAAGGAATGGATGATAAGGTGCTTCTGGAGTCTAGAAAGTCTTTTATCCCGCATTGGGCCTCGAGAAGAAAGTGATTCGCCATATCCAATTTCTACCCGGCCTTCTGCTGTATCACCGCCTCGAGAGATCGTGCTCTTTTCCGAGCCTATAGATCGAAATACGAATATCTATACCCCAGAGCGACCTTCCTCGTGGCATATTTCTCGATCCATCGGATGCCTGGGTTTGAGCTTCAACATCAACCACTTGCTATGGGCGGTAAGAATATCATGGGATCCTCAAAAGCTTTTCTCCAGCTTCGGCTTGCAAAATTTAAATCCCCTGCCACAGCATCAGATAGTATTGCTATGCCAACCATGTCGTCAAAGTGAGCCTCATTTTGAAAGTTCAACTCTTTTCACGTGGGAGTGCGCGGGAGTGGAAAGCAACGTCGATAGAAGAAAGGTCAGGGGGAGAATATCCTGGGATCCAGCGGAACTTCTACGCAGCCTCTACTTGCGAGAGCGGAAAGTACCAAAGCACCATAAGAGGTTTAGGTGGACGAATGTGAGTTTCAGCTATCTTGCAAGCTCCATAAATTGCTAACGGTCTGTAGCGATACGGTAAAAGGCTATACGACGATTACATTGAACGTGAACCAGGTGCACTCCAAGCTCTCCAGGACTACTTGGCTGTGACCACCGTTCCCAAGAAGACAATCACGCCTAGTGACCATGGCCAGAGCTCCTCCCGTGCGGCCTCTCTCTACACACCTAATGTTCAATCCACACAAACTACATCTCCATTAACAACTGCTGATATCGCCGATCAGTCTGTAACCAACTCTGGCAACTCTGAAAGTAGCACCGTACTCCATGACATTGAACAACCAACTAAACCTACTCGCCCACTACTCCTCCTCGCCTGCATAAAACGCCACGGTCGACCCGTAAAACTCCACCAAGAGTTTGTCACGCACATCGCCGACGACCGTCAACTCTTCCACACATTACGCAAAATATATTATAACCACCGACAGAGGCTTGAATCCTTCTGGTCCTTGAGGACATTGCACAGTATCCATTTTATGAGAGTGTGTACTTCTAACCATGTCCTGGGTATCAAAGCTGGGACACCACATTATCAACCCGGATCTCGGCGCTCATCCCTGACTAATTTCTCTACAGTTCATCTACGCCGGCAACTCATATATAGACGTCCGCTGCCATGGCGAAATTTGCACCCCCAATAATCCCTGCGCCTGTATCCCGCCCCTCGACCTTGTCCCACCCCTCGGCACATCTTATCAATGTCATCCTATTCCCCCAAGGCAATCTCCACCAGTCGGACCAGAATTAATGATGGACTTTTTTAACGATCCGAACGGTCGAGCCCCCGGTAGTGACCTAGTCATACAGCAATTACCGAAGAAAATGGACTCTGAGTTAACCTCTGATGGAGTTGAAGTGATGACAGCGTGGGGAATATTCTATCGTGAGAGTTTAGATTGGAAGCGTATTTGGGCGGCTCTTGGATTAGCATTTTTCCTACCGAGCCTTTTGTATGGGATCTTGTGGGGAATCCTGAGGAAAGATATACAAGGGGCTTTTGGAGTGGCGGCCTGGTGGATGACAGGAGCGACAGTCGTGGTAGGGATGATAGGAACCCTTGTATAGATAGGCGGTGGAAAGATCGATGGTCTGCAGAGGTTAGCGGGTTTTATTTCGGGTCCTGTTCGGAGCGAGAGTCATCTATAGCTTGACGTAGGCGTGCGACTGTAGTCAGTTAATTATATGCTACTTCCCTGTTAGAAGGCCAGGCCTGTTACAAGAAGCAAAGCAACATTACTCATGAGTACTGTCTTTATACAACTCGCTCGTTCATAGTGGTTGACAGAATAGGGATTCGAATTCCTGCCACGTCTCCAACCAAGCAGGCATCCGTCTGTTCGATTTGCGTGCTCGAGTGACGTTCTAGGGTCCCTGAAGACATTACTAGTCTAACACAGAAGCTATTTCAAGTTTCGGGGCAGGTTTTGAGAAAGAATCTGTGTGCAAGTGGTGAAACTGATTCCAATCCTCCCTGTATGTACCTGGGTCAATGTTTCCTTATCCTAGATCAGATATATAAACAAACCGTACAGCAAAAACGTCCTCCGCAGTAAGACAGTTACTATAAGGGGAGGATAAAAGCCAATATCATATCCGCTAGAAACTAGATATCTTATTGGCCTACTGTCCTTTAAGATATACTACTGTAGTATTCTCAGATTCAATATACTGGGTTGTAACCACAGAAAATAAGTAAAGCCCTCTTGTAATATACCCAGGCAAGATATTATATAATATCTACTAATATCTACTAATATTTTATATATTCTTATTTCCTTTTGTTGATATAATATACAAGCTATGTTCTACCGTGATTTTCTCTACTAAGGAAATTAGAGAAATAAGGATGGAGGCTCCGGAAAGAGCGATTACTGCTAGATCGCCTGATACATAGGTGCAGCATGGAGCAAAGCTAGTCTCACACGTGATCAAGCATACTGGTCTGATCAAACTATCCATTTGTGTGTGTGGTTATGTCTGCCAGTGTGTCAATTCAGCCAATATGCGGTGATTTATTCAATATATGGCCTGCATCAGAAGAAGAAATAGCGTTTAAACCGTCAAACTTCCCTGATAGCCAGTCGATGTGACACCCTCTTTCCCTCTGGATCACTCATTCTTAGCTACACTTCCAAGACAAATGACATAGATAGGCCCGTAGTATCGTAGCCCGTGAGTTACTCGGAGTGAACATGGTATTTGACTGTATAGGCATTAACGCTAAAGCAGCTCATATAGTTTACCAGTTATACGGTTCTCTGATTAGTAAACTTATCCAGGAAGATCACTATATCATTACATGCACATCTAATCGCAGCTATACTAATTGTCACATTAACCCAAAAAGAGAATAAAAAATATAGCGTACGGTCAACAGCCTGCTGAGTGCTTCCGCCAGTTATACTTTCTTACCACAGCCTTGAATGCTCGGACACAGGCCCAGCCTGCCATGCATTTTACTGCCCCAGCGAGCTCTAGTGGAGAGCTCGTCCCGTCGTCAAGTCCCTTTCCCATTGCTCGTGCCGTGTGCCGCTGGCTCTCTATAATCTTCACCAGGACCTTATTCAACGATAGCTCCTCGCCACGCGAATCGGTTAATATAAAGCCCGGCGTGTTTTTGTTCTCCTGTGATTTATATTTAGTCAATAGCTCGGCTTTCATCGTCTCCAACGCGACATAGAGAAACCAGTTCGAGTCAAAGGGCCCTTCCCGATGAGGCCAAGTCTGGAGAAGCTCAATCGCGCGCCAGCGGATATTATGATCACGGCAGACCATGGCCGTGCGATATAGGGTGGGAATGACGCCCGTGTTGATGCTGACGGCTGGAGGCTCGGGAAAGCTCTTCACGATTCGTTCCGCGAGTACCACTATCTTCCGATAATCCGATGTATAATGTTCATATGCCGGTGTATTTCCGCCCAGCAGGCATGTCTTCACTGAGACGGCCAAGCCCAGCTGCTGTAAATAGAGCATGTCGGCCCCTCTTCGTTCTTTTGTGCTAAGAGCCGAATACGAGCGGCGATAAAAGTGATCGAATGAGTCCATGTACTGGCTGAGGCTGGACCACGCCGCCAGCTGTCCTACCTGCAGGGCTTCATAGTTGGACGCGATATCTACAGCAGACAGACCCATGCAAGGCCCGGTAAATTGATAGACCGCTCTAAGAGGGGTATTGAAGGCTTGACGGGCCTGTTCTAGGCTATCAAATGCTACACTGCCGCCCCCACCCTGCTTTGACTCATCATCGACAGGCAGGCGGGACGCCTCAACCCCAAAGAGTGTGGACTGAATACCTAGGTGGTCAAACGTCTCGACTAAACACGGTTCGATGGCCTCCTCCCGGGGTACCCGGCAGACTGAAGCCTTGTAAGCGGTGTACTCCTTTATAATTTGCAGACCACTTTTCAGGTGCCTAAAGGCATCATCGTACCGTCCCCGGAGCAAGTCCAACATGATGAAGAGCAAGCAGCAGGTCAGGATGACATCTCGCAGGCGCGGATCCTGTGACATCCGGCGCTTGATCAAACAGGAAAAAGCCCGACCTAGTTGCTCAAGGGCGAAGGAATTCCAAATATTATACGCTTCCTGTATCAACAATGGCATCCCTCTGGTCTCCATGCCCTGATGGACCGCGCTCAGCGCGATCACGGCATGGTACACGGCTGGCTCTGACTGGCCCATCTGGAGAACCACTTGGCGCCAGAGCGATGAGTCGTAGAACTCGAGGATCATGGGAACTGTGCGGTGCTGGAAGTACGAAAGACATCGCCGCTCGTCCGAGGTCATGGGCCACGTCGGCCTGTGAGCAATCACCAGGGTCACAGCTGGAACGGTGGCATCCACGCCGGCTTTCTTGGTCAGAGGCAGCCGATGTACATCATACCCATCACAAATACGGCCGGTGGAGGTGCAATTCCGACACATCTCAGGGGTTTCATCGCATTTAATGCGGCGAGCACTGCGAGCGACATTTAGAACATACCCATCCCACTTTTCGGCACCTTCCCACAGCTCACCGGCAGGAACGACATCCCGTCCTCGATTTCCTTCCCGCTATTCGTCGATGACCAGTTCCCATCGGTGCACCGGGTGACTGCAGCGACCGGCGGGATTGGCGGATCTGATTCATTTAATAGCTCACTCCGTCAAGGCCGTCCGCAGTAGACATACAGGAATTCCTTGAGGGAAACTTGCAAGTTGGAGGGGGTGCGAGAAGAGTACATTAGTACACAGCTGAGAGAGATGGTGGGGGGGGAAGTTTGGGATGCCAGCGCGAAGATCAAGGGTACTCCCTTGCGGGCGCCTTCGCCAGTCCTGACCGACTGTCTGGGGTCTGGGGCGGCTGCCGATGATTACGTTAGGAACATGTCGCAGTGCCATGCAGATCGAGTTGGTTCTAGCCCGGCATCCGATTGGTTTGTCGGCTACGGGAGTAACGGAACCGGCAAACAAGCAATCGGCGGGACCACCACACGTCATTTCTCCGCGCCTATTTTCATGCAATGATTCAACCACCAGCTATACGGCCAAAAATATCTAAATTAGAGTAGCAGAGCCTAACCGCTATAACTAGCTATAATCTAATCTAAGCGATCTCGGTTTGATTCGGACATAGAATTTCTTAATAACTTTAAATATTGATAGATGGAAATTAATTAATCTTTTTGTTAAGGCATATCTACTCAACAAGGCAGACAACCTGTCCACTAGGTAAGGGTACAGATGTCTATGCACAGGGGACAAGGGATACTGTACAGTCATCAAGCAGAGTCAGCAACGGATCTGGGACACGTTTAACTACAGTTAACTGTAGACTAAGCTAGATTGGATTGTAGTAATTACATTAATACGTGCAGATTCATTAATAATTACTATTGTGGTTCTAGGTATAAACCACCCTATATATCCAAAAATGATCTAATTTCTGCTACGACTTACTACTTCGTAGCAATTTTAGAGCTCTTCTCCACTGCGAGTCCGGCCAGCTTTCGGGTAATACAGCGGGGTTTGGTCCGAATAACTGGAAGTGGAAATTCTGCTTAGATAACAGCACTTATATTGTAACTATATCTATCCTGAGAGGTGTACTTATAATTATGAAGGTAGTTCCACTATGCGCTGTATCTAATGCCTGGAGTTCTTCTTAAATTTGCATATAAGATACTCAGAACCCTTTCTTAAAGCTAGTAAGCTTTTGTCTACATAGACAACGTGCTATCCATCAAACCTTCATCTCAATATATTCTGCCCTTGTGAAAGCTAGATCCCAATTCGCTCCGAAATCTGTACTATTCTTTCGAGATTCGGCCCGAATAGTGGAGCAAATATTTATGCGCGCTGAACCACTTGAATGACTGAATTCCGGGTTACAAGACGTACACTAAATCGATATAGCACCACTCTACGGTGGTAAGAGGGCCCACCAGAAGGTGTCTGGAATCCAGAATCTTGCTGACTACCTAAGGCAGATGCGGAGGGAAATCTATTCGCACCGAATTAGCAGATATCCTTTCCCCCATGGCATCTCTCCCGTCTCTCTCCAGCTTAATAAAAATTGGTATTGCCAATAGTTACCTGTCTTGGTCACCTTCTCTTCCCATATTGTACATCTTGTTCTTCACATCACCCTACAAAAATCCAGAAAATCAATGATTGTCATTCTCACGGTCTTCAAATACGCCGGGGACGGCCCAGCCCCCGCGCAGGCAGAGAGCCGGGCACTCGAAGAGGCACTGCAGGCAGAGATGGTTGACACAGGAACCATACTGTTCTATTACAGCCGGCTGAAGTTTTTCGGAACAGAAGTGGCGGGGCAGCATTGGGACGAGGCCGCACTCTACGCCGTTCCCAATCTCGACGCCATGCGACGTTGGTGCATGTGGGACAAGCACCGTGCTGTCGACCTGGCCATGGCTGAGAAGAACGCATTGGTCGCCGTGTTGCCACTCCAGTTCACTGACTCGGACGACCCCGACGCCCTCGACAAATTCGCAGAAATTCTCCGTGATACTTCTCGGGACCGAGCTGAACACGGTTTGGTGCTGGACTTTGGAGCAGCTCGCCTTGGTCCCGAATACGCGACACTAGGCCTGGCGGAGATTGTTGCTGCTACTCGCGCAGAGCGCTAAATGAAATCATTGCACATGAAAAGAATTAATTATGTGAACACCCTTATGTTTCTAATGGCGCTTATCTCAATCTGTTTTCTCCTTTTTCTTGCATACCCTTGCCACTGCTTTATTTTTATGCGAATCGGCATAGTCGCAAACATCGCGGATGACGGATGCAGGGTGAAAGTCTAGTATTAAAACTGGCTGCCTCCATATCGACGCGTAACGCTCCTACTATCCACCCCAACTGCTCCCTAATCTTCCTATATTTAATGACATAAGTCCCAGACGCGATTATACCATAGTGGGGTTGCGGATTGCTACCGGGGTTCATCACTTAGCGCGGTAGCTCTTATCGTGCTTACTACGGTTAATAGTACTCTATAATAGTCTACACCGAGATTAGGTAGAATTAGGGCTTTCTCCTGAAGCATAGAGACGTGCTCAGATCTACTCAGTGAGCCAAAGCAGTGAGAGTCTGAGCACCAAAATGCAACGGGAAGGCCAAGACCTGGCCTAGGAAAGCCGGGATGTACTGGGTAGATTCAGAGTCTTAGATCTCGTAATCTCATAGGACTAGGTAATATAATACGACGGTTATCATAGATTTGTGTTGGATAGCAGTGGTTCCGGAAGACACAATATGGCGCCGTCCTCTTGGAAACCCTTGCTCGTCTCTACCCTCTACAACAGTTACTTGGCCTGTTCCCTCCCAGCTATCGAGCCAATTAGTAGTTGAATCAATCTCATCCTGCAGCCAGCGAGAAAACGAGGGGGTCATGCATTTGGCTCTATAATGGACCAATTATTGTGCAGCACGTGTTGCATTAGCCCTGAAGCTGCTGCGACTCCTACCAGCTGAGGTGCGATGGAACATACGGATTGAAAGTATTCAGACATGAGTCGGGATTTGGTAGGTAATTCGGGAGGTCGTGAAAGAGAAAGCAAAATACGAACATTCGATTTGTGTATATCTCAAGATGAATGACTATCCTGCTAGACCATGGGGGACATGGAAAGAATCTTAAGTCCGTCAGACGGCGCTCGTGTATGGCCGACCAATACCACCGTGGCTTATTATCTGGGTTTCAAGCTTTTAAGGAGTACTATTATAGCTGAATCCTTGTCCTTGAAAGATGTAATAGGGAATCTGGGAATGGAGGCGAGGCTGATACTCGGTTGTTTCGGAGGAGGGGCAAAAAAAAGCAAACAGAAAACAACACCAACAGACATCGGACTAAAGCAATGATCCCCACAAGGCCATAATGGCGCGGCTTCCAGCGCTCGGGGCTCTTTGCTGGGGAGAGCCGACTTTTTAACTCAATTTTTTCCCCGACATTCCACCTGGATACACTCTAATCTCGTGTTCTGGATACCATCCGATGGGTCATGGGCGACGACGCTTTGGCCGCACTGATTAGTGAGGCCAAGCAAATATCTCGGGCCGACTCACTCCAGCGTATCAGTGTGATCTTTCAGTGTATAGATCACCTTCTATCTCTGGAAGACTCCACGCGTGGGTACGAAGCAGTCGGGGTCCTCCGCACCTTACCAATCTTTCCGACAAGGAGAGGTGAAGCCCGACCAACGTTACAGACCTGCGAACGGCATGATGATTGGTTTATCGCGGACCAGCCCCGCCTGTTGGAGACTTTTTATGGACGTCTTAACATGCTCGCGTTTGGTGCGGAGGATTTAGCACGTATGTCGAGATTGTTCTGTGCATTGCATATCGAGGATCGGTTGCTGTCCACGGCAGCCATTTGCAAGCCCCGGCAGGGCCTGGCCTCCGTAGTGAGGGAGGATTACAAAAGGCTGCTCCTGTCTAAAGCTGAATATCTCTCTTGGTAGGCCACATCTTTACTTGTTTACCCGTCGCTTCTCTCTTATTGTGACGTAGCCTGGCTCGAAATCACGGGTCTCAGCCGTCCGAGGTATCCGAATTGCTTCGGGATATAGAAGTGCAGAGTGTTGATGAAGTCATTGTCGAATGGGCCGTTCTGTATCCATCTGAGTACATTATCGATACACATGAGGACACAAAATTGGCCTTAATTGTTAGAGAGGATAACAGGGTACAGCTTTACATACGCCATATCGATGCAGATGCAGACAATCTGCCTTTCGAGCTCTGTGAGCAATTGTCAGAGTTGTTCGGGATCCCTTCTCAACACAGAACCTTGTTATGGGCGGCTTTACTGCTGAATGATATAGAGCTCCTGCGCGAGGCTCTAGGTCCAGGAAATATCTTCCGAACCATGTCATTGGTTAGCCAATCGACTGAACGCCCAGCAATACTGACTCGAATGAACTCCAATAACAATGTAAGTTACATACAGGAGTGGCAGCAGATGGCCGTCCGTTCAGAGCCCAGTGGCCACCGCACACAGGTGTCCTTTGGACAATCCGAAAGGGACCATTCATTTGAGACCGGGTATACGCAATTGGATGATCAAGATAATGTGAGTATCGCACAGTTGACAGATTCACATTATCAACATAGAGTACCGAGGTTTACAGCAGAACCTGATGTTATCTTTTGTTCTACTGTGGAAGAATTGCCCGATGTGGATTTCGAGGGAAAGACTCAAGAAGGTCAAAAGACGCTGCCTGCTCGTCTACAGATGCTTAACACTGGGATGCAAACTCTCTTCATAGCGCGTAGTTCTACAACCTTGATTGATCACGAGCCAGCGTTTCTCGGAGAGGTGTTTGTAAGATAATCGAATCTCATATTGCTGTCAAGACTAGCTAAAGTTTTCTGAGCGTTTTAGGTCTCCGAGTTCCTGGGGCACGTTCTTGGAAGCGCATATGATCCAAACATACATTGGACAAGCCACTTTCGCAATCGCCTTGGCCATACCCCTTTCAGGGCCCAGGAGAATTCTCCTATGTCAGGTTTTTATATTGATGCCCGAACAGGCCAGGCAATGACAGACTTTTTGAGAACAAACTCAATCGAGGGGGCAGCAGCATGGGCATACCTTCCTCCCGATTACCGTATTGATGTCCAGACCACAGTAGACGGTACATCTGCATCGTTTTCCTGGAGCCCGCTCGATTTCGATATGGTAGGTAATTTACGGCATCTGCTTGCAGCACTCCTCTCCTTGCTTTTACTTCTAGGTCTCCCCTCTTGCTAGTTTGCGTCGGGGCTGAAGGATGTTGTCCCACGGTCGGTCTATTGCGACATTATCTAGTTGGATAGGGATGTATGCTAACAAGCACGGCCACAGGCACGTAGATGGCGGATTCGAGGTTCATCCCACCAGCAAGACCACATCTACATTCTCATACGAGTCTCCAATGTGTATGGTAAGGATCCCCACGTTCGCATGTTCGTGGATCCCTGGGGTATGATTCAACAAGAAGAGCTCCTGATAAAAGCTCCATCGAACCTAGTCGCAAGTATCCCCGACAGCGCACCTTTGGGGATAGAACTTAGTACCTTCCAAAGCAAAATACCACAGCCGCGTTATGACCCCTTCTCCCGAATGTCTAGATTCCTTGGGTCGGCAATATCACGCCAGCGCTCCAAAGATACTTCAAACGTGTACACCTGGGAACCATTGAATGAAGCCGCAAGACAGATAAGGCTTCTTTATCTGCTGCCCGGAAAAGGGACCGAAGACCTGAGAGGGAAGTTGACAGTCTCAACTATAAGAGACCGGCCCGAATATGACGCTATTTCTTATACGTGGGGAAGTGCGCTTCACCCATTCACGCTGCACACCTCGGAAGGGATTATTCCCATCACAACATCTCTATATCTGGCGTTGAGGCGAATGCGTAAGCGCAACAAGTCAAGATGGGTTTGGGTAGATGCAATTTGCATCAATCAGAGTGATAGTGTTGAGAAGCCCTCCCAAATATCCATGATGCCGGACATTTTTAGATCGGCCACGCGTGTCTACGCGTGGATCGGTGAAGAAGAAGATGAGAGTCTCGCAGTTCTCAGGACTCTAGAACAGATTGATCATGCTGTGCCGTCTCGCGGCGGAGATGAAGTGATCCCTCGCTTAGGGAGCACATTCTGGGATGACCTAGGCAAGCTGCTTGAGCGCAAATGGTTCCGGCGAATATGGGTCGTGCAAGAAATAGTTCTAGCGAGAGATATTATTGTCATGTGTGGCAATCAGAGGGTCCCATGGGGCCGTTTCTGTGATACACTCTCGCGATTATTCTACCATGCTGAGCAATCTAGCTCAGGTCTATTCCTTTCTCGAGGGAGTACTGCAGGCTCTGTCCTGCGTCTCGCTGCCTTCCGGAAAGCATGCTGGGAGGGTGGGGACTTTGAAGCAAAATATCAACTACTATCGTTGTTTGAGCACTTTCAGTGGACCGAGGCGACTCAGAGACGAGACAAACTGTTCGCACTACTAAACTTAGCCAGAGATAACTGTCAGGAACTCCGTCCAGATTACGAGGCTCCTCTAAAGGACATAATCTGGCGATACGCACGCACATTCGTAAATAATGGCTATGTGATGGAACTACTGTACAGAAGTGGGCGTTCCGCGATATCTCCATCCTGGGTGCCAGATTGGACATCGGCACCCTACCCCAGGTCTCTATCCAAATGGAGATGCAAAACCGCGCCACATAAATTCACTGCTGGCAACGGATTCCCGCTCTCTTTCCACTTACGCTCTGGAAGGGTCTTATGCCTCCGTGGGCACCTAGTTGATCGTGTATCACGCGTAGGCAAGTGTCCATCGTACACAAGTGTGTTTCCAGCTTACCGCCAAGAAATTTCTACCATGGTCGACAAATGGTTTCGAGCCCGTACTCCAGAGGAGACTGCGATTGTCAAGTGGAGACTGCCCATTGGGGACTGCGATATAGAGTCTGAGCAGCCGCGAACTTCAGGTAATCTAAATGATGCATGGGCGGGAGAGTCTCGAGAATACATGGCTGCTGCCTCTGACTTCGCAGACATCTTCTCACCTGCCGTTGCCTGCGGCACAGAAATGAGAAAAGTCGGCATTGTCCCCAAAAACACTCAGACGGGTGATCGAATTGCTGTCTTCCACGGTAGCGTGGTCCCTTTTATAATTCGCAAAACAGAAACACCAGATGGCCACTACCGTGTGATAGGGGAATGTTACATTGATGGCATGATGCATGGGGAATATATGGATTCATCTGGACAGTGTCTGGACATAAGTCTGGTCTAATAGCATGATCCAGTGTACTACCATTGTCTCTCAGGTGCAAGAGAAGGGCCGTGATTGTGATTTGGCTCTACCTAATACCCTTTCCCAAGTAGTAGTCGACTTGGGTAATATATCTCCAAAATACCTCCATCCTAGTGGGAATATCAGGCAGTGCTTCCGAAGATATATAATATAAATATAACTGTATAGAAGTGATTACCATTTAACTTCTAGATACGCAGAGGGACTCTTGACTTCCTCCTGACTACGTGATAAATGGAGTCTTACCGCCACTGCACTCTCTTGGGCATCCTAGCCCTAATTCTGACCTGCAGAAGGTCATACTAATGAGTCCGGTCGCAATTGTTACCATCCGCACTGTGAAAGCCTTCTTCACCGTTGGCGTTCGCGAAGGGTGGATGGAATCTACTTCTTAGACTCCCCCGATGATAACCACCACAAGTGGTCTTGGATGTTATCCTGAATCATTTCCAAGGTGTGGCATGTCGTCTACCTCGGTAAAGTCAGGTTGTCTGTGTGGAAAAGGCCGATTGCGGGGCCCCACTCGTGTAGCAGTTTCGTAAATGTGAAGCCTTTCGTGGGTCAGTCATGTAGAGCATCGCGCCACCAGCAGACATATTTCATCATGGCTCGCTATTCTCAGTTCTAGCTTCGCCCGGGCCCCGATGCCGACAACGTTGAAATATCCCGATGTGGTAATCATGCCACGATGCGATGTTGTCGGTAATGAGGATGCGCCACGGTGAAAAAATGCGCACTCCGGCTGTGGAGCAGGCCCGGGGGAAAGTCTACGCTCAATGGTCCGCCTCAATCATGTAACTAATATAGCGCCCTTCGCCTGCAGCACCGACCAACCAGAGAGCTGGGGAAGACCCAGGACGGATATTTACCGGGGGCGCTAAACAAGGGACGCAACGATCGTCGCGGGGTTTGTGGAGGGCAAATTGACTGGGTTGCAGTCTCTCGGGCTTTTGCCGGAGAACCAGACCAAGCATCTTTGTGATGGCCGATGAGCTTCCACGGAACCGGGTCGCTTCGTTGTTTTCTTCCGGCCGTGAGAGCTTTACCTACCCATACGGGAAAGCTCTCGGCCGCGCCCGGAAAACTTGCCAAGGGCCGTGGTGGATCCAGCTGTGGGCACAGGCTGGGGGAAAAGAACTGGAGAGTTGATGTAGCATCATTGTACCCTTCCCCGGGAGCCAAGACCGGGGCCTTGGCAAAGGGATGAGTGAAGCTATATAAGGCCAGAAGCTGGCCATCTCTGCTCTCTTCCCCCAGGCTTCATTCACCATGTATCTCAAGAAGCTGCTCATTTCGGCTGCGGCCCTGAGCGGCTCCGTCTTTGCCCAAAGCAAGGAAGGAGTGGAGGATCTCGATGGCCCCGGAGATGATCTATACGTCAAGGACCTTTCTGGATGTCCGGGATACAAGGCCACAAAACACTGGCAGACTCGGTCTGGCTTTTATGCGGACCTGACTCTCGCCGGCCCGGCATGCAATGTCTTCGGGACTGATCTCCCGGACTTGAAGCTGGAAGTCGAGTATCAGACTAGCGACCGACTCCACGTCAAGATCTTGGACACCAACAATACCGTCTACCAAGTTCCAGACAGTGTCTTCCCTCGGCCTGGGTTCGGCGAATGGTGCTCCCCAAAGGATAGCAACCTCAAGTTCGACTTCCAAGCCGACCCCTTCTCGTTTACGGTATCTCGGACCGATACTGGTGAAGTACTTTTCGATACCACCGGCAACAAGCTGGTGTTCGAAAGCCAATATGTTTACCTCAAGACACACCTTCCACAGAACCCGCATCTGTACGGACTGGGCGAGCACAGTGACGCTTTCATGCTGAACACGACCAACTACACCAGGACGATCTACACCCGTGATTCGTATGGAACGCCTCAGGGCGAGAACCTGTACGGCGCTCATCCGATCTACTTTGACCACAGACAGACTGGAACCCACGGAGTGTTCTTGCTGAACTCCAACGGTATGGATATCTTCATCAACAACACCGACACCCAGTACCTTGAGTACAACATCATCGGTGGTGTTCTTGATTTCTACTTCATTGCTGGACCCTCCCCGCGCGACGTGGCCGTCCAATACGCGGAAATCACTCAGCTTCCATTGATGACTCCTTATTGGGGACTGGGTTACCACCAGTGCAAATACGGCTACCAAGATGTCTACGAGGTTGCCGCTGTTGTCGCCAACTACTCCACCAACAACATCCCTCTCGAGACGATCTGGACTGATATCGACTACATGGACCGTCGGCGCATCTTCACAATTGACCCGGAGCGGTTCCCGGCCCATCTGTACAAAGACCTTGTGGACACCGTCCACGCGAGGGATCAGCATTATATTGTCATGGTTGATCCCGCTGTGTATTACAAGGAGTCTAACCCGGCGCTCGATGCAGGTCTCAAATATGACACCTTCATCAAGGACAAGAATGGCTCTGCGTTGCAGGGTGTTGTTTGGGCTGGCCCGAGTTACTTCCCGGACTGGTTCCACCCTGACTCTCAGCAGTACTGGACCGAGCAATTCCTGGAGTTCTTCGACGGCACCAATGGTCCGGACATCGATGCTTTGTGGATCGACATGAACGAGCCCGCAAACTTCTACAACCGCCCGTACCCAGGCAACAACACCACTCCAGAGAACTTCGCCGAAGTGGATGGCGATCCTCCGGCGGCACCACCGGTCAGAGACGGCCCAGATGCTCCTATCCCTGGATTCCCGGCTAGCCTTCAGCCCAACTGGGTGAGCAGCGACGCGACTGAGAAGCGCGACACTACTGCTGTTGTCCAACGTCAACGCTCCCGGTCCCGTTCCCGCCGCAACCTCGGTGCTGGCCACTGGCGCTCCCCCAAGGGCCACCATGACAAGAATGCTGGCTGGCAGCACGGCAGAAAAACCGGTTCTGGCTGCGGCCCCGATGAGTGTAAGGGTCTCCCCAACCGTGAGTTGATCAGGCCACCGTACATGATCCAGAACGGCGCCGGTCCCACGCTTGCCGACAGCACTGCCGACACCGACGTGGTGCAGAGCGGTGGATATGTCCAATACGATACCCACAACCTTTACGGTGCTATGATGTCCTCGCACTCGCACAACGCCATGCGCGCTAGGCGTCCGGATGACCGCGCTCTGGTGATTACCAGGAGCACCTTTGCTGGCTCTGGAAAGGATGTGTCGCACTGGCTTGGAGGTAAGACCATCACCACATTGACAAGACAGCGACGACAATAGCAGCCTGCTAACTACTCTGCAGACAATGTATCTGGATGGCTTTGGTACCGCCTTTCCATCAGTCAGATCCTCCAGTTCGCCTCGTTGTACCAAATCCCCGTTGTGGGTCCCGACGTTTGCGGCTTCGGTGGTAATGTCACGGAAACCCTCTGTGCCAGGTAAGGGCTTGAATCTCGCACTCTTTAGATTGCGGGCACTCCAGGGGCTAATACAAAGCATTAGATGGGCAACTCTTGGTTCTTTCTACACATTCTTCCGCAACCACGCCGAGATCTACGCCAACCCCCAGGAATTCTACCGCTGGCCCACCGTAGCTCAAGCCGCCCGCAATGGTATCTCCATCAGATACCAGCTCCGTACGTTAACCACCCAGCACTCTTTTCTGACGATGATAATCAGCTGACTAACAATCCTCCAGTTGACTACATCTACACGGCCATCTACAAGCAGAACCAAACTGGTTTGCCCACCCTCAACCCCCTGTTCTTCAACTACCCCAACGACGCAAACACCTACCCCATCGACCTCCAATTCTTCTACGGTGACGGCATCCTCGTCTCCCCCGTCACAGAGGAGAACAGCACAAGCGTCACCTTCTACCTCCCAGACGACATCTTCTACGAATGGGGCACCGGCAAGCCCGTCCGCGGACAGGGCGAGTACGTCTCCCTCGACAACATCGACTACACCGACATCACCATCCACTACAAGGGTGGCATTGTCTACCCCCAGCGTGTCGAGAGCGCAAACACCACCACCGCGCTGCGCCAGAAGGGCTTCAACATCGTTGTCGCACCGGGCTTGGATGGCCGCGCTGAGGGCTCCCTGTACCTTGATGACGGCGAGTCAGTTGTTCAGGATGCCGTGTCCGAGATTGACTTCGTCTATGAGGATGGCAAGCTTAGTCTGACCGGCTCATTTGAGTATGATGCTGGGGTTAACATTGAGGTTATCACTGTTCTGGGTGTCGAGGCGCAGCCAGAGACTGATGAGGATGTGGAGTATGACGCCGAGAACCAGAAGCTGGTGCGTCATGTCGATGTGCCTCTGACGGGCGAGAATGAGATTACGATTTGGTGATTTGCACGGTCGTGGATGAGATAGCTGTTAAGTATATATCATACGACGCACGTATATACGAATGTTCACGTTTTCAAAATGAGGATTTCCCTTTTTCTTGTATGGCCTAGCTCAATTGCGATTATATCCGTAAAGTGGGTCCTGGATGCTCAGCTGTCTTTGGGGGTAACTGCCTGCAGTACAACTGAGTGGATGAGAAACCCTGTTCTCTCTACCTTGTAGCGGTAGGTAGAAAGCTACTCTTTATAGCCGCAGTGTGTTTATTTATACTGCCTATGGTAGATTCTCGTAGGCTGCTACTACAAAGCATATCATGCATATCACTGGCATATAACTCGAAATTTTTTGCAAACTCCCACCACTATATATGCCCATGGCCGTGTGTATAAAAGTCTAGGAGACGAGTGAGGGCACCAACGACGTTCAATATAATGCGTATGACTCTATGATTCCCGAAAGCCAACATGGAGATGTCTATTTCTCCTTCACGAATTCACTCACGTCACACATACCATTCCCGTAACCCCCTGAAAACTCCATACATGAGTCAAATGATCCATACCGAGCATCAAAATAATCCAAGATGTAATTTGTCCGAGGGTTCCATGGTGCATTTTCGCCCGCCCTGGGTACGTTGTTTTCACCCCTCAGCATATAGTTGGCATTCAATTTCCAAAGCTGAGAAGGCTTGCCTGGCGAGCCATACATGCGAGGAGTAGCCGCCCGAATACCTTCCTTGTCCATATGGTTTATCATCCGGTGGATCAGTAGGGCGACTGCGTCTGCTCCAAGAGTCCATGACGCATCTGTCAGATGCCCCAGGACAAAAAAGCAGTTGGGAATATCCTGCAGCATCATGCCTTTCCACATGACCTTCTCAGCAATATCACACGGTTTTCCGTCCAATTCGAATTGTGCTCCACCCCCGATCTGTAACCGAAGGCCTGTCGCAGTTACAATGATATCTGCGTCGATGAAGCGGCCGTTGTCGAGAACAACACTACTCTCAGTGACTGTCTTGATGTTCGCTGTCTCGATGTTGGTTTTTCCCGTGTGCAAACTTCGGAAGAAATCCCCATCAGGGCATGCCAGCAGACGCTGATCCCACGGGTCATATTTGGGTGTAAAATGAGGCGACAGGGGAACATGGTCGGGGAGCTGATAGCCAGCCAGCCTCAGCAAAATATATTTTGCGAGTCGAGGAAAGTTTCGACAGAAGTAATAGCTCGCCAGCATAACCGCCATGAACCTATAGCGCTTGAGCATGTGCAATACCGTGACAGGCAGTAGTCGGCTCAACCATGTATCTACACTATCAGGGATGGACACAATGTAGCTCGGGCTTCGCTGGATCATGGTTACGGCCGATGCTGTCTCTGCGAGCTTGGGAACCATTGAGATTGCGGTCGAACCGCTGCCGATCACAGCGATCCTTTTTCCGGCATAATCGAGGTCTTCAGGCCAGAATTGTGGGTGTACGACCACTCCTTTATAGCGGCTCAAGCCCGGTATTTCGGCTGGGAGCGGCTGCTCATAATCGTAGTATCCCGTCGCGAAGATTACGAATTTTGCGGTGAAACGGGGCTCTTGATCTTGATACTCCGCTGTCAAGGTCCACTGGCTTTCCTGGGTATCCCAATTCAGTTTTTTAAGCTGATGGCCGAATAAGATGTGATTATCAATCTTATGTTTCTTCGCGCTACTGTTGATATATTCCAACATGGAACTACCATCCAGCATAGTCTTGTCATGGTGATATGTCTGCCACGGGAATCCGAACGTGTGGATGCCAGTGTCGAGGCGCACTCCGGGGTACCGGAAGAGGTCCCAGGTACCGCCCGCAACGTCTCGAGCTTCCAGAATGGCATATGAGTAGTTGGGTAGCATGGTCTGGATGCGATAGGCCGTATTGATGCCGGCCACGCCCGCCCCGACTATGATTATATCGTATCTTCTTGGGGGGGTCATAGTGACTTTTAGTGAATGTATGAGTGTATGAATGAGAGCATACGAAGCCTCAAGTACTGCTACTTATCTTAAAAGAGATTTGCCATTGTAATAGTTAGGTCAAGCGATGATGGGCCTTTGGTGGTTAGGAAAACCGGACAATATAGTTCCACCTGTGCGTATGTGGCGCTTGCCTGAATCCGTTGTGCCGGACAATCTATAGAGATCTCTTACCGAAATCTGAGCGCTTTACCTAAAGCCACGGCTCCTCCGTACTTCCTAAATCTACCTCCTGCCAGCCCCTAAAAATAGTGTCTTCGTAGCCCTAGATATCACTAGTACTGCCGGGATACTCGTATTCGACTAAAATCGTAGGGACTCTCAAGATCTAATATTAGAATCTCTCGGAGATGCGGTACTGGCAGTCTCTGTAAACATAGTACTACTAGTAGTCGCCCCTAAAGATGTAGTGCTGGTGGCCTCTCAAGATATAGAACCGGGCAGTCTCGAAAGGAACAAGACAGGACATCGTGAACTCAAAACGGGACGAGTGGAGAATCCAGAGCTTGTCTTATATGGAACGTATATAATTGGTTGAGAAGGACGGCGGAACTCTATAAATAGACTTGATTGGCCACCAACACCGACATGGTGCGTTGGTATTGGTACAGTTGGTAATATTTTACATTGTCGGGGACGTCGACGGAGGGAGCTATGGACAGTATTACGACTTAATTGATGGATCAACGTTCTCGATACATCGAGTTCGATACAATACGGTGACCAGTCCATACCGGTGTTCGACAAATGCTTTCCTTGTTTTTTTCAGGCCCCGGCATGTGACCTTCCATATAGTTAACTCTAAAAGGGTCTCACGTTCTATGGATGGGAAGGCAAATGATGACATTGATTCGGCTGGGCTGCTTCTCATCCATGATATTAAGTGGCAACAAATCTTGGTCGACATATCTTTGTCCGTCGCGATTAACGAAAACTACCGTTATACGTGACAACTTGGCAAGTTATAATGGAAGCGGGACAGGATAAGGAACCTCCCTCCCACGTTCGACCATCCCCCCATTATCATTAAGAAATAGCGCACCGTGCCAATCTATGACTAGACTCTCTCCGAGGATGAGAAACGCGGACTCCGCCTTTATGGCAGGCTGCCTCATGGAGGAGGACTGCTCAGACATCGGTCTAGGGTACGTTTCTGATCAGGCAACCCAAGGCAGTTCTTGACATGTATGTACAAGGAACGGAGGTACTTTGACTCGGGTGATTTGGCTCTTTCTACAGCTCATAGAGTGACCGAGGAGGGTACCATTCAAACTGGCACCGCCCATCCTATACGTGGCAGCATTTCTCGCCCTTATGCCCCGGTTCCCAACACCAGTAATGCCAACAACGATGCCAACAAGGGCATCAGTGGCAAGAGACCCCAAACCCCAGAAATGATAGCTAGTCCTCTGCACCAACCAATCGACAGTCCGAATTGGGAGGTGCAGAACCCAGAAGGAACAGGTTAGGATGGATGTTTTTCTGGCGTTGGAAGGCTTTGCTTGTGTGATAACAAACCGTTTACTTCCTTGGATATGTCCTTTGGTATCTGTCAAAATATGCATCAGTAACAAAGCGTGGGATTCATACCAATTTGCCAATATAGCCGCATCGTCGGGAATAGAAGGAATATGACCAGATATTAGGAAATATTTGCAAAGGCTACTTTATATGAGAGAAGCGGAATGCCGAGAGGATCACACAAGATATTAGTGTATCCGATAAACAGCGCGGGGATCGAGCAGGTCCGTGCACGTTTCACAGAACATCGCCAGGTGGATGGGAGCTGTAGCCGGTTCGAAGCATGCAAGATCATTGATGAACAGTCATTGAAGTTGATTGTCGCCTGTCCTCAGCCGGAGAGCAGGGATTGTTTCAGGCAGTGCCGCGCGTTGGTAGACATGCTTGGAGGGCAGTTTAACCCTAAGCGAAAGGATAATTCGTGGTATTCGGGGGTTATGCGGGTGGGTATTCATAGCTTTTGGGAGCTTTACGTGTACCTTGGAACTTGGGGTATGGGAGGGGCTGTTTCCATCTGTTCCACCGCAGTTCATACCAGTTTACAACTGTTAGGTTGGCTTCTCTGGCTAGGGCTTAGATCGGTTATAGTATTTTGTTTCTAGCCTGTCGTCAGTAGCACTTGTTTGGTTTGGCATTCTATGACATTGGCCGGGGGGGTTGTGGTAGTATCCATAGTGTCTCTAGTATATGGATATATGTAACCCAATCTGAGTAGCCAACGTTCATTTTATTTGTACCTTCTCTCTCTCCGGACAATGGTACTGCGACATGCCATAACGGGTCATATAATTCCCATTGAAATGTACCTTCCAACCTTTCAATCCGACGACTTGTGGGGGCAGAGGATCTGTGAGTCTTCGAGAAAGAATGAGGTGAGAGAAACGGTTTGCATATGGCAGATTGTTCACTATAGTACCTAAAGTTGTTCTACTTGTGTGCGCCAGTGTAGGCCTACCCGCACGGCAACATATTTCTCTACAGCACTTCCGCTTCGCACAGAGCCCAGGAAGCTTTTTGTAATAGTCCGCTAAAATGATAGAATTCATACATGTTGCCGTAATATCTTGTTTAACGATACCTTGAGCTTTTGAATACGATGCGTTTTGGTGCGCTTTGGCATAAAGTCATGAAAAAAAAAAGAGTGCTGGGGTGGAGGAACAATAAATAAACGAGGTAAAAAAAGATCTCCCCGACTGGGAGTCGAACCCAGGTCTCCCGCGCTTGTTCTCGTATGAGATGACAAGCGGAAATCATGACCGTTAGACCATCGAGGAATTGATGGAAAATCTTTACTTATTTGGTTTTATAATCTAAAAGAAAGCATATCCTTGGATGTCACGACCCCTTGACAGCCCTAACTCTGTACTGGGTGCAATATTTTCATTTTGGGATTATGGATCTACAAGTCATGTCCGGATAAAAGGGCAATGTATTATTCTGAATGTACTGGATGGAATGAGAGGAGGTATAGAGTATCATACTTGTTCACAAATAAGAACCCTGTCAGTTGAGAATCTCTTCGTACAGTACTCTTTGCCAGGTTCGCTTGTACATCTTAGATCGACGACTTTAACGGGACTCCAGATACAAATTCGACACCACATAAGCCTGACCAGCTACCCCTAGACTCGCCTGTGTTTGCCTTCTAGAACTAAAAACTATCAAACTACACGAACCGCTTTCTAATATACACCTCCGTCTCAACCGCAGCCCACAGATCATGCATAGATAACATGAACAATTTCGCAGGTGTTGTCCTAACGACAACCCCCCGACCACCTGAGAGACTTTTGATTCTGATACCTACCAGTTTGTAGTCCCTGAGGCCGTTTACCTTGCCACAACCCAGAAACAAAATCTCGCCCTGCTCGGTTCGAATACAAGGACGCTTGATATATAGTCCTTTATTGGTCATTGTATATGGAGCGTAGCCCATTTCAAGACTCGGTCGGTAGGTGATATTTCCCGAATCTGCAAATTCAGCTGGAGAGCTGGCGAAGGGCCCTCGAACTTGAGAGCCGTCAGGTAACACATGGAGTGATGGAGTGTCGTCTGCCCCGCCTTCGCGAGCTCTCCATGCAAGAAGGCTCGAGTCATCAGAATCCTGCATGATCTCTTCTTGTAGTCTGATAAAAGCATTTTCTCCTTCTCCATATAACAATGGCATGTTTACCCCAAAAATTCCCATGAGACAATACGCTATATCCTCAACCCGCTTCGTCTGGCGGTGGGCAGCCCACGACATTCTTTGGGCGATGCTGAAATGATCCAGTCTTTTACCCCTGAGTACTCCCACGTCAATATTCATGATAGCTGATATCCTCTCCGCAAGCTCATCTTTCGTTCCATACACCGTCCACTCGGAGTTGTAAAAAATGACAGAGCGGGGTGCAATCAGTTCCTGCAGAGTCCAACCACGCGTGAACCATCTGCACTTTCCAAAGACATCATTGCTGTTACCGTGATCTGTGGCGACACCTGCAGGCAAATCAAAGAGATAAGCAAAGCAGACTGCTGCTCGTTGATACCAGGTATACATCGAGTTGATCGACTCACTGAGCTCGGCACTCGAGCTCTTATCAATGCAGCAGGTGTCAATCCACGCCCAGTCCAAGTTCCGTAAGGCAGCTAGCCGGCAGGTGTGATATATTTTATGGAACGCTGACAGGCTCCGCGCGTACTCTATGTCCCGATATTGCTGAAACGTGACTTCATGCTCCCCCCATGTGTGGGATAAAATGGCATAAGGAGGGATCTCGCTGCCATAGAATTCTTCCTGTCTAAATGTGGAGGTGTGGATAAGACGCATCTTGCCAAAGAATAGGATATGTTGGGTTCTATTTGAATGGGTAAACTACTGATAGCAAGTTGTTTGACCCCGCTAAGATGCGGGGTTAGTTGGATTACTTGCGAGGCCTCGTTATATGCAACCTTTATGAACCATTCGCGCGACACAAGCTACTCAACAAGGTGGCCGCAATTTCTTACTACATGATATTGCATCATTCGCCGTTCCAGGAAATTACCATGTGCTTAAGTGGGATTATGCATCCAAAGGGAAATAGTCATATGTCTGCATCATATTCTAGAAACCCTTCATATCATTGTGGAACAATGAAATAATAACATTAATATAGAAAACATCTCTGGAAGTAGCGGAACTTAAGAATTGTTAAGTTGAGTAACTCATTACCTCCCCAGAGACCATTCAACGCATCATAATGTCATGGCCGCCAAACATCTAATCGTCAACCAGACTAGACTGTTGTATGGGTTGGCTTTCTGCCTGAAGCAGGCTCGCAATGACTAAGACAACGAAGCCCGTCGTAAGCCGAGTCGTCCAAGAACTGCCAGGTCGTCTCATAGCGAACAGGACCCCACAGTTGCCTGTCACCCATCGGCAACATCACCGAGGCCATGCCCTCAGTGACTTCAATTGCAGGGTCCGTACTACGCAACAGGCAGATCCCAAGCGTTGTATCTAGGCCATGCTGCTGGAGAAGCCTAGACAGATCCTGGATGAAAGGACCCTCTACGCCTGCCAGAAGGTCTTGGTCGTCAGGCACATGTCCGGGCTGAAAATAGAACTCGTAGGGAACAAGATCATTCCCGCGGATCATCCATGAGCACGGTTTGATATGGCCGCCGTGCTTGGGGAAAGTTGCGGATGTGAAGGAGTCATAGTATTCGATGTCAGGCATGTCCCAGGGCGTCGAGGTCCCGTTATAATCAACTAGAATTTGCTGGTCTGGGATGCGGAAATGTCGATGAAGTAGGATTAAACCTACATGCGCAGAAACGTGATGCTTGAGGAAGAGATCGCGCAGAGCGGACTTCATGACTGCCTCTCCGTCGAAGTTTTGCAGACTTGCACTGGCTGTCTCGAGGCTTGGGAGGTCATTGTAAACCTCTGGGCTATACGGGCGGAAGCTAGGCATTGTTATGGTCGAGAGTTAAGGGCTTGAGGTTCAGTGTGAGACAAGAAGATGATCAAGTACAACAAACCGTTCGCAACACACACAGGTTATATAACTCACACTTCTCGCTTCCTTCTGGATCGTTCTGGTAGGCTGCCTGAAGGGAAGAACAAGGCGGGGGGCGCTGGAGACGAGAGAGAAAGAGTTCTCAGCCTTGCGACGGACTCAGCCCCAACTGTAGTGCTACCAATCATTGCATAGCCATAACACGAGCACCTAGGCCAGTTGAAGCCTTGCGAGGGGATGATCGATACTGGATACGAGAACGTCTGCATCCTGAACAGTGGTTAGGCGTTCTTGGCAAAGAGCCGATTCTGTCACTGCCACAGCATGACTTTCGTCTAACAAAAAGGACTTCAGAGAAGGACTCCAGAGTGATATGGATTTTGTAGACTCCTTGGACTGATCGTTAGAAGCTGCAGAATTACGATTCACGGCCATGGCTGAGGCAATCGCGGTGGTTGGCTTCATCGCTTCCGTGGTTCAGTTAGTGGAGGCAGGAACCAAATTCGCCAAGCGGCTGAAAGCGTTAGATTCCAAAATCAACGACACCGATAAACTGACCAATATAGGGATCCAGCTGTCTCTTGTCACCGATGCGTTGAGCAGAACTATAACACAGGCGGAGAGCGGACTCATGGGTGAGGCCACTGCTCGTTCATTGACTGCCCTTGTCTGCAACTGCTCGAAACATGTGAGCCTTCTACAAGATCTTTTGGGGCGACTGGCAATAGACGAAACCAGTTCAAGGTGGGAGAAAGGCAAAAGAGTGTTGAAAAGCGTCCTGGAGGACAAGAAGATCGATCAGATGTGCCAGACATTGCAGGGCCATATCCAATCGCTCATATTCCATCAAACAACAACAGTCCTAGATCTTACGGGCCCGTTATCAGTGTCCGTGGCAACCCCTTCGCGGACCTGCACCTCTGGTAATGATATTTTCATGGTCCCATTTCAGCAAGATAATCAATTCGTGGGCCGCAAAGATATCCTCGAGTGTATCGGACAGTTACTAGAAGGCGACGGACAACATTGTGCAGCGCTATGCGGTCTGGGAGGTGTTGGGTAGGTACAGCCCGAGTCCTTCGTATTATTCATGAAGGGTTTAATGGGGCATATAGGAAGACTCAAATTGCCGTCGAACACTGCTATCAGTACAGAAAGGATCATCCCTCTTGCCCTGTTTTCTGGGTGCATGGCAGCAAAGCAGATAGATTTCAACAGTCATACAGGGAGATAGCTCGATTATTGCGCCTACCTGGCATTACGGAGCCCAATTGTGATATCCTTCAATCAGTCAAGGAATGGCTTGAAGATCAGGCCAATGGGCCCTGGTTAATGGTTCTTGACAACCTTGACAATGAGGACATTATCTTTCCTAGTCCCTCCTCTACTGATGTCCAGAAATCAGCCGGACTCGTCAAGTATATTCCGAGAGGCACTGCGGGATCCCTTCTTATCACCTCGCGAGATCGACGGGTTGGAGAACGTTTGACCAGCGGACCGACATCATCACTGCACGTACCGCCTTTGGAGATTGCAGATGCCAAAACGCTACTCCAAAGCAAAGTTCCAGAAATTACCGGGGACATGGACGCAAAGAACTTGGATGAGCTTCTCGAGAGATTGAAGTATCTCCCCCTTGCAATAAATCAGGCGGCATCTTACGTCAATGAAGAAGGGGCCAGTGTCGAGCATTATCTTGACCTCCTACGTGATGACCAGGACGCCGTAAATGTGCTAGAGCAGGACTATTACGATTCCGCAAGAGATTCTGGGTCATGCAATGCAATCGTGGCAACCTGGAGAGTATCCTTTGAGCAAATATTTAAGACCAGGCCTGCAGCAGCCGAGTTACTTGCACTCATGTCCATGTTAGACAGGCAGGGCATTCCCGCTAATATCCTGTTTAATAGCTCCCTCAGCCGCGTTTCTTTCGATCAGGCGATGGGGATATTGAAGGCATTTTCTTTGGTGGAGATGGGAAGAAGCAGTGACATCTATAGTTTGCATAGACTGGTCCAACTCTCGACGCATTCGTGGTTGGGACAGCACAATCGACTGGAAGAATTTCAGAGTCGTGCTCTGGAAGCAATATGTTTACACTGTCCCTCTAGTGCATCCTTTGACGAATGGACCGTTTGGGAAACAATCTACCCGCATATTCAACAGGTTCTGAGGTATCGTGAGAACCTGCGACTGGATGCTCCGGCAAAGTCACAGTCAGCCATCCTTCTATTCCACACTTCCCAGTATGAAGCCAGCCAGGGCCGTTTCAACCATGCATATGATTGTATTTCCGACTCTGTGGGGATACTTGAGGGTTTGAGTGGCAAAGATGACCCTAGTACCCTCAAAAGTATGCAGTACTTAGCATGGGTGCTGAACGAGCAAGGGAAGCATCAAATGAGCACTGAGTTATTCGCGGACACAATTCAACGCCAAAGCAAACTGCTTGGGCCCGACCATCCCGATGTGCTTGCCAGTCAAAATAACCAGGGATTCGTTCTCTATCGACTCGGGATATACAAAGAAGCGGACGAGTTGTTGCGGCACACTTTGCTCTCAAGGGAAGTAACACTGGGTTCCAGTCACCCAGACACATTGACTACCATAGACTATCTTGGTCTTGTCTTTCTGGCGCAAGGAAAATATAGCGAAGCAGAAGAAAAACATCGGCAAGCATACAGATTACGGGAGGACGTGCTAGGAGTAAACAATCCCAACACACTATCAAGCGGCTGCAATTGGGCCGTCTCACTGGGCCGTCTTAAGAGATACGCAGAGGCGGAACAAGTTCACCGAACCATCCTGGACCGGAGACACAAAGTGCTAGGCATGGACCACCCCAGCACTCTAGCAAGCATGGGTAGCCTGGGTGTGGTGCTCGACATTGTTGGGAAGCACGAAGAAGCTGAAATCTTCTTTCGCGCCGAACGAGCAATCCGGGAAAGAACACTAGGAGTAGACCATCCAGCAACTTTAGCCAGTATCAGCAACCTGTCTCGAACACTTATTAGTCAAGGGAAGAACGACGATGCTGAAAACATGCTCCGGCGCGTGTTAGTAGTCCGAGAGCGTGTTCTGGGGAAAAGCCACCCGAACATAACGGCCACACTTCACAACCTGGCCTTGGCGCTGGAGAATCTGGGAAAGTATCAAGAGTCAGAGGAGATGTACCGGCGGGAGTTTCTGCTGAGCCAGAAGGTATTTGGGCCTAGTCATCCTATTACTCGAAAGGCAAGCGAAAAGCTGGCGGCAGTGTCCAAGCATCGACCGTGGTTTTCCAGAGTAATCAAAGGCCGGTCCGGGTGTCTCTTTTTATCGCATCATATCACTATGACACAGGTGGTTTTGGCATTTGTGTGCTGTTTTGTGTCCTTTTGTCTATTGTTCATTTTTTGAAGCGCTTATCAACCAACATGTGTGGATGCGAAAGCTTTCCATTAATACCGTCAGCAACTTTGCGATTTGGTTCATGGTTAATTAACACTGTTGAAATAGGAGAATCATGGCTCTCTTGGGATTAAAGACTACATTTACATCTTTAAAGGACAGGGGCTTATGCTTGGTTTGCGGCAATTCATCCGACCTAGCCACCTTTCACTGAAAATGCGAAGCCTATATATGCAGATGTCCGAAATAAGCTACATGCTAATAGACCATGTCTAGAAACAACGGAACCAAAAGAGAGATGTAACGGTCTCCAAATATCAAGTTGCCTAAATCATTCCATTCAATAACCATATTAGAAATTAAGCCCTATCTACCACAAGAAATATCAACTTTTAATATGAAAAAAAAAAGAAATAAAAGAGAAACGCCACTCGGCAATGCAAGCCCCAAACCGTATAAATGCAAACTCATGCCATCATATCATCAACATCAACATTAACCCCCGTCATTCAAGTCCATACCCTAAACACCCTCCACCGTCCTCTCTGCCCTCTCCTTCGAAAGATCCTCCTCCAACAACCGTTGACAAAACGGACTCCTCGTCCGAATCCAAGGCCCCGCATAAAGCAATGCAAACGGAATCGGAATACACGCCAGACTAGCAAACCCAAGGACAGAGGTGGCCCACCCGACACCCAGAGTCGAATACAACGGATCCGCAGCAAGCGGGAACAGCGCACCCACGATACTCCGCAGAATGACCGATGCGGCGAGGGCGCTGGCGGAGTAGATCTTGTATGCGTCTGTGACGTAGGTAAGCAGCGAGATGAAGATCATTTGGTAGCCGACGCCGAAGAGGAGGCCGGAGAGGACGGGTGCGATCCAGTGGATGTTGCGGTTTGCGGTCCAGCCAAGCCAGAATAAGCTGATTGTGAGGCAGGGACCGGCGACGCAGGATATGGGGACCGGTGCAGTTCGGGGCTGGTGGTCCAGGCCTTTCCGGCTGCTTTGGCTTTCTCGTAGATTGTGTCGTAGTATAGAGATATTAGGCCTGAGGAGGCGGCGCCGATGCCGACTTTTTTTGGGTCCTGGTTAGTTTGGGGTGGTTTGGGGGGTAGTTTCGAGGTTACTTACTGGGGATGTAGGTGAGGGATGTGGTTTGGACGTCGAAGTTGTAGGTACCTATGGTATCGTGTGAGTATATGCGTATTATGTATTCGTAGAATTTTGTTGGACGGGGTTAATAGGAGAGAAACGGGCTGGCAAACCATACCTTCAAAGATAATGGGATATGCCTGGAAATAGAAGAAGACCAGACTATACGCGAGAGAGATGTAGAGGGCCGTGAAGAGAATGATGGGCTCAAAGAGAAGCATAGTGATTGGACGCGTGATGATCTGGGTAGTGCTGTATCGGAAACCTCCATTTTGCAGCTCTTGTCGAGACAGATAAGAACTGCACCCCGACTCCTTTCTTAGCTTGGCAGCCTTGTGTTTCAGGATGACGGGTGCAAAGGTTTCTGCAGTAGAATATATCAACATTTATCCAGTACGACGGTGAGCAGGTCTCATTCAGAACTGAAATGTTCATACCTGACATAAACATAAGCCCTATCCAGGAAATGCCGGCAAAGATTAAGTCAATACGAAAGGTCCATCGCCAGCCGTACTGGACTGAACAGCCAGAGATTATGGGTCCAACAATTGGACCGAAGCTTGCGGCCTGCGAGCTATGTTAGAAACGCGATATTTGGAGAACAGATAAGCCTTCTACTTGTTTGACATACCGACATATAGAAGGCCATCACCCTTCCCCGGCTCCGTAGGTCTGAAAACATATCCGCGTATACTCCACCTACCACAGTCTGTGGTGCTGCACCCATAGTGCCACAGATGGCTCGAAAAACCAAAAGCGAGGACCAATTCGGAGCCAAAGCACAGGCAAGAGTTGCCAGCACAAAGATAGTGAAGGTCCAAGTGAGAACCGGCTTCCGACCAATGGTCTCACTCAATGGGCTAAAGGCTAAAGGGCCTACGACATACCCGATAAGAAATATGGCTGTTGGTAAGACCTTTTGTCCGTCACCGTGCTGGTGGAAATCTTCCATGATAGCAGGAACTGCATTGCTAGGTAGAGAGGACGATACACCGCTGTTGAGAACCACAAACAGTGCTATGAGAACATTGTACACCTTTTTATTCTAAAGTAAGAGGTACTTGTTAGTCCTATTGGCAATTCCCCTGCACATTCCAAACACAAAATACATACAAAGTCCCAATTGTTTGGGTTCGCTGGTGACCCCTCTTTGAATTCAACAAGTATCTCATGGTCCGACAACTCGACCAGCTTGTAATTCTCGTCTGATGTACTACTGCTCATCTTGGCAACTGTGGAAGGACCGGCCTCCACTTCGTCATCTCTCCCTAGTATGTGTTAGGGCTGGGAGAAAGACCACATCCTGGGAGATCAAACGTACCTGAACTCCCGACAATAGAAGTTTGAACAATCACTGATTGCTCTGCACCCTTTGCCATTTTGTATGATATAAGAAGGTATCAGAGACAAGGGACACGTAATGGAGAATGCCAATCAAGTTTGCTATGTTAATCCATTCCAACGCATTCGGAAGTCGAGAGACTCAAGACTATATAAGTGAACATCTTTGGCGCTTAGACTTACCGGACGGACAAAGAAACACATTGAAAACTGAGTCATAGAGGCTAGACCATGGCACTGGACCAGTGTGCGATATCTCACAAAGCCATCGGGATTTTTATGAATAACCATGTACCAATGAATGGCGTCTATACTTCAGCATCGGAACCGGGGCCGGATCGGGACCGATGGACAGAAGAATCCACAACGCGGCGCCGACCAGGACCCGCCCCGCGATGTCCGTCTCCGTTGTGAAATCTCATGCGCTTCTACCAGTTAGGATTCTTCTTGCTGGATCTAGTGCGATGATCGTTAGGCGCAACAACATAGTGGATTCCTGCCCAACAACATGATTTGCTCTGTCGGCCCCAGTTCTAGAGCTTCGGTCCACCGGCACATACCGAAAAACTCAGATACTTCCAGAACAGGAATTTTTACTTGAAAGCCCCAATGATATTCGTAGAAAGACTAGTCAATTGAACTCTCGTACAGAAAGGTAGGCAGGCATCATTGTGGTAAAGAAGGCATCACAGGCAAGAAGTCAAATAAATCATTCTGGCCTTCCTCAAAAAGCCCAAATGAATCCGCAATGGGGTTCATGGTCCAGTTGGGCGCTTCCATAGTACCAGCAAATCTTGAAAGAGGCGGTCTAGATATCGCAGCTTTGTCGTTACTTGGCATCGATACCGCACTTGTTTCCTTATCACCTGGGAAGGCCGCGCCGGGTCTGTAGCTGGTATCTTCCAGTGGAGCCAGCCCTGTTGGAGGGGTCGTAACCACGGAGGCATCAGGGCGTCCGCTTAGAGGTTCCTGCACGTCCCCATGCTCGGGCATATTAGGTGCATCTGCACTGTCATGACTGCGTGGGCGCTGACTCACAATCAAAGCGCGGGCGTAGTTCACAAAGAGGGAGACTGTGCGGTGAATGTCCGGATACGGCGGTTGTTTAAGAAATTCGCAGATATGGTGTACTCGTTCCAGCAGTAAATCCTGATCAATGAGCGTTGGACGCCACCGTGCGATGCGCAATGCAAACGTTGCTGATTCGTTAGACTCGCCTTTAAACACCTGTGCTCTGGAATCATAGCGGGCTATGGCAACTTACTGACAAAAGCGATCGTCAGCGCTGGGTACGTCGGGGCCCATTCTAATTGACAGCGGTAGGCCGGCTCTGTAATGATAAATGCTAATAGGTCCATGATCGTGGTCACAAGGGACTGCCATAGGTTCAGAACGCGCAGGTCCATAGTTTCGGGGTCAGAGGAAGAGACAGCCGACAGTAGTTTCTGAATACGTGCCAGCGAAGCGCAGAGAACGAATATCCTAGCATAGTTGAGCATGAGTTTTAGACTGCTGCGCTGAAAGGCTCCTGCATGGAATCCATTATCTTCACGCAGAATGGGGTCAGAATTATTCTTTTGAGTTCCTGTGTAGAGAATGGGAGCATACTGTTGTGAATCTCGTCCCACGTGGTCCACCAATTCTGCAATCGTCCCATGATAGCTGGCAGTTCGGTTAAGACGATATGGTCGATTGTCGATGAGTTCTCAATGATGACCCGGGACTGGCCTGCAGCTAAGTTAGCTTATAGAAGAAAAAGGTTGACTAGAGTGTCGCCAAACCTCGAAGTTGATGAAGCTCAATTATGCAGACAGTGCGCATATCGCATGGTAGTGAGAGAGGATACTCAAGGAATTTGCGCAACTTCATAATATCCACCTCAGCAATGCGTGATTTACGCCCCGTGCCCGACGCTACGTCCAGTTCCAGAGTGAAGCTAATCAGCCAAGTTCTTGTCTGCCACACCAACTGACGATCTGCCATAGAGGCGGTTAGGGAACTCCGGGGAACGTTCTCTTGAGACAGCAACGTATCTAATGACTTTTCCAGGCCGGAGTCCAGAGCTGTCCGGAGGATAAGCGCTGTGGAAAACCATGTCTTTTCGGAATATGCCGCCAGTAAGATCATCCCTTGAACCGCCTCAAGCTTCGTAGGTCGTTCGAAGAAGCCATCCTCGGCCAGTCGCTGCGCTTCATCTTGAAGCACTCGTTGCAAATGTGTATCGCTGCGCAAGTCTGTCACAGCGCGACTGGCAAGATAGATGATGACTGTGAAACAAAATACAGACCGGGAACGGATGGAATCAAAAGTGTCTCGAATTGGGTCGAACAATGGGAGAAAATTCTTGCTTCCGCCCATGAACCTGCGGAAGGAAGTTGAGTATCATTCTACACTTCTAGGCAAACACTAATCCCACTTCGTACAGAATGGACATACCGTTCATACATGACTCGAGCTCGCTCCTCAGTGACAATGCCTCGCGTTACTATGTCGCCTTTTGTGTCCCCGTTGGCTGGATTATCCATGAATATCTACCAATCTTAGCTGTGTCATGATGCCTAGTCAGAAAATATTCAGACTCACGTTGTTGGACCCTAGCAAGTTAACTGACATAGAATGCATTGCTCCAACCGGGGCAATCATATCATTGGGGCTTAATTGCTGAGATTCTGGTCCATTCTGATCAGCAGTCTGAGACGCTCGTAGGTCTTCTAAAGCCGAAGGCCCCGGCAAGGAGTCTATGGAAGCATCGTGAAAGGCAGTATCCCTTGCTGAGACCGGCGAATATTCTCGCTCTCTTGATTCGGGTGTGTTCAGACCACTGCCGTGACCCCATGGGGAAGTGGCCCCATGCCCTCTATACGATTATATAAGCTGAGGACCGATCGAAAGGAGAACCACCAATTGTGGAGGCGCCTACCGTGTTGATGGGGTTCCGGTCTTCTTCCGGCGCTCACTGCGTCGTCTCCCATCCTCCATCGGATCCAAAATACAATCCCGACCAGCCGAACGGCAGCGGAAACAGGGAACTTGGGTCCGTGCATCACAACGCATTTTCTGCTTTCTACACCATCGGCAGGCTTTGAAAAAGCGGACCGGAACATTTCCTGACCTGAATATTATCTCGGGGGCTCTTTCACTCATGTTCGGCTGTGGAGGGCCCTGTTGATAGTCAGCGTTGGAAAACAGAACAGTTTAGGGCGGGCTCGAGCCTTGGCATAATATTATGTTCAAAAATTGCCTCATACATACTTTAACCAACTACGTAGTATCCTGGAGTCTCCTGGTCGTTCATTATTCAGCCGGATCTCAAATGACTGTCATCAGTCTTCCCACCTTGTACATCGGCTCCGGTCACGTTATCGACCCCGGAGCTAGTCCACATTCAGATACATGACCAGCAAGCTAGTTCCAATCAGGTTAGCTCAATATAATTCATCACATCTACGGAGTACACAGGTCAAAAGGGAATTCGCTCGGTGTCAATCCTTGATTTGCAGTCTTTCTCATAGTCAACTTAAAGAAAAAGCTTTGATGTCGTAAGAAGGTCCTCCGGCTCAGGTCACGTTGTCCCCCGAATGGTTTCCCATGACTTGTCCGCTTCAGCTTTACTTTTTAATCCCATCCCAAGAGTCTCCACCCCTTATGGACGCAATGATAGTCGACCATGAGGATGATCAGAATCCCTGGATCTAGCCAGTCCTTTCCAGGATAATCGACGAAGGTTGCTTCGTTTGTGACTCATTGATTTCAAGAAATAATGGATCTCGTCACAATCGTCGCGTATGGAGTATGGTCCATTTTCACCACCTGGGTCAACTAATGTTCGTATCCCTCCTCCTCCCTTCTCATACTGATAGAATGCGGCTCTTGCACCTTGGAAAATTGCGCCCCACGCCACAGCAGGATATCCTTCATCTTGTGGTATGATACCAAATCGCAACTGGCAGATCCTCTTGAATCTCAGGAGGGAATGTGTGAGACTGGGACCGTGGGGTCCGTCGGGACCACCTGGCAAGATTAGAACTAGCAAATGTTCAGTGGGGTCATTGCCGTCGTGGCATTCGACAAGATAAATCTCTTCATCTTTCACCTTCCCTTCCGCCTCCACCATATCCCACTCCCATCCATACTCCTCTGGAAAGTAATTCATAAGGAGGGTGCAAACCATTCGAATCAAAAGACGTGTCAGGGTTTCGTCCTTTCGGGATTTCAAGGCACTTTCGACGGGGACCAACCACTGTTCTGTCCAGTTCACCGTTGTAATTATCGTTTGGGTAATCTCGTGCTCCGTAGTGGTGTACTCTTTGTGCCAGAATTCCTCTGGCTCCCTTGGCACGTCTTCGTCCATGATGTACACGTTATTATCGCAGAGCTCTGGTGGCTTTAAGGATTGACCATGGAGTAGTGAGAACTAGATCTTCAGCGGCGCATTTTCAAGACATTATATGTTGTGTTGAATGGTTTATTCCTGAGTATTTGACGCATAGGAAGGTACGCAGTGCAAAATACCCCATACAAGGACTCCTCAGAGACATGAATCTAGGAGAGTCGCATCACAAGCCCGAAACATGTCACTCTTACGAACAACCTCACTGTTCAAAGGCACTACAAGCCATTCTACCGGCGCCTTGGTAGGTCAATTCTGGAGAGCACCATCCAGTCAGTAAAGGAGAGGAGAATACAGAGGTCTCTAGGACATCTTGGAGCCATGCGCGTTGGTTAGGCTGGGTGATTCCGCATTGTATTCGAGAGCCCGTATATTGGTAGTCCTTCCAGGTCGCTCCCTTGAATAACAGGTTCTACCAGGAGAGTGGAAATATCCCTTCCGGGCCGTATAAAAGATAGGAACGTTACTGCCGAGTAGGATGGATAAAACTGTGGGAATAAGGCGGCTGATCCCGTCAAACCATTCGGAACCGTCAATCTGCATACGCATATTGATATTCTCCAGAAAAATACCCTGGCGAAACACTTTCTGTTATAACTACGGATACTGTCCGGCTACACAGGACAAGTTCCGCTTGAGACAGATATGGGGGTGCCATGCTCGCCATTGGTGTGTTCCTTAATTACGTGATATATTTCTCGCTCGGGCAGGCATACATAGACGATGTGAGATTGTTCATCGGCTCCAAACTCGGTTGCCAGTCTACTGCCCATGTAGACTTGCTATGGACCATTTCCCATGTCCAAGAAATTAGTTTGATAAAAAAAGAGCTTGTCGTTTCCCAAGTGACTCGTTTTAGTCTCCTTGATGTTGAGTTTAGCCTGGTGCATTTGTGCTTCATGCTCTGTGATACATTTATATCAAGAGACGCTCATTTGTGACCCTTAGGCCATTGTGCTTTACACACCATATTCATGTAGTGCAACCGGCTCTTCACATATCAACGCCCGAAATGTCGACTCGAAATCATTTTCTTCCGTTGAATGACAACAGTTCGGTGCGGCCAGTTCAGCAACAAAAGACTTCGGTGGTCCATATAGGTTTCTCCTGGGGGGGATACTAATAAATTATCTAATCAAAGGATAAACTCACTCAAGTCCTGCACGACATGTAGGTGACCTTAAGGCTTAGGTTGAACCGTTCAGTGTGTGGTAATTGACGGTGAAAGACATATATTTCTAGGTTGTGAAAGTGGGGCTAGGTGACATAGAAGCCATACAAGTGAAAAGAGTTTTTCAAAGAGGATCAAAGATAATAGAATTAAGATTAATTCATCACTGTGATGGACATAATTAATTCGTATTATCAGCCTTGCCGCACGCCATGGAGAGTGCGTACCTGATGATCGAGGTGCCTGACGTTAGTGCGCGGAAAGGGAGTCCTGAGGCATGAAGGCCAATCAACCCGAGGAACAACGCAACCGTTTCTCCGCCTTACGTAGGGTGGTCGAATGCGATGTTCTCTCCGCTTTTTCCGTTTCCCTTTCTTATCATCACGTCACTCCCCCAGCTTCCAACTCAATTCTTCATCCACTTTCCCATTGCTTGGCATGGTTGATGGAATGAGCTGGATTCATCCGGTCATCCATGTATAGCTGATCTCGCTTAGTTGATTTCCCGTTATACTACGAATATATACCCTCTTCAGGAATCGCATTGACATCACCCGTCCACTGCCGTCGGAGTCCTTGTTTCGCAGCACCCCTGCCGTACGTGGCAACGCCATTATTCCTAACTTTATCCTCCGATCAGAACCCCGGCTATTTTCCTCATCTGTTACTCGTCTTGAATGATTCTGACCAGTCCTCATCCAAACGCTTCCGACCGATCCCGCCTCTACAACCCTGTTCCCAACCATGCGGGGAATCCGCTTCATCCCCGTCATCGCTAGCCTCGGCTCGGTCTTCATATCACAATCATTAGCCCAGGGAGAGACTGCTCTACATGAGAAAGGGCGCTGTGCTATTCGAGGGCACTGTGGGAAGAAGTCCATCTTTGGCGGAGACCTACCATGTCCGGATAATGGTGTCGCAGAGGAACCGGAAACAGCGGTGAGGAAGAAACTCGTGGATTTATGTGGCAGTAAGTGGGAGGAAGGCCCAGTGTGCTGTAAAGATGAGCAGGTACGTGTCAAATGTGATATGTCACAGCAATTGACATATTGAACTGCATTTCCTAATTGTTCCGTGGTTAGATCGATGCGCTCTCCAGGAACTTGAAGCTTGCCGAGGGTATCATCGCCTCCTGTCCTGCGTGCAGAGAGAATTTCTTCAATATCTTCTGTACTTTCACCTGCTCTCCCGACCAGTCTCTCTTTATCAATGTCACGGAGACCGAGCCCAGCAGCTCGGGGAAATCCTTGGTGACGGAACTAGACAACATCTGGTCGGAGGAATACCAAAGTGGGTTCTACGAAAGTTGCAAGAACGTGAAGAATGGAGCATCAGGTGGTAGAGCGATGGACTTCATCGGCGGCGGCGCAAAGGATTATACGCATTTTCTGAAGTTTCTGGGAGACAAGAAGCTTCTGGGTAGCCCTTTTCAGATAAACTTCAAAACCGAGCCCGCTGGTCCGGATCCTCAGGGAATGCATCCTCTGCCCATCAAGCCGAAGGCGTGCAATGATTCAGATGAAGCCTTCCGTTGCTCCTGTGTGGACTGCCCCGATGTATGTCCACAGCTGCCTGCAGTGGAAACGGACAAGCAATGCCATGTGGGCCTTTTACCTTGCCTGTCCTTTGCTGTTATTCTGATTTACTCTATGTTTCTGCTCTTCGTTGTGGCTCTTTCGAGCTACTTCACGTATAAAGAACGGCGCCACCGCAAACCGGAACGGGTCCGGCTTCTTCAGGACCCGACGCCGAGCGACGATGAAGACGAAGGCGATATTGTTCACGCTGGAGGCTACCTCGAGCAGCCCAAAGGTGTTTATAAACTGAACTCCGTACTGGACCGTGTATTCAACCGGATTGGTGGCACATGCGCCCGGTTCCCCGCGATTACTATTGTGTCTAGCATTTTAACAGTGGGGCTGTTAAGCCTGGGCTGGCTGAGGTTCGCTGTGGAGACCGACCCAGTGCGATTGTGGGTGAGCCCTACGTCAGCAGCCTTCCAGGAAAAGCAATACTTCGACGCCAATTTTGGCCCTTTCTATCGTGCGGAACAGGCTTTTCTTGTGAATGAGAGTGGCCCCGTTCTTACCTATGATACCTTGAGTTGGTGGTTCGACGTCGAGTCCCGAGTCCGCCGGATGATATCACTAGACCGCGGAGTTATTCTGGATGATATCTGCTTCAAACCTACAGGCGACGCCTGTGTGGTTGATTCTGTGACCGGCTATTTTGGTGGTTCGATGTATAACCTTGACCCGGACACGTGGGAAGAACGTGTAAGGCATTGTGCCGAATCTCCGGGTGATGTAAGCTGCCTTCCTGAGTTCGGACAGCCTCTCAAGCCAGAAATGATTTTGGGCGGCTATGAAGGATCGGGGGATGTGTTTGACGCTCGAGCACTGATCGCTACATGGGTGGTTAATAACCATGCCCAAGGGACCGAAGAAGAAGCGGATGCGATCGACTGGGAAGACAGCTTCAGGGGCATTCTCGGGGTCGTCCAAGAGGAGGCCAAGGAGCGTGGTTTGCGCGTGTCTTTCAACGCCGAAATTAGCGTTGAGCAGGAGCTCAACAAATCGAGCAACACAGACGCAAAGATCGTCGTTATCAGCTATATTATCATGTTCATATACGCATCCTTGGCTTTGGGCTCCGTCACCGTGACGTGGAAATCGTTACTTACGAATCCCGCGAACGCTCTGGTCCAGTCGAAATTCACCTTGGGCATTGTGGGAATTGTCATCGTCTTGATGTCTGTTTCCGCTTCTGTCGGGCTATTCTCCGCGACGGGCGTCAAGGCAACATTGATCATCGCAGAGGTCATTCCGTTCCTGGTGTTGGCTGTCGGCGTGGATAATATCTTTTTGATCGTTCATGAATTCGAACGGATCAACGTCAGCCATCCTGACGAAGAGATCGACGAGCGAATCGCTCGGGCTGCGGGCCGCATTGGCCCTAGTATCTTCTTGTCCTCCCTTACTGAAACGGTAGCTTTCGCTCTGGGTGCTTTCGTCGGAATGCCGGCCGTCAAGAACTTCGCCGTCTACGCCGCGGGGGCGGTTTTCATCAACGCCGTGTTGCAGATCACTATGTTCATATCGGTGCTTGCGTTGAACCAGAGACGTGTGGAAAGCCTCCGCGCGGATTGCTTCCCATGCGTGACGGTCCGCAAAGCGCATTCTGGAATGTCCGAAGATCAAGTCTTCGATGATCAGGATGGAGAAAGCTTTCTGCAGAAGATCATTCGTAAGGTCTACGCCAACTTCCTCCTCACCCGTAAGATCAAGGTTGCCGTCATCATTGTATTCCTGGGCCTTTTCACTGCCGGCTTGGCTCTCATTCCCGAGGTGGCGCTTGGTCTGGATCAGCGTATCGCGCTGCCCAGTGATTCTTACCTCATCCAGTATTTTGACGACTTGAACAATTACTTTGGAAGCGGCCCTCCGGTGTATTTCGTGACTCGCAATGTGAACATCACCGCGCGCAGCCATCAGCAGCAGCTTTGTGGTCGGTTCACGACATGCGAAGAGTTCTCATTGCCGTTCGTATTGGAACAGGAGTCTAAACGGCCCGAGGTGTCTTATATCTCAGGATCCACCGCTAGCTGGATTGACGATTTCTTCTACTGGCTGAATCCCCAGCAGGACTGCTGCAAGGAACATGGCCAGCTTTGTTTCGAAGACAGGAATCCGGCATGGAACATTTCCCTCTACGGTATGCCAGAAGGTGAGGAATTTGTCCGCTACGCGAAAAAATGGATCGATGCCCCTACAGACGCATCTTGTCCGCTGGGAGGGAAAGCTCCGTACAGCACTGCTCTTGTCCTCGACTCGAAGCGAATCATGACCAACGCCAGCCATTTTCGAACGACACATACACCTCTCCGGACGCAAGATGATTTTATTAACTCGTACAAATCGGCTCGTCGCATTGCGCAGGGTATCTCAGAAGAGCATGGTATCGACGTGTTTCCATACTCGAAGACGTACATATTCTTTGATCAGTACATTTCCATTGTTCAGCTTACGGGTATCCTACTTGGATCTGCTGTCGCCATCATCTTCCTCCTGACCTCCGCCATTCTAGGCTCCGTCGCTACGGGGGCCGTGGTGACTGGCACCGTTGTGATGATAGTGGTCGATATCATCGGCTCGATGGCCATCTCCGGGGTGTCGCTGAACGCTGTGTCGCTGGTGAACTTGATCATTTGTGTTGGTATTGGGGTCGAGTTCTGTGCGCATATCGCTCGCGCGTTCATGTTCCCGTCTCGGGTGATCTTGGACAAGGTGCCCACCAAGTTCCGCGGCAAAGACGCCCGGGCTTGGACCGCGCTGGTCAATGTCGGAGGTAGTGTTTTCAGCGGCATCACCGTGACTAAATTGCTTGGGGTCTGTGTGTTAGCCTTTACCCGCAGCAAGATTTTCGAGATTTACTATTTCCGTGTGTGGCTGGCGCTGATCCTGTTCGCGGCTACCCATGCGCTCATCTTCTTGCCCGTAGCCCTGAGCTATTTTGGAGGAGATGGTAAGTTCTTATCGATGTCCCTAACTGTTCCCGGTGTCATGGCGACTGGTAACTGACCATCGTTCTAGGGTATGCCGATCCCGGCTCAGATGGTGGCCTTGAGGAGAACCTTGCATCCCGAGGCTATCGCTCTCTGCTGGTTGATGACGATTACGACTCAGATGGATATTAGACATACAATACTATGATACAATGATTGCTTCATGCTTTTATGGCCCATGGGACTCTCGGGAGTCCCGTCAACTCCCAACTTTCGTTTAGCTGTTGCGGGATGCATACGGAGTTATCAGGATGGAACGGTGTTGGGAATTGGATCATTCTTTACTTTGATGAATGTTTACAGTGAACTTGGGGTATGTTACATAAAGCGGTAATAAACGAGACGTGTGTCAATTACGCGACGGAAAGTCATCCTAGAGAGAATCCCGTAAATTAGGAGCTTGAATAAACCAAAATAATGGAAAAAAGAAGAATCGCGGTTGGGCAGCGACACGTGAAGCCACACGCTTCTAGCTGCATTGGGCGTAGTGACCTGTCCGAAACGGGTTAACGCCAAATAGTCAATAATTGGATTTTTCTATTTTATTTTGTATTTTTTACACTCCGCTTGTGTCCAGTGGACCCAATTTTTTTTTTTTTCCTTTCCCCTCCTCCTTATATTTTTTTTTCCCTTCTTCCTTTCTCTTTCTTTTCTTCATCCCTCCATTTCTTTTCTTCTTCTTTTTCCACATCTCTTTTCCTTTTTTTTTTTCTTTTCTTTCTTGTGATACCCGTGTGAGCTTTCTGTTTTGCGCAGACAGCTCATATAGTCCCTGTGAAAAGGAGCCTCGATTGTGGTCGAGGGTCTGGGACAACCCCCGCAATTGTTTTTATTTTCTATCCATAAAAGAGTTGTGTGCTTTTGATTCATCATGGATCAACAAAGATTCCTGCAGCAGCTGCAGATCGTCCTGAACCGTAAGTGACCAATCATGAAAAATCAAACAATGAGGAATGCTGACGAGTCAATTTCCAGCCACCCAGGGAAATGTGAAGGAAGCGACGGGTATCCTGCAACGCGAATTCTATAACAAGCCGGGTTCCCTGGTGTTCCTCATCCAGATCGCTACTGGACATGAGGACGCCAACCTGAAGCAGCTGGCCGCTGTCGAGGCTCGGTCCTTGGTGAACAAGCACTGGGTATCTGTGCAGGCCGGCCAGAAGCCTCAGATCCGCGAGCAACTGCTCCGTTCCACCCTTGGCGAGGGCTCTTCCCTCGTCCGTCACTCAATCGCTCGTGTCATCTCGGCTGTTGCCAAGGTAGACTTGAACGATGGCGAATGGGCCGAACTGCCCAACTTCTTGATCCAGGCCGGTAGCACCGGCAACAAGGACGAGCGTGCCGTGGCTATCTACATCCTGTTCACCATCCTGGAGACCCTGGGTGAGGGATTCGAAGAGAAATTCCAGGATCTCTTCAACCTGTTCGGCAAGACCATTGCCGACCCAGAAAGTGAGGAAGTCCGTACCAACACCCTTCTGGCTCTTGGCAGACTTGCCATGCACCTTGATTCGGAAGAGGACGTGGGCCCTGTGAAGGCTTTCCAGCAGCTGATCCCTTCCATGGTCGCTGTTCTCAAGGAGTCGATCGATCAGACGCAGGAGGATCGTGTGATGCAGGCTTTCGAAGTCTTCCAGACTATCCTCGGGTGTGATCCGGCCCTCTTGACGGTGCACCTCAAGGACCTCGTTGTCTTCATGAACGAGATCTCCGCCAACACCGAGGTTGAGGAGGACACCCGTACCCAGGCCATCAGCTTCCTCATGCAGTGTGTCCAGTACCGCAAGCTCAAGGTGCAGGCTATGCGTGTCGGTGAGCAACTCACGCGCACTGCTCTGCACATCGTCACTGAGCTTGGCGATACCTCCGTCCTCGATGATGACATTACCCCAGCGCGCTCCGCTCTGGGTCTGCTCGATATGCTGGCCCAGAGCCTGCCTCCGAGCCAGGTCGTCGTGCCCCTCCTGCACTCTTTGGGCCAGTACTTCAACAACAGCAACCCTGACTACCGTCGTGCCGGTATCATGGCTCTGGGTATGTGTGTCGAGGGTGCCCCCGACTTCATCAGCACCCAGATGAAGGAGATCTTCCCCATGGTCCTCCAGCTCTTGGGCGACCCCGAGCCCAAGGTTCGTCAGGCCTCGTTGCACGCTGTGGCCCGTCTTGCCGATGACCTGGCTGAGGACCTGAGCCAGGAGCATGAGAGGCTCATGCCCTTGCTCTTCCAGAACCTTGCCAGTGCTATGCAAGAGTACAAGGGCGAAGAAGATGGCCCCACTATTGATATCATGAGGCCGGCATCAGTGCTATCGACGCTGTCGTCGATGGCCTTGATGAGAAGGATGTTGCTCCCTACCAGGGTGAATTGGTTCCTATCCTCCACAAGCTGTTCAAGCACCCCGACTTCAGAATCAAGGGTCTGGCTGCTGGCGCACTTGGTTCTCTTGCCTCCTCTGCCGGTGACTCCTTCCTGCCATTCTTCGACGAGTCCATGCACTTGTTGCAAGAGTTCGCCACTGTCAAGGACAGTGAGGAAGAGCTCGACTTGCGCGCGAGCGTGACCGACGCCATGGGCGAGATGGCCGCTGCAGCCGGTGCTGAGCGTTACCAGCCATACGTCGAGCCGCTCATGCGCGCAACCGAAGAGGCTCTGCACCTTGGTCACTCCCGCCTGAAGGAGAGCACCTACATCTTCTGGGGTGCTATGTCCAAGGTTTACGGTGAGCACTTCTCTGCCTTCCTCGACGGTGTCGTTAAGGGTCTCTTTGCTTGTATCGAGCAGGATGAGACTGATCTTGAAGTCTCTTTCGGCGAGGCTGCCAAGGATTTGGTTGGCCAAGAGGTGACTGTCGGTGGCCGCAAGGTCAAGGTTGCCAGCGCTGACGATGACGACGAGCCTGTGGGCGAGGATGGTGAGATTGAAGACGTCGACCTTGAAGACGAGGATGGCTGGGATGACATTACCGCCACCACTCCTTTGTCTCTTGAGAAGGAAATTGCCGTTGAGGTCATTGGTGATCTTGTTACCCACACGAAGTCCGCCTACCTGCCGTACTTCGAGAAGACCATCGAGATGGTTCTGCCTCTTGCTGAGCACCCCTACGAAGGTGTTCGTAAGAGCACTATCAGCACCCTCCACCGCTCCTACGCTATGCTCTTCGCCATTGCCGAGGAGAACGGCCAGATGGCCAAGTGGAAGCCTGGCCTGCCTCTGCAGGTCGAGCCTGCCAAGGAGGTCAAGAAGTTTGGTGAAATCCTCATGACTTGCACCATCCGCATGTGGACTGAGGAAGACGATCGGTACGTATTTTGTCTTGTTGCTTATGTTTCTTTTTTCTTGACGCTTTGGAATTCTTTCATTCCTGGCTCCTACAATGATGAACACACTCGTTTACCCAGCTCACTCAGACACACAAAAAGTGTGATTGATGTAAAAGGCGATTTATCTCACATCTGAACTCTTGATTCTTCCTATGTTTTGCTTGCGTGAAGATTATGTGTTGGCATTGATTCTAACCTGCCACGTCCTAGGGCTACCGTCGCCGACATCAACCGCAACATGGCCGAGAACCTGCGCTACTGTGGTCCTTCTCTCATTGCCAACGAGACTACTCTCCATAACGTCATCACGATGGTCACCGACATCATCACGAAGAAGCACCCTTGCCAGCTTGAGTTCAACCCCGACGACGATTCTCTTGACGCTGGTGAGGAGACTTCTGAGTTTGACTGGGTCGTTGTTGACACTGGTCTCGATGTCGTTTCTGGTATGGCTGCTGCCCTGGGCGAGAGCTTCGCCGAGCTCTGGAAGGTCTTCGAGAAGACCATCATCCGTTACGCCGGCAGCACTGAGTCTCTTGAGCGTGCCACCGCTGTCGGTGTTCTCGCCGAGTGCATCAATGGCATGGGCGCCGCTGTGACCCCGTACACTTCTGCTTTCATGAAGCTGCTGGTGCACCGCCTTGGTGATGAGGACCCTCAGACCCGCTCCAACGCTGCTTATGCTGTTGGCCGTCTCGTTGAGCACTCCACCGCTCCCGAGATCGTCAAGGAGTTCCCCACCATCCTGAGCCGTCTCGAGGCCTGCTTGCACATGGATGTCTCTCGTCTTCAGGATAATGCCACTGGCTGTCTCAGCCGCATGATCCTCAAGCACCGTGACAGCGTTCCCCTCAAGGACGTGCTGCCCGCTCTGGTCAAGCTCCTGCCCTTGAAGAACGACTACGAGGAGAATGACCCCCTGTACCGCATGATCTGTCAGCTGTGTATGTATTCTCAACTTTCCGTTTGGTGAGTCCTTCACTAACTATCCTCCAGACAAGTGGGAAGACCCCACCACCCGCGAGCTTACTCCTCAATTCCTGCCCATCTTCCAGTCTGTCCTCTGCGGTGACGAGGATCAGCTCGAGGACGAGCGCCGCGCCGAGCTCATCGAGCTTGTCAAGTGGCTGAACCAGATGCAGCCCGGTGCTGCTCCTTGGGCTGAGCAGCTGTAAATGCTCACCCGACATGATGGCTTGACGATTCAACAAATATTTAATGGATAGACTGGTTACCAAAATGGTTTTATGGTTGACTGATAGAAGATACCCCTCCGGAGCGCATCAGGGTTGGCCCTGTTATGCGTGATGATGTGACGAAGACGGATAGAAAAGTCATGTATTCGTTTCGCAATGATTTATGAATCGAACGTTGTAAATATTTATCAATGTTTATGGCCTGTACCCATATGTATCTTTCAATCGTAGCACGTAATTGAAGACCTGCGAGCCTCAAGCCGACCTTGAACATACACCTAGACCTATGATACCCTGCCCTTCGGCTACGTGGATCTTCTCCAAACTGACCTTGCATCCTGGTCATTAACTGGTACCCTAAGCATCATACCTGATATATATCTCGATTTTAAATCCTGATCGATATTCGGCCATACTATATAGGTTGAACTACTTGGCAAATTGGCCAAACCCTCCGAATATCTTATAGCCTTCCACACCACAGTCTACTAATCACCATTCATTCTGTCCCTTGGCATGAATATTCAGCCGGAGTATCTCTATTTAATTAATCCCTTCCCCAGATAATTCGGCTACTTCCGACGTGCAGTAGCGGCTGCATCAACGCAGGATTATGCATACTTAGGGCTTGGCCTACGTGGGTAGCTTGATAGGATCGTACTAGAGATATGGACACTATAATAAATAGGATAGATAGTGATAGCGAAATAAAATGCAGATCAGTCTTGTGCGTAACCCAAACTATATCGAGTAGGCCATACTCCGTAGGCCTCCTGCCCAAGTCTTATTCTCATACTGGCCTGGAAGACGGGGATACAATCTATGATTCAGTTCCTGCGACGAACAGGAGGCTCGACACCATCGATAGCATCTAGGAGGGGTTTACCCTTAAGTACACCACCGCGCGCCTCCTTCGTCCAACCCTTGTACCACGCCATATTTGGGGACTCTTCCAACATATTGTCCCCGTAAGTAGCGCAAATAGGAACACCTGCTACTGCTCTGATGTTATATTGGGCTTTGCGTTTCAGCAAATGGCAAGTTTCCTTTAAGTATTCGTTGAAACGATCCTCCGACCAGCGCGTGGTGTCCATCTTGCTAATAGCGAGCACGATCTGGGAAATACCCAACTCGTTGGCAAGTTTAGCAAACTGGATAGTCTGATCGTTCTCGCCAGCTTCAAGACCCTCCCCAGAAGAAGCGGAAAGCACCAGGATGGCGCCATCGGCGGGGATGATGCCACTTGAAACATTGTCATGGAAGGAATCTAGGTCGGGGATTTCTAATGGCGGTTAGTACAGTGGCATATTATATGCATAGAGGTATTTGGATCTGGTGGCACTACCATAGAGCGAAATGTCATATTTAGGTGTCTCCATGTTCCACGGAGTGATTGCATCGGGATCCTCATTTTCTCTGCTCGCATATTCATTGATGGCCTTCGCATAGTCATAAGCGGTTCCGTATTTCTCGGGATGGGCGTTCTGTGACTCTGTCAGCTCATCATGCTAAACATCTTTCTTGGTGTGATTCGACCATACCTCCTGGACCAGCTGGGCCAGACCATCGTATTGACCTTCCAGTTTGGAGACGAGACAACCTGTCAACAATATACTGTCAGTACTGGTCTTCATGGGGTCCAGGATTGCAAGTCAAGATCTGGTCATGAATTACCAATTATCGTCGACTTGCCGGACCCGGCGTTGCCGATAACAACAATGTTAAGGTGTGTTCTTGACATGTTGATGTTGTTGAGCTGTGGAGGTATCCGCGAGAATTCTCAGGCGAGGGATGGTTGAAAAGGAGAGAAACTGGAGACAAGTCTGGTTGTTTACACAGAGATTGGGGTGGGACATCCCGATCTTATAGGAGCAGTCTCACATTGCAGATCTTGCCTGCAAGTTGTTGTGATGCGCCCCGCAGTTCAGCTGGTGGTGGAATCCAGCCACTACTAACTACTAGTATACAGATCCGATAAGTGGGGGGTTCGGCTAAAGGACGATAACCTTCATCCCCACTACACCGAACTCTGTTGCGGTCAGAGGAACACCCCTACCCCCTCTGCCGCCTCTGAGTATCTTCCTACGGTTTCGATGGCAGAAGAAGGACAAGGAGAAGCAAAAGATGAATACCTACAATGTCTCCTCCGCCCCCGGATGCATCCAACTCCTGCAGCAACACAAAAAGCGTCTGCGAGAGGCCCAGTCTCACAAAGGCCAGTCCCCCAGCATACACAGGACTCGCGATGAAACCATTATCGGGTTCAAGCTTCGTCGTGCGCAGAACCAGGGCCGATCGAGTGTAAACCACAGTATTCGGTCTTCCATCATCCCGCCAGCCTATCACCCCTGCACACGTTCTCTCCGCGATCTGCAGCAACTCAGGATCAAGGATCTACGGGTGGAAACCCATCACCGCGATGCGTATCTTCTGCTCCGATCTGTGACACCACCGGATGAAATGACGGCCATTCTGGCCATGGTAGAAGATGAGGATGGGGATGTTCTCATGCTGCAGCTTTACAACCAGGATATGGACCGTCCTGTAGAAGAGATTCTCCCAGAGGGAACGGCTTTGATCGTGAAAGAGCCGTTTCTGAAACTGATGTCTGATGGGGAGTATGGCATCCGTGTCGACCACGTTTCAGATTGCATCTTTCTGTCGGCTTTTGATGAGCGAGTCCCGCAGTGCTGGCAGCCAAAAGATCGTCCAGACTTCGATGTGAACCATTGGAAGATGACGGGGGACGAGTTCTGCGACAGCGCCAAATACCAACTTGCGATTGAATCCTACACCAAGGCGTTGGACGGCTTACCCAACTCGGAAGAATCCAACATCCTTAGACTCAGCCGAGCCTATGCTTTGCTCAAAACCCGCCGGTTCGACGAGGCGCTGCTCGACCTCGAATCTATACCACAAACCCGCCCCTCCGCTGAGAAGGCTCTTGTATATAAAGCCCAAGCGCTCTACAGCCTCCATCGGTACCACGAATGTCACAAAGTCCTTAGTTCTCTTGGTCCTGAGTCCTCAGGCAACCCTGCAATCAAGGACTATCCCGCTCGTGTTCTCAGACGTCTTGACGAACAGGAGCTTGGGAAGTACCAGTTTAAGCCGATGTACCAGGCCAGCAAAGACTTCCCCCCAGATTTAGATCAAGCTACGTATATTGGCCCCGTGGCCGTCAGACCATCTGGCTCCCGTGGACGTGGTCTCTTTACCACCGAGGCAGTCAAGGCAGGTGATCTTCTACTATGCGAGAAAGCATTAGCACATGTATCTACAAACCCAGAAACACCCGAACAGGGCCAGAATGTGACGCTTCTGATCAACGTCGAAACCGACACCATGACTGTGGGCACACAATCCGATCTCATCAGAGTGGTCACGCAAAGACTATACCAGAATCCTGCTTTGGTCAAGCAGTTCACGGATCTCCATCATGGGTCGTATACCCCAGTCAATGTATCCGATGTGGATGGGAAACCAGTTGTGGACTCGTAATGACCCCCTACCCAAACCAGGGATACTCTCCAGCCTGACCAAGAATGATACAGATTTCTCGTCGCGCGCATTGTCTCCCTAAATGCATTCGGGTGTCCTCCGTCCTCCCGGGAATACTACCTAGAAGATAAAGCAAGAAGATTAGAAACAGGAGATCAGTTCCATTCATGCGGTGTCTGGCCCAACTCCTCATACATCAACCACAGCTGCGACAGCAACGCCCAACGCAGCTTCATCGGTGACATGATCATAATCCGCGCCGCGAAAGACCTCGACCCCGACACCGAGATTACCTTCTGGTACGCGACCCCCGACGTCGATGATTTTGACGCCCACCGCGATAAATTCCAGCACTGGGGCTTCCAGTGTGATTGTACCATCTGCCAAGACTACCAAAACACAGATGCAAGCATCCTTGAGAAACGACAAAACCTACGAACCGAAGTCCGGGAGTATCTACAATCCAACCGACAACCAGACCTCGCAAGAATCGAGAGCACAGTTGCTTCATTGGCGAGTACATACTGTCAACCTGCGCACGAGGTCCCGCGTCTGGGCATCTGGGATGTTCAGTGTGTCCTGGCGAAGAAGTATCTGCGACAGGACCAGCCCGTCAAGGCTATCGAGGCGGTGTTCGAAGCACTGGAGTCTCTTGGGTATGTCATTCAGGGCGCGCAGGCCCCGTGGTCTCCGGACGCACCGCTGGTGATTGAGCAATGGGGGTTTATGGTGGATCAGCTTATTGAGATCTGGCTCGTTCTGGCTGAGGCGTTTCATACGGTGAGTCCGGAACTTGAGGCGAAGGCTGAGTGGTATGCTCGAATTACGTATAAGATCTGTGTGGGTGAAGATGAGACGTTCGAGGATACTTATATTACCAATAGTACATAACCGGCTCTCCCTTTTTCTTAGATATTTATCTGTGCCATATACTTCATTCCCCTCTCTCTTCCTTTCTGTTTTCTCTCTATGCTCCAGTGTCAATTACTGAGCAAAAGGGGATGTTTCAAAGATTTCCATCAGAGGAACACCACAAGTTGTACATAAACACTCAACCAAACTCATACACCAACAACAGAACACATATCAAATGATACTAAGACACAGACGAACCCAAGACAGGAGAAAACAAGAAAGAAAGAAAGAAAAAGACAAGACATTAATCAAAACCCCCAACTAGCATCCCCCCTCTCCAAATCCAAAAACTCCGCCACTCTGCTAGATGATCCACGCCCCAGAAACACTCTGTCTCACCGCGAGAATTCACACACTCGAACCAGGGCAATCCAAACGCTCCGGTATCGAACGCTCTTGTGGTATTCTCCGTCAGACGGAGCTTGGTCTCTGGTTCATTTGACTATGGCAATTAGCATTAGTATCATATCAACATCACTATCACCCCCTAACAACAACAGAAACAGACAAATGAAATAGAATAGAAAAGAACAGAATAAAACTCACAGCCTGAAGTATCTCCCGCGCAACCTTCCCCCCAAAGGCTTCCTCCAACACACCCATAAACCCATCAGTAGTCACAATCCGTGAATCGCCCTCTCCCCAAAGTCCCAGATACAACCGCTCCACGACTGAAGCCAACTTCTCCGGATACCGCTCACCGAGGACGAGTAGTATACTCTGGACCTCAACAGTCGGGAAGGGAAACCCCGGCGGCGGAGTTTCACACATGGGAAGCTTCAACCGTTTGGACCAGTAGAGGCGTTCTTTGTTTATCCAGGTTGATTTGTCTGGTATCATCTTGTTAGCTTGGTTTTTGGGTGGGGTTATTTCTGTGGATGTTGGGCTGTAGGTTCTGGATTCTAGTTCTGGATTCGGGGATTCTTGATAGTGGAAATGGGTAGAAAGGGGGGTGTATATACTCTTAACAGCAATCGGGGGCGTATTCTGGCATTTGGTGAAGAGGTCACGGAGGAGGATTGGGGTGTAGGTTATGTTGCATTTTGAGAAGATGGGAGAGTTCTATATCGTAATTTATGGTTAGTTTGGTTGGATGTAGATGTAGGGAGGCATATGGGGTTGTGGTTAAGGACGGACTTTGAGAATGTGGAAGGCGACGTAGCTGAATGGACTTAGGAGGTCGAAGTAGAGGGTGACCTTTGGGGTGGACATCTTGGGGATATATAGAATATAGAATTAAAGATATTCTTATAACTTGAAATCGGATGATTGTGGTTTAGTTTATTGGTTGGAGTGAGTGGTAGGTAGGGTTAGGTGTTCAGAGTGGGAGGGATGAGGAGTTTATATTCTACGAATCTGGGATCTATCTACCAGTGGTACCTTGGGTTTATGTGCAGGATGAATCCCTTGATTGCCTTACTGACTCCTCAACAATTCAACGGACAGATATGCGTGTATGTGTAGAGGAATGGTGAGAACTTAGGCTTCGTATCCCGTCTGGATTCATGATAACTAATCATTAAATATTAAGTTGTTGGGGTTCCGCAAACGATGCCCCAACCATACACCTGACTCATAGGAATAAGTGATTGTATCTTAATTAACCACTCGATCATATATTATAGTATGCTAAATACGTATTGGCCGCTCTTGAGAACGTTAAGAGTCAAAGTTGAAACTTTCGTAGTAATTATTCTATATGAAAGAATGCTGTCTGCCATCAACAATCATCAGTGATTCACCTTTCTACCCTAGCAAACCCCGAAATACACTCTGCAAATTGTTTCAGAGAAATGTCACTATCCATTAGATCGAAATGAATGCCCTCAGCAAATGTAACTGAAGGGGCTGTAGCAACCTTAGACGGGGGCAATAGGAGGTTGGCCTTGAGCAGGCTTGCAGCAAGATCGCGGCGACGTGGATGGGAGAGCGAGGCAGCATCCCTGGTGCCAACTAAGGCTGTTGGGCTTTGGAGCCAGTGCCGTTGGCAGGCAGTGAGACTGGCGTGCGCAAACAAGATACATGAGGGACTTTATCGCCTCATATCGGACAGCCAAGACGTCGGGGCCTTCCAATGTGTATGAATTGCTTCAGGATCCACCGGGTCAAGGCTAATTACAGCGGAATGTACCATCCGCTGCAACAGTAGGACGCCAGAGAAGGTATGTCCAAAGTAAACTGGGGGAATCCAGACCGCTTGGTAATGACTGTTTGGCCCTTGTGTTTCTCGTGACACTATTCCTTAACGGAGGATATGCAAGAATTCGTAGTGAGTTTATTCTTGATTTGGGTATGACCGCTTCTTGGCCTGTCTTGACAAATATGCAGTCATCTAAATAGTCTCAAGTCTACACAGCGCATTTACCCATTGAATGTTCATAGACTAGCCTCCACTCTTCCACTTTGTCTGCCTTCTCGCCCCGGGGACAAACGTTAACAGTCGCCCGCAAGTATCCAATCACATCTTGCATACTCTCCTGAAGAGAAGAGTGAGGCTCCGTCTCCGAAATAGGTCCACGCCGCGGGCATGGAACCGCTCCTCAAAGATTGCACGCATGCCGCAGTCGCATCGTGCATGATATTCGCAATATGGAGGTCCTTATGTGCTAGGACATAGTGCGTATCATTGAGTTCAGAGAAATGCGGCATGACATCGACCCAGGCGTCGAGGCGGGGGAGAAGGTCCTGCATGGCCTCCAAGGAGGGATGTACACGGATGGCGTGCTGGTAAACACGGATCAGCGCTACGATATATGCGGTGTATGACTTGTATGGGCCAGTGATATCCATCAAGGCGACGGACTCACCCGGAGGAAAGTAAGCCACAATATCGAGGGCCAGCCAGAGGGTTTCCTCGAGAATAGGACCGGGATGGCTTGAACAGAGGCCCCAGTCTCTGATGTCGAGGGGGATAGCACCAGTCCAGATACTCCAGACCAGGACTTTTGGTGCAGCTGCAGGACAATATCCAGAACTTGGTTGACGATCACGGTCAGCTGCTCCATGGACAGCGGTGTGGGATCGCCCATGGGCAAAAGCGTAGTGCTTTTGTGTCTAGAACCTCGTCAGGGATGACGTGGATGGATGTATAAGTGACAATCTTAGTAGTGTGGAGGTTCAGCTAACATCGCAGCTGTATGAGACAAAGAAATAGGCTAGAGCATGTGACCGATCCCGCAATTGAGCAGGGAACGCAGTGAGACTCTCTGCACGCATTCTTGCTTGCAAGTTACCACTTGGTACTGGATACTTGGTTTAAGGTCTTGCGACCATATGTATATTGCTTTGTCAAAAGAAAGCCATCGCACTTTACGTGGTCCGTGGCGGCCGCATTACCTGGAACCCTTTCTCCTTTCGCTTGGGATATTTGAACCGCGCCACCATTCTGTGCGTCCAGGGGCGCAACGGCTGTCGGCTGGGTTTATTTTCGTCCACATTCCCTGACGAAAGTAGTGTTGATGGCGACGTGGAGTCGCTATTCAATCTACCGTAGTAGAAGTCTGATTCTCTAACAGAGTAATCTATGTCGGGTCTGCTGGGTACTTCTAACAGCTCATCGAGTATATCCAGAGAAGTTAGAGTCTGGCGAGAGTCATCGTATGATTCCTCGCTCAAACTCAACCCTGCGGGCGAACCAACAGAGTCTGACGCAGGGCTGGCGCACACAATTGTGGTTGGCAGGGGTTCATTCCGGCGTCGCGGGGATCTATAGAAACTGGAGAAGTCCGTGACATAATGCCTACCAACAGGAGGCGTTAGGGAGAAAGGTATGACCGAGTTGTCGCTCTCCTCAGGGTGTTCAAGGGATGGCCCAGTTGAGCCCAACCGGTAGGAGCTGGCCATGCTGTCAATACTGCGCTTGTCTAGACTGTTGTTCAGGCTTTTCCCTTGGGATACGGCACTGGTGTCTCCAAGAGGAAAGGAACGGCTGCCATGGTTCAGAGGCTAATCCTTGGTTAGTCCCTGCAAGTAGGTGTTATAGCTTATGGAATCCTGGCTAGCTTACCGGCATCACAATCAAGTGCTCCGAGAATAAGTCATTATTTCCACTAGCCCTGTTCCAGGCACTTCGGGACAACTTCCACAGCGAGATCAGGAGGAAACCGAAGATTATTACCGCACCATGAAGGCACAAAATTACATAGCCAACCCATTGTTTTATCGCCTCATTCGAGGAACACACGAATGTAAGGCTCAACAAGAGAGATAGAAATCGAACAGCAGCACACCAGGCGTTCTTGGATATGAAGAACCTGGCGTGCTGCTGTATGGCCGTATGGATCATGACAATGACTTCACACCCAACAAGCATAAGTAGCTGTGCAAGGCCCCAGTCCTGTAGCCCGCCGATTATAATACCCTGTGCTAGCTGAATAGCATGCGGCAGATAATCCAAATAGTGTAGCAGCTTGCTTGAACCAGTCGATTGACTGTCTTGGTTAGAGACATCTGAGGTATCGCTCAGATCAATTTGTTTGAAATACCGAGATATCAGATAATTTGCGCAAATGATAGCAACCATTGCCAAAGCGACCAAAGTGACGCGGTAGTTTGGAAGATATCCAATCAGGATCAATTCGTATGACATGTAGGAAAGAAGAGGGACACTGAAGAATGACAGAGTCACCCCTAGGATGACATAACCTCCCTGCCAAAGCATTGCGGTTAACGAAGGCAAGTAGCCCGAACCTGACGTTATCAGACATAAAATCACTAGAATCACAATAAGACCAGAAACCAGGATGAACATATTGATGAATGCATCGAGCATGACATCCGGCATTTGAGGAAAACCAAGCATCTGTACCATGTACTCAAGCCCGTAGGATGCATTGCTAACATACATACCATCCTCTACTCCCGTGTATGTAAAGCCATGGTCAATAGGGCCTGTCCAATACAACAACGAGGACCAGGCCATCTGGCTTACTATTGGCTGGTAGAAGCCTGGATATTCCATGGTAAGTGAACCGGCCAGAAAAATGAACTGGAGGTATCGTATATAGTCGGTGATATCAAGGATGATCTCCCATATAGGGCCCTGATTGGCCCACGCAGCTCTGCAGTCCACCTTCACCTCCGCCTCATTATGGTGTTTTAGCCACGAAGTGATCCCGACAAGGACCACCACAGCGGCAGGTATATAGGTAAAGGCTATAGCGGCAGCTTTCCCAACGTCTGGGGTAATCTTCACCGCCGCGCAATCGATTTCGGACCCGTCAGTGGTTTTAAAAGGAATCTCCGTGGCAAGAGTATGGAGCCGGTGCGTATTACTGAAGGAGTACGTAAACACATACTTCGAGAAAAGCAATCCCTCGGGACTAAAGAATAGCATAAGCGAAGTGATAAACGGGTACAAGAATAGACGGACGAATGCATGCAGTACTTACGGTGTCAACGCCTCAGTAATTGTGAGGGGACATTGGCTCTGAAAATGCTCGACCTTACCAACGGGGAATCCGAGCACATGAAAGCGCAATTCCGTGTCAAGCCCGGTGAGGTTGAGGTCATTGCACGTAAACTGTGATTCATTGTGGACGCCGAGGATTGACAGCGACAGGGAAGTCGAGCCATCGAACGTGTCAAAGGAGCCGCGAAGACTGTCAATCCAGAATGGGGACTCCCCCGACACACTGGACCGTGAGGAGTCACAGGGATACTTTCGCACCCATGCGGCTTGACAACCTAGGACATAGACGGCAAGGGTTAGCAGAAGACGGCTCCAGGCGATCCACCGAGGCTGCATGGCACGTGGTCAATATCCCTAGCGTACTACTCGTATAGAACTGATGAAGTCGGGTTAGAGAATCAGAAATGCATTGGTATATCTAGCGCTAATGCGACCATAGTGGAGGCAAATGATTCTTCAATTTCCGTTTAGACTTTCCTCAAGAAAACTGTTACGTACTAATAAAGCACCATTCAAACGGGTGCCTGAGTCTCCACATCAATTGCAGTGGATATTTTCAGCCTAGAAAAGCGGGAGAAGGAAGGAGCCCTGTTTGCTTTGTTTGCTTTTCATATCCAAAAGCGAAAGCGAGACCCACTTAGGAGCATGTGTAGGCATTCAACCTTTTAGTCCTAGGTATTGGTTCGACCACAGAGACATATATCGTTCTTACCTATATTCGGACAGGCGGAGGGAAGTATTAGGTGATCATGCTGACATGCGACTTGTCGAACTTTGACCACCGGTAGCGAGCTATAACGGAGAGAACTAGATTTGGTATTTTCTTCGTTGCTATTCGCGAAGTATTGGCTTCACATACAGCTACCACGGCTCAGTTAAGCTACGAAACGGGTGGTAGCAATATCACAGGACCCAGTGCATCCTTCACAACCTGAGACCCCTACTGATTATAAGTAATCCAACTATAAGAAGCTATTCTGACAAAGATGTCTAAAAACCATGATAATGTGTTCATTCCAAGTGTGTCTATGTAGGTAAGAGACACAACCATTCATTGCGGAGGTGAGCATCCTTTAAACACTCGTGGTTAATGAACACCGCGATATTGACAAAAGAGTGTAGCTTTAAAAGTCAAAAAGTAGTTAGAGCATCCAACTTCTGGTTGAAGGGTTTGGCATTAGAAACGTATAACCAGTTCTCTGACAGAGCTCCTGGTTTCGAGGGATGGGTTCACCATCCACATCAACGAGAAATTTCAAATAAAGATCCAGATGTTTAACCCAATGATCCTACATCGAAGCGCCCGTAGTTGAGAGCACTGCTTGTGTCGTGGCGGACCCATGGTTCTCGAGAGTTGCCGAGCGCCGTAGACTTTGGCACCGTTATGCTTTGGTTTCCTTAAATCAAGTTCAGACGTCGGAATATTTAGAGGGTGCAGTCTCCTTCTCATTATGAATAAAGAATCGTCTTGTAGAATATTTCCGACGAGAGGATAGCATCGTGAAAAATCAACAACGAGTCGAAGTGTAACATTGGCGGACACAACATGTCAGTCATGGGAGGATATAATGAGGTATTAACCACTAGATATCTCCGATTCAAATCGCATGGTTAGCCAGCTCATCAGTGAGGATAGTGTGAGTGTAATACGCAGGGTTGGGAATCTCTTTACTCAGTTGACTAACAGGCTGGCAGTCACAGCACGACGGGCGTCGAACACAAGGATCGCTATATGGCAATTAGCATTGAAAGAAACAAAATGACGCGATGAGATTACCTTGTACTCTTCTCCACCACCGAAACCAAAGAAAGTTACGCATATATATATACTTGAAGAATCATGAACGAATGGTAAAACATGGAGACCAAATACGAGGAGATGTCGAGTCAACTCGCCTGTAGGACTACTGCTCCAAGTCGGGGCTTGAGCTGAAAAAAAGGCCGGTTGTTGCATTGAAGAGAATTGTGGGGTTGACAACTATCTTGATTAAATTTCTAATGATCGACATGACTTGTCGTGTAAATCAGAATTGGTGGGTGATACTATAAAAAGAATCAAATAAAATGCGAAGTATTAAGAAGGCATAGAGGTGATAGCTTCAAGAGTGACGGATGTAGGAAGTGACGGCAGGGCTGAGTGGGTTTGATAGTGTGGCATGATTAAACTACAGGAAACAACGCGGGCATTGCCTTCAATGTAGCTGTGGATAGCTTCACTGTTGCTTGAATAACATGCAGCTGTGGACATGAGACCTCTATTTTAGGAAGGTGATGAAAGATGGGGCATTAGGAGAGATGCTTGTTGGCGACAAGTCTGACTTCCCGCCTCGATGAAAAGGGAAAGGCCCAACAAAGAGCTGTGTATAACTTCACTTAAGTAATTGGAAAGAGATCATGTTCGACTCTGGAAAAGGAAAGAGAGTGACTAGCATGGAAATAACGATGGGTTGGGAACGGACACTACAAACAAGCACACAGTCCTAAACACCATGATGGAAGAGCAATATACAGATCTAATGGACTTGTATAGCTTCACCTTCTCTACGAGAAGGATAGAAGATACCAACGAAAACAAAAAAGAAGAACGATAGCGTGACCCGGGTGCTCTACCACCGCTACTCTCCCTCCACCCAATATCGTCTTCGTGCTTCGCGAGGGTAACCAGGTCCCCTCTCCCTCGTCAGGGTTACACCGTTGAAGACTTCCCTTCGAAAAGCCTCGATTCCTGCGTCCAGGATTCGAACGAGTGGTCCCATATAGAGAGCCACGCTGAGCGTTTCTCAAGGTCAGGTGAAGTCCCAATGACCAGTAGGCCATCGGGTTCGCTGTGGCGACAGACTATTCTCGGACTTGGACCAAATAGAGCTTGTTTTGTTGCCTGAGGCTCGTTCTATTAGGCCTGAAGTGACTATGGTTAGTCTCAGCCTGCTGGATAAGGAAGACCTGGGTTTGTGTAGTTTGCTGGGCTGACGCAGGTTGCGTGGGTGTGGCCAACACTCCAGAACAGTAGCTGATGATCCCGGGCGAAGTTGCCAAATCCAACCCATTTCCTGGCATGTACCTTTGGGGATCAGCATTGATAGAAAAAGGAAAGGATAAATCTACTTCAATACGAAAAGTATAAGCTATCGATTGGTCTGAGAGCTAATGGTGTTAGGAGTATGTATACTTAGAGCTTGTGAAAGCAAACTCGATTGAGTCGCCGCGGATCTACATGGACCCACTGTTTATATACGATGAATGACACTCCGTGGTACTCGGAAGTATAGGTTCCATGGTTGAATGCAGGACTATGTGACGATATTGCTACATACGGTATCACTTACGTCTCAAACTTCCTCACAGAATCCTTAACTCGAGGAGTATATTTGACTCCATTTGATGGCTCAAGAGCTATTCTGCATCTTATAACAGGCGGATAGCATTGGTTGTTGTCAATTGATCATAGTATGACAAGACACATATACGGGATGTTGTTAAGCATATATGCTAATGATAGATGATGAAATGAAACTGGTCGAGCTTTCGATGACCACCAAAGTAGCATAGTAGCCAGGCCAAAACTCGGATTGAAATTGTGCGTCTCTTCTGCAAATCAAATGTCGGCCGAATTATGGGGCTCTCAACATAGTATAGAAAGATGTTAGGGCATGCTGCACCGCCCTGGACTCAATTCAATTCTAGCACCGCCACTTCACCCCGAAATTACTGCCCCTCCAAGAGAGCCCATAATGTGGAGCTGTGCTCTGTATTACGCAGAGCTTCTAAGCACGTAATATGCATTAAGGTTGGCTCGAGGAGCATGCGCCACAGAGCTGACACCATTACTACACAGTACGGAGTACAGAGTGGTATCTCGATAACGCTACTAGGGTCCTGATAGCGCCGCTGCAAGCCCAATAAACGGTCTACTCCGTAATCTAGGCCCTGGGCAGCAAAAGTAAGCCTTCGAAACAAACTCGTCAAGCTTTTTCGTAGGGCTGAGTCCACGATTACTGCGCACCCTTGCACATCCCTAATGGTTAACCGTGAACACGCCACATGATAAGCTCAATTCCTTTGTATTGCCCAAGCTTGCAGCACTTGCTACTATCGGTACTACTTAGTAGACGAGGTCACTCTGGGGAAGTCACTGTGGCAAGTGGATCCTGTGGAAGTCTTGGCCCACTTCTTAGTCCAATTTTAGCGCGTGGCTTAAACTCGGCTGCCTGACGCTGACGTCGCTTGGTTTCAGACCGACTCTTGCGTTCTTTCAAGCTTTGCAGTGTAGCTTTATATAAAAGGTGAGTTGTCTGGTGTTATGGTCGCACCGGATTCCCTATTATCGCATTCTTTGCTAATTCCTAGAAATCCTCAAGTCTTCTCATATTCCCACCGCCCTCTATCTTGTCTACTACGCAGTAAAGAGCCGCCTCGTATCCACCGTAAGGGCCAACAGTCAAAATGGGCGCATCTTCCATCTCCTCTCCGGTGAACTTCATCCTTCCGTCCACCAGCTCCGGATCGTCCATTAAGAAACCCATCAAATCCGTCCAAAAACCATGCTTCGGCTGTGACTGTGGCGACGAAGAGTGCGATTGCTGTATTTGCACTGTGATGTAATATACTGTGATGATGCATGTGCGTTTACCTGGCCGAATTCGACGACGATGGACGATTAACGGAGGGCTCAGGGCCAAGTTGGATCGGTTGACATCAGAATGATCCGGGGATAACGGTTGATATGAATATACTGGTGTTGACGATATAACGTTTGACGTGGGTTGGGAGGATTCTTGCCACTTTTTGTGAGCGATAATTGTTGATATATGCTGTTATTGATATCCATTTGACTTTCCTCTGTTTGTCTCTCCACCTCTTTTCTCTCTCCTTTTTCTTGTCTTTTCTTTCTTTTTCTCTTCTTCTCTTTTTCTCTGCTTGTCTCAGTACTATCGCTCGTAGATCCTACCTCAGGCCACATACGATCTCTTTACTTCTATCATGGGGTCATGATCGACATCGCATGGCTTCACTTAATCAGGGCGCACTATATACCACACCTGACATTGTAATCACTGCCTTCTCAAGATATTCGGATTGGGGAGAAAAGAAACAAAGAACAAAATCAAAGAAGCTCTGCTCTATGTATCAACCACCTGTCAAACATACTGGCGTCTACTGTCCTCCGCTGTTCATACCCAAACTTCAAGAGGTGATTGTTCTTGCTCTCCACGCAACACAACCTGTTTTAGCGGTTGAAGTCTGCTCAGTGAATATGGTCGTCCAGCCAACAAAGCAAACAAAGCTAACAAGCAAGAAAATAGAAAGGCCTTGCAGTTTCATTCTACATCTATAATAATACCCTCAACGTTTTCATCACTCTCATACTCGAAGCAGTCACTTCTCCCACAATGCCATTTCTGCTGCTGAATTTACCTACCGAACTACGGCTCGAAATCTATCATCATCTTTTTGGCATCTCGCCTACTACTCGACTCGTCCTGGCTTGCTTGCCCGGATTACCCCCGTGCCTCAATGGATGCGATAATTCATCCCCTACCTTTGTGATCTGGCATTTTCCTCCGTCGACTCCAGATGGCACAGACTACCAGGGCCAGAGTGGGTATCAACCAGTGGAGTGGGCCCAACGACAGGGGAAGATATACAGCCGCGGTATCTTTCTCGCCATCTTGGTGATCTGTAAACAGGTCTACAACGAAGCAATGCCGCTATTCTCCTCTCAGACGTTCTTCGCAATGTCAGGACTCATCAATACAACTGTCAGCTGGCTGGCTGGGATCGGTGCCCAGCGAAGACGGTGTATCCGGCGGTTAAGTTTTCATTACGAGAGTGTCCCGAGCGCGCATAAATCAATCGGGAACGATATACAATACAGTATGCGAGTACTGTGCGAGATGCTGATGGATTCGGACCGGCTCGATGTCCTGTTGTGAAATGGGTATGGCCAGAAGGGCTAGATTATAATTAGCTCTAGCAAATGAATGGCATACTCAATGGTCAGATCCGTGTATAATAGACGTATGCGAATGGCAGCCAATTTATTATATCCATCCATGGCTCTATGTCTGTCAGTTGCCGGGACTTCCTTTAGGTCCTATAGTCTAAATAACACCACCGGTCTAGTTAGATACTGTACGACTGTTAATATTAACACTTTCCCTAGTTGAGCTTCATTCAGAATGTTATTGCTTTCCCTTGCCGCCTCCCCCATTACTTAGACATCTGGCCCCAGAAGCATTCCCATAGCCTAATGTGACTACCCATGGCTGGCGGGAACTTCTTTGGTGTTCCCCTTTCCCTTTCCTTCCCTCTCCAACGTGGCGATCCACACGAAGTGAAGATGGAGACACTGGAGCCTGAAGAGACCACCCTCCGCCTGCATGCCAAAGCAGTTTTAGGCTTCGAAACAGTACCCCTGTTGAAAGCCACTATTGCTATTTTCCTTAGGTTCCATGCTAGACTCCGTACACTATGACCACTTACTACAATTCGCCTTGTTGCGGCGCAAATGTCGGGCGGAAAAGTAGCGGTGACTCATTCGCTTAGTTGAGGGTAGGGTTCGCTTACATCCAACCATCTGAATGTGGGTGGATAGGAGAGTAATCTCGCCAGAGCGGAAGACCGAGCTGAGGTAGGGGAGGCAAACTGCATCGGGCAATTGCTCAGAGGAGTGGATCTTTGACACGACTGATGAACTGCTGTTTGTATCCCCATCTGCATTTCTATCGTTCCGCGTTGTTGCCCTCGCCCATTCCGTTTGGTTCCTCTTCGTCCGTCCCCCACATTCGTCCGAAAAACACTGTAAAAGATCAAAAGAGACGTCCCCACTCCTTCAAACACGCGAAAATAATGGTATCGGGCATCATTTCGTGGGAAAGGCGCATCATCGTGGCAGCAGCCTCAGACTGTGATGAAGTGTCATGGAATTACGGTGAAGTGTCACGCGCCAGCCAATGGTAGCAACGGTGCGCTGGATAGGGCTGCCAATTGTTACAATTGTTCCCACCCATCTACTCCAGTATTGCTACAGACTAGGCTAACTAGTACTCACCACTGTTTCAGCCTTAGTAATGATGCTGAACCTCATGGATATCGAAATTCAGGGCAATGGCAGAAGGCGAAGTCCTATGGCCCACGTGTTCCGAGATCCACTCAGTTTCTTCTTAGCCATGATTGACCGTCGATCAGGCCTGGTATCCATCACTAACATGCCTGAATGTAAACGTGTAACAGGCACACCCTCAGCGCGGCACATTAGACTCTGGAGTTATGGGCGTGGTCAGCTGAAACACGAATCAGTATTGGTTTGACTGGGGAACTCGTCCATTGTATGTCCAATGAGTTCTGCCAAGTAGCCCCCATAGCCTTAGGAAGAATATATGCAACGAATAAAGAAATCTCCTAGAATTGTTCGCATCGCAAAAACCCACTATCCCCGTTGTCAAGTGGCCTGATACACTTCTTCTGCCCTAACTTGAGTAATATAAGAAGGGGGTGTCTTTCGCACCCTTCTCGGATTCCCATCATTCAATCACTCAAACAATACTATCCATCACCTACACTCCAAAGTTCCTCTGCACTCTGTATCTCTTCCCCCTCTAGCCCACCATGTCCTTCCACTTCGATACTCGCCAGGGAGACAACGAGCAGTACGGCATGGGATTCGAAATCGGCGGCCGACTGTCTGACGCCTTCCCCGTGCCATGTTCGACCCTGAAAGCTGGTGGACTCGTCCTCCTTAAGGGCCACCCTTGCGAGATTACGGACATCTACCCTTGCTCATCCGACGGCTCCGTGGTCCAGATTCTGGGAACCAATGTCCAGACCGGAGAAGTATGGGAGGACATCTACCCTCTCCGCGAGACTGTCTTTGTCCCTCGCATCCAGCAGGATAACTACCGTCCGGTGAGTAAAAATCCGCATGGATCTCGCAAGCTCTCACATCGCCATTAAGAATCCAAACTGACCTCCAATGTCGTAGTCCTCATCCAGCCGCAAGGGAAGCATGGACCTCCAGAGCCGCAGAGCGGGCCCTGGTAGCCAAATAAGTGCCAGGACTCGCCAACCCAGTGACGCCGGACGTTACCTCAAGTAAGTACTTACAGGTCTATCACAGAACGTCCGCTCTCGAGTCCCAGAGACGAGAGGTTCTGGCATGCAGGCAAGACTTGACGCTTACGGTTTCCATGATATAGTTACTGAACTTCGGACTATTCTTGCGATGTCGCTGCTACTAATATCGTTGGACATTGCGAGTCATCTGTTTGATTAGTTAGGGACAAGATGGTTGATCCATCGATGGGCTCTAGTTGGCGTTGATTTGGTTCGGTTGTCTTTTTCTTGGATATATTTGGTTCACTTCGTTTGTTATGACATAGACTGGATCTCGTTTTTGTTGAATATCACTCTTTCGTTCTTTTCTGAGAGTTTCACTTACTATGTACTGGGATTGTTCGTATACCGGTGTTAACAATGTTATTGTTGACAAAGACCTCTGGGATGCCATTCCAGGGTGGAACTCTTACCATGTCTGAGTTCAGTGTCTAAAGATCGATTTTACGCATGTTGAAGTACCAAAAGGTATACTACCCTGTACTTCCCGACAAATAGAGACGTGATAGTACTTGGCCATTACGGGGATGGACGATCTCCACACTCGCCAACCTGGACTCAGAAGAGGTAACAAGAACATAGACTGGGTACATACTATGACATAAAAAAGCGAGCGAGTCCCTGAGCAACTCAACAGCCTCCTCAGCACGTGTGACAAGATGGTCATCATCATCACATGACGTCATCTGATCATATCCCCAGAATGCAATTCAGACGGGAACCCCGGCCAGAACCGCGCCAAATATCGGACAGTTTCCCTCGGGAGGTCATCACTTGGACCCGAAAAGGTTGTATGCAGTGGGGCAGCATCTATCCTGGGCTCTTGGGTATCCGCTGGAGAACCAGGGACCAGCTTCCCCGTCACCGTGACGCAATGGACTTGTATACGCAAATGAATTTTTTGTTTACTTATAAAAACTCCCGTTGGCTCTGAGTGTCGTTGAAGTTTGTGTTATATTGTCAATTGCATTATAGAACGTTGATTTACTCTCTTCCAGTTTACTTACTCCCTTTCACCGATTACTTCTTTACGATCATAGCTTAGCAAGATGTTGAGTCGAAGCTCCAGATTCGCAACAAGCTGCTCAAGACAGCAACTCTACCGCCAAACAAGAACCCCCCTCCGCAATGCGCGCTGTCGCTACTCCACATCTACAGAATCAGGCACGGTGGGCGGTTCCCCCGCCGTAATCGGCGGTATCGCCGGTGGAACCGTCACATTTGTCGCAGGATGGGTCTGGTACCAATTCTCCGGGGCGAAGACGTTCGTGCAGACTGCAAACCAAACAGAGACGTACTTCAAGGAGGCCAAGAGGAAGGTCGCCCAGAAGACTCCCGAGCCAGATGAAGCGTTCGGGTGGTTGAGAGACACGGCCAAGAGCTACGCGTCGTTTATCCCCGGCGCCAAGGGCTACGTTGATAAGGCGTTTGATGACCTGGAGCGCATCAGACGGAACCAGGGCAAGGAGTTCGATGAGATTGTCCGTGATGCGTACAATGATTTGCGGGAGGTCTCGAAGAAGGGTAAGTTTGATGTGGATACCGCGGTTAAGGTGCGCGATGTGCTGGAGAAGCACTTTAAGCGGTTGTATGAGCTGGCGGGTGATTCTGCGGAGGATATCTTGGATAATCATCCAGAGCTGAAGGAGAAGTTTGGTGGTAGCTTTGATCGGCTGAAGGAGATGGGCAGTGCCTATGGCCCTCAGGCTCAGGAGGAGGTTGATAAGACTTGGAAGCAGGTTAAGGATATTGTCGCCGGTGGTATTAGTTCTGATACTATTGAGAAGATCCAGAAGGTGGCTAAGGAGAAGGAGGAGAAGCTTCGGAAGCTTGGGAACGAGGCTTGGAAGCGTGGTCTCGATGAGGCTCAGCCTTACCTTGAGAAGAGTCCGAAGATCAAGGAGTTTGTTGACAAGAACACAGACGCCTTGAAGAAGGGCAACTACGCGAAGATCTGGGGCATGGTCAAGGAGAGTGCCTCCTCGGGAAACACTGAAGACTTGGAAAAGTACGTCAAGGATCTCACCAGTCAAGCCAAGGAGAGCGGATTCGGCAACCTGGATAAACTGTCAAACATGGTTCCTGGCGGTTCGCAGATTCTTTCCCAGCTGCAGTCGCTCCAGAATGCTGCGGAGAAGAAGGGCCCGGAGGCTGAGAAGCTTCTCAAGGAAACTATCGATGACCTCCAGGGAGTTTTGTCCGAGAAAGTGAAGAAAGCGGAGCAGCTTGCTGAGGAAACAAAGTCTGAGACCAAGTAAACTGGAATAACGATGTGTTAGGTTATTTATGCATTTGCATGAGTCGCTGCTCCATCCGGCGAAAGATTAGTATTAATCAGAGGATGTATTCTTGGATGGCGATGAATTGGGAAACCGGCGTTCTTATTCGGGTCTAGGTCGGGGATGGCTTATGGCAGGTATATACTATATTAACAAAATGATACATCAATTCAATATCTTAATTCTCCGAGCATGTTCATATGTCATTTTTGAACTTAGAAGTAGCCCCATATTGTAGACAATCAACCTTACCTGCCTAAGGCCAATGCTGATTGATAAAGTCACCGCCTATTTCTGCCGGTCAACGTTCGGTACCGCATCCAGAACATGAGAATGCCACCCTATCTTGCGACTATTTTTCGCGATTGCTTTCACCCAACAGATTAACTGAATTAGCCAGTCTGACAGGGGCTAGGGGGATCCGATTGATACATATAAACCACAAAGAGGCACCATCATACCGCACTGAAGACCAATCGCACACCTCCCCTCATCGCCAAAATGTCCTCCGGATTCGTATCAGCCGGAACCGACCAGGAGCCCATAGAGCGCGACGATGAGTGGCTCCGCGCCCAACAGGAGCTGGAGGAGGAGCGGCGGCGCAAGGCAGAACTAGGCAAGCAAGCCGAGGGCAAAAGTCTCTATGAAGTGTTGCAGCAGAACAAAAGTGAGTCTCCGGTATCCTGAGCGGGCCAGCTTGCGCAGATCACGGATATTCGTTTGGATTGACATGTTAGGGGTGGTTGTTCCTCTGCGATGAAAAAGTGGCCAAACAGGAAGCTTTTGAGGAGAAAATTAAATTGAAGAATCAGTTCCGTTCGCTTGACGAAGATGAGATCGAGTTCCTGGACTCGATTATGGAGTCGACGCGCGCGCAGGAAGCCGCCGTGAAGAAGGAGACTGCTGAGCAGCTTGAGGCTTTCCGGAGATACCGGGAGGAGGCGGAGAAGGTTGCGCTTGAGGAAGGGACTGCAGATGTTACTCCCGCCGCTGAGGGGGAGGATTGGAAGATCCCTGCGCGTAAGAGGAGGAGGGACAAGAAGGATCTTTTGCTTCCTGGGAAGAAGCGCAAGTCTACCGCCGAAGGTATGGGAGAGACTCTGTCGACTGGAGAGCAGAAGTTGGATCAAGAGGACAAGGATTCTGGGAAAGACGATAAGCAGCCTGTTCCGGTTCCGGCTGAAGCTGCTAAAGTTCAGAAGTCACGGCCACCTGCGAACACAGCGACTTCTGCTAGCCCCATACAGGCCGGGGGTGTGAATGTAACAGCGTCTGAACAGATTGAGAACAAGCAAGCCGGCAAGCCAGCTCCCATATCTCTTGGCTTGTCCGGCTACAGTTCCGACTCTGAGTAATTGTAATTGCAATTCCGCTGGGATCACGTATCACACCCGTGCATTGTTTGGCCCTTCCTTCGACAACACTTACAATACGTGATTCACGTTGCGATAGCAATGGGATCATTGAGCTTGAACATGCGTGGCCAGTGATCACGGCCACTCTACAACCAGGCTTTGGTAAAATGGTGAAAAATTGTGACACTGGCAATCGGAAGACACAGTGGTCCAGCTGTTTCAAAAACATTTATTTAACGGACTAACTCGCAGAATATCCGATGGTTCTCGGTTCATTTACAATACATTGTCCGGGTTACTTCAGAAACCAACATCATTATGTCCCAAATTGTATACAATATGTATGAGAGATTATATTGTGAAAATATCAAAGCAACAACCCAACGTTTGTACTCTACCCTATTTGTGGGGAATCGTTCTTCGGCCTCTGCCTTCCGCTCTCAACCCCTTGTATTATCTTAATCCATCGGAGCTTCACTCCTTGTGTGTCGCAAAAACCTCTTGCTTCACTTCTTGCTCCTCAACTTTGTGCTCTAGGTCATGTGGAAGGTAATCCTCCTTCTTGGTTCCTACCACAATCCATGGGGAGTTGGAGAACAAGTAGTTCATCTCCTCAAGCGGCAACTTCTTCGTCTCAGGCAGCAACAGCCAGAAAAAGATTGCGTTGGTGAAGTTGCAGATGATGAAAAGGAAGTAATACCGGTAGCGGACATTCTGCATTGCAATTGGCGTCACTTGGCCAATCATGGTGTTGAACGCATAAGAGGTCATGGTAGCGATGGAAACACCCTTCGACCGAGTTCGCGTATCGAAAACCTCTGCCGGAATGATCCATGACAGAGGACCACAGGTGCAGGAGAATGAGAAATTATATAACCATGTCATGATGATGAAGCCCCAGTGAGCCCCTGAGTTGTTGACTTCGGGAGGGAATTTTGCCAACAGGATGCATGCGATGATGAAAGTGACACAGTTACCCAAGTTTCCGAAGATCAGACTGCGCCGTCTACCGAAGCGGTCAATTAACATCATACAGAGGAACTGGGCTACCAAGGCAATGACGGAATTGATTGCCTGGTAGCGCAATGTTTCGTCTCCCTTGATTCCGATTTGCTCATAGATTGTCACGGAATAGTACCTGAAGAAAATGAAGATTAGTGGCTGATATCTAGCGAGACAGCGGGCGTTTCAATTATTTCGAAAATGTCCAGGTAAAGAGGCTATCTATCAGCACTTACTGGATGGCTGACACTCCCGTCATCTGCACGGATGCCTGCAACGCGCAGCAAAGGAAAAGACGGCGGAACGATGACCGAGAATTGAACAACTCTAGGTATGACTTGGCTTCGTTCTCATGCTCAAATGTGATACTCTCCTGGATCTGGTTGTATTCAGCACGGACCCATGTGTCATTCACATCCCCATGCGCGTGAAGCTTCGCAAGCGTCTGCAGGCCCTTTTCGTGCTCTCCATGGTCGATGAGCCAGCGCGGCGACTATTCTTGGATTAGCTACGACAACTCTAACAACATGCGGATGTACTCACCTCTGGGAAAAACATGATCAAGAGACCCAAAAACACGGCGGGAGCCACTTGTAAACCAAGTGGGACCTGCCACTGAGCATTGTTTGTTGGTTCAAATCCAATATACGTGCCATATGAGATCCATGCAGCGCACAGCGAACCAACACCCAGCATGAATTGCTGCAAAGATGTCACACGACCTCGAATATCGGGGTGCAGATCTCAGCCTGGTATAGCGGGATGATCATGGTAAGGAAACCGACACTATGCAGTAATTAGAGTCTTGGTTCTCGCTTTGGTATCTTTGAGGCGTACCCAAGTCCGGCCAGGAATCTTCCACTGTATAAGTATGCGACTGTCTGTGCTCCAGTCTGGAGCCCTCCACCCAGGCAAAAGATTACACAGCCGACAGAGATGGTCTTTCTTCTGCCGATAATATCACCGCTGGGACCCGCAAATGCTGAGCCGAAGAAGGCACCTGCCGTGAACATGGACACGACCAATCCGCTTGTAGACAGTCAGTGGGCCAATCTGATACAGTGTTATCTCTTCCACATCTGGCGTAAGACTTACGTCTGAGTGTCATCTGCTGCAAACTTGGCGTCAAACGACTGACAGGCAATAACCTCCGCAATCACACCCAAATCGTCTTCAGCCGTAACAGTCAGTAAGGGCTTGACACGACTCGTGCGTTGTCACTCACATCCATAAAGGAACGATCCCAGCGAGGCGAAAATGCCCACCAGAAACTGTGTAATTGATCAGCAAAAGCCAACGGCCATTGCTTCATTCAAGTCGATACTCACCTGGTACCATGCCGGAGAGAGACGCATGGTGATCTCAATCTGAAATCTCAAACAATCCAAGTGCCCACTATGCTCTGAGAGCAAAACTCAATAGGTAAACCGGTGGACCAGATGCGGGGATTTCCCTGGGGTATGGGGTTCCGCAGGCCTTTAAAAACTTCTGGGGATCGGAAGCCCACATCCAGCACTAAGGCCCTGGAGCCTTTGACAACAATCTATGGGATCGTGGCCCATAGTGTCTCGTGGTGGGATTCCGGAGCTCTTGCCCAAAAGCATGGGAAGGGCGCCATAGCGTGTCAATAATTCCCGGATTCCACACCAATGAAGGAACACCCCATATAGCAGCATAAACTTCACAGCGAATCAGAACCCCAACCCCATGAGACAGAATTCAATTGGCGCTTGACCGTTTGCGGGGGGCCGTCGTGGTGTGGCTTTCGGGATCGCGAGATACTCGTGCAAGCGCGAGCCCTGATTGATGGAAGATCTCGTGGCGTTGCCTCGGCTTCAAAACCAAGACGACGGCGCCGCTCCCACGCATCGCCTGCACTCTCTACACATGATTCATGCCAATTTCCTGCATGGTCTGGAACAACCCCGCAGGAGATTTTCCCATTCCATTGCGATAGCTGCGATGCGTGTGCAGCCCACATTAATTAGTTGGCGCTGTCCAGCTGCTTCCGTCACCGAGCTTGGAAGAGTACTTAGTCGAGCACCATCTTCCCTCTTTTTCTACCAATCAATAACTCGGGCAGTTCAATTTACCACTTTACGGTTCAATTTTACGATATTTTAACGGCCGCAATAATGACTACCTTTACGAAACTTAGCGATCAGGATACGCCGAGTATCGCCATCCACCCATCCCGGCGTATTTCCAAGATCAATCCCAACATCTATGCGGGATTCACAGAGTAAGCTTGGAAATTTTCCTGTTTAGTACTAGAGCATCAAAGGAATTAAGCTCACGCATGATCACAGACACATGGGCCGATGCATCTACGGCGGCATCTACGACCCGGGCAATCCCTTGTCAGATGAGAATGGCTTCAGGAAAGATGTCCTCGAAGCTCTGAAGACACTCAACATTCCCGTTGTCCGCTACCCTGGCGGCAACTTTATGGCAACGTATCACTGGATCGACGGTGTTGGTCCTAAAGACCAGCGTCCTGCACGGTATGTTTTGCTGTGATGAACCTTTTTCCGAGGATACCTTGGCCACCGGAAAGTTTTGAACGCGACTGCTGACTATCAAAAGGCCTGAGCTGGCTTGGCTGGGCACAGAGACCAACCAGTTCGGAACTGACGAGTTCCTCAAGTGGTGTGAAGTTCTTGGAACTGAGCCATACTTCTGCCTGAACTTTGGAACAGGTACTCTTGATGAGGGTAGGTTTTGATATAAGCCGCGATTATTAAAGTCTCGTATAACTAACCAGCTTTCTATAGCACTGGCATGGGTTGAGTATTGCAATGGTACCGGAAACACTTACTATGCAAACCTCCGCCGGAAGAATGGCCGCCAAGAGCCTTACAATGTATGCACCTTGCCCATGCTGATAATATCACTTGGCTGACATCACACGCACAGGTTAAATACTGGGCTCTTGGAAACGAGACCTGGGGACCATGGCAGGTCGAGCAAATGACCAAGGAGGCATACTCTCACAAGGCCTATCAATGGGCAAAGGGTAAATACCAGTTTCCAAATACCACTTTGACGAAAAGTACTAATCAAGTCCATAGCTCTTAAGCTCCTTGATCCCAGCTTAGTTCTGATCCTCTGTGGACAGGACGGTACAGCATCGTGGGACTACTACACCCTGAAGCACTGTTTGCTTCCCGTCAATTCACCTCTATCTACTAGCGCTGTCCCCCTCATTGACATGCACAGTATTCATCTGTACACCTCATCATCGTCTCATCTGCCTAATGCCACTGCCCCTCTGGCCGCTGAGCGTGCCATTGAGATCACATCCTCCCTGATCGATCTCGCCAGGATCGAGAACGGAGTTCCTCCAGAGCAAACACGCCCAACCATCTGTTTTGATGAGTGGAACGTGTGGGACCCCATCCGTGCCGAGGGCAGCAAGGGTGCAGAGGAATGCTACACGCTTTCCGATGCGCTTGCGGTGGCCGTGTGGCTCAACGTCTTCGTCCGTAAGAGCAAGGACTTGGGCATGGCATGCATTGCGCAGACCGTCAATGTTATCTCCCCGCTCATGACCACCAAGGAGGGCATCACCAAGCAGACCACGTGGTGGCCGCTGTACCTGTTCTCAAAGTACATGCGTGGCTGGACCATCAGCGCGCATCTCGAGAGTGCAACCTACGAGGGCGAAACCTCTCCCAAGTGGGTCCGCGGTGTCAAGGAGACCCCGTGGTTGGACGTCAGCGCCGTTCTAGGCGAGGACGGCTACGTCAACGTTGCTGTGGTCAACATCCACGAGGAGAAGGCTATTGAAACCAAGATCGATGGTGCTTCGGGAGAGGTTGCCGTGTTCACTGTCACTGGTGACAATGTCGCAGCGACCAACATGAAGGGCAAGGAAGAAGTGGCCGTGGTGGAGAGCACCTGGGACGGACAGGGCCCCTACGCATTCCCCAAGCACTCTCTTACCCTGCTGAGATGGAAGGCCTAAGTTGTCTCTGGCAGACACCAGCTGTGTTTCCGTCGTAATAGAAATGAACCAGATAGACTAGATAAATCCATTACATTTGTACCATCTCCCCATCAATATCCGTCATACATGGCCGTGGCCCATCACCGATGAATCTATCCATACATAATATCCATATATCATCCATTATTCGCAGTCGTATATACATTTATCACAGACAAGTCACAGCCTCAACCGAAGTTAACATCATGAACAGTGCCCTTATCATCCAAATGTACGTTCAACCTTCAAACAAACCACATCAGCCCATATCTTTACCACTAGAATAAAGATTAAACAACAATCAAGATAAAACAACATACCGCTCAGGCCTATAATCCATGGTCTTCATATCACCCGGTTTAAGAATCCGATGAGACTGGGGCAAGTCCTTCTTCGCAAACGACTACCAACATCACACACAGATTAGCCTACCACCCACAAAACCGACAACCCCGAAAGGATAAAAATAATCAAGGGTGAGAAAGACTCACAGTAACATCGCTCGTTCCTCCGTGATCGTTTTTCCGGCCAGCTTACTGAGCCATTCGTTCTTATCGCCGTTGTTCACCTCGGGGATGACTAGAGGCATGGTGGAATGGATTATTCTGCTTTGGGATAGGGATAGTGGTTGTGTTTGTCGGTTTGATAGTATAGGTAATTTGGGAAGTGATCGAGGGGAAAATCGCATGAAATGATGAGAGTTGGAGGGGAAGTGATTGGGGTTGCCTGGAGCGGAAGCGTAGGCTTATAAACTTAATCCATTGATACATCATCGCGGGCCAACGTCAACTGGCGATGATGTCATGGGCGAAGGCTTAGCAGGGTCGTTCTTTTTGGGGGTTAGTGCGTCGCTCGGGTGGATTAGATCTGCCGGCCCGGTGGTATGTATGGGTCAGGTGGTTGCACTACTACCAACAGTTGTATCAAAGGATGAAGGGCATAGGCTACATAAGAATACTCACTCAGTACTTAGTTTGGTTATTCATGATCATTTCTACTCAAGTTACCTGATAGTACCTTTGCACAAAGCAAAAGTTACCGGCTCAAGTCGTTCGCATTATCTGACTATCGAGTATTCGTACTCGATCGACCTCTCACGGATCGTACTTGCAACCCTGATCGGGCTTTGCAGTCACCTCCCATCGTTGCCAACCTCCCGTGGATTCTAGACGTCGAAGGTAAATCGCACTTACCCAAGATAGCTAACTTGTCGCAGCGTCCATAAACTCATAAGATACTCAGCAAGGAGATACATATATTGAAAATACCCATTGCGAGCAGCGAGTAGTTGCATGTAGGTCTTCGGTAACCATAATTTGCTAGAGTTGCGCCGAAGAATAGCAACGGCAAAGATACTATACAAGAAAATTAGCATATTGACTACGCAGAGGGCAGTAAGACGAATCCCTTACGACTTGGACGATGTCCCAAGAAGTATGTGATAAGAGACCAAAGCAAGAACGCGGATGAGCCGTAGAGCATCCCTATTGTAAGCTATAATTAGTCTATACCTTAGTGTACACATTCCGCGTAAAAGAAACCTTACAGTTGCAGATGATACCAATATAGGACTGCTCCCAGGCGTCATCTTTATCTTTGTGGATACTCTTGAAAAGACAGAGCCCTGTCTCCACTCCGAACACCTTTTGAAGATATTCTAAGGTTGCGTCATGAAGCTCAGAGCCCCGCCCTAATCGCCAGGAGCGGGCAGCTTCTTCGGCAAAGGTCTCGTCTGTGTTATGCTTGGAGGTGAGGGTCTGTCTAATATACCTCCGGACTTGTTCTGGGCTCGCAGATCGGTCAGGAATTCGGGTCATTTTGGCAAGAAAGCATAGATTCGAAGTGGATTCGTCGTAAGTTTTAGAACGGGGCCGGCAGAATCTTTGGCGGTAATGTTGATTGAATGCATAGATATCCATTATGACAATCTTTACCCTTTTAGAAGAAACTAGAGGACTGCTAGTGCTACTAGTGCGGACAAGTTGACTTGTTCTTCTCAACTCGTATGGTGTGGAGTTACGTAGAATTGTTTAGCGCCTCCAGCGATCTGACGAGATCGTCGTCTATTTTTCCAATGGCCCTTCCCCTTCCTTCTCTTGATTCTTGAATCTCCATCTCGCGCCAAAATGCAGCCGAGCTTGCCACTAAGCTTCTTAGGTACTACTAGTCCCGATGATCTTCCAGCTTGTATGACCCTTTTAAGTGCTCTCCGACTGGCTCGATGCTCTCGCTTTCAATAGTGAATGTTAGCATATATACAGTTCCATGGTTGAAATGTCGATCCCGGTTTCCTCGTAACAAACAAGATGATGCTTGTAGAATAATTCCGGATTTTACTTCCGCTGCTTTAAAACTTGCCGGTCTCCTTTTCGATCAAGATATAATGTGCTTTCCCAATTGCTCCATATTTTCCATAAACATCTCCGTTTAAATCTCCTTGACGCACTAGTTAACTCTTCCGCACAGTTTCAAACAGCCCTGTTGTCCCTATCCTTACGTGGCTTGCGTCAACATGAGGATTCTCGCGCTATGCCTCGCTCTAGTTCCAGCCCTTGCTGCGCCGCTCAATGAGCCGGGAAGCAGTGATGGCATTAACGGCTATGGCAACAACAATGGCAACTGAAATGGCAATGGCGGCAGCGGAGACCCCGTTTGCAATGCAGGGCTACTCTATACCCAAGCACGGTGTTGTAAGACTGGTGTGCTAGGCCTGGCTGACTTAGAATGCAAGCCAGCGTGTAAGTAGACAAATACACTGCTGTTTCCATTTTGCAGACCTTCTTACTTCGGCCTCAGCTCGATCGTATAGCGGTAGTGATGATTTTAGGGCCGCCTGTGCCTCCGACGACAACCGAAGCGCTCAATGCTGCTCTATACCAGTTGTAAGTTACAAAATCCCACGTCATATTTGTTATTTGTTAACATTGTGCTAAATCTATTCCTATGTCAGGCGGGCCTGGGTTTGGTGTGTCAAGACATTGTTTAACCAGGTTGTGATAACGGGCTTCAAATATCGGAAGGTCCGCAGAATGGCGGAATAGTGCCACCAGGAACTGAGTCCACGGATGGAATTGTGTCTAGTGGAGGTGCCACCTTGTCAGACGCGTTACAATGAAGGTGGAAGCTACCTTGTTGTTTTCGTATCCAGTGTATTGTTCGAGATAGATATGAGTCTCCTATTAGAGTCCTACGAGAGCTTAATTTTACTTGAAGACCTTTCCTTCCGGTGGAGAATAACTAAACATAGTTCCCTAATTCAAGGAAGTAAGGTGGCATACAGACTACACTCCAGTTCCTCTGTACGGCAGCGTCAACCCCCATCCACATATCTATAAACACCCTAGCAAAGTCCCGTCTTTATCAGAATACAATCCCAGGGTGCTGAAGGGAAGGTACACTACGAAACGTTCCTGCCTCAAAGGCAGACATCACACCCGTGTCTCGATTATCCTTGAGTTTTGATCACGCCTATGATGATCATTCTGTCACTTTGCTGCGTTGAGTCCATTCGCTCTTTTTGTGCCTCTAGAGCCGTCCTCTGTCGCTCAGTGTTATCGCTCCAGCTTCGTATAGATCCTAACTGAGATGTGAATTCTTCATTCTTATTGCCGTGTCGGAGTCGTTCGTTAGATGCAACTTGCAGCAGCAGCATCCACTCGCGTCTGGTGAGAGTACCAGTGGCAGTCTTGAAGTTTGCACTTTCGTCTCTTGGGCTTCCTCTTGGACCGCTATAGCGAATTGGTTATCATGCCGGATACACCAATGAGATTTCCCTCGATATGGACAGAAGAAACAAAGCTCGCACCTATCGTCCAGGAAAACATTGTTGTAAATGAGCGAATCAGGGAAGCGAAACACGAACTCGAGCATCAGGTACCCAATTACTATAAATTAGTAAAGCGCATACCAACCTTGACCACCATTGAGAAACCAACAAAAACCGTCAAGGCACCTTCTACAAGAATCGATGGGCTCCTCAAGCGGTCCGCAGAAGGACCCCCACGGTCAACGACAACCCACAATAACTTAGTCCCACACTGGAGCTACGAAAAAAACTCTCTCGCGGTAGCATGCGTCTTCAGTGCCATCACCGTGCTAGGTATCATCTTCCTCGGCGTCCTCTCTGTCCGAAAGATCCGGCGAAGCTGGAAGCGCCACAAGCGTGAAAAGCAAGACGACACCGCTTTCAAACTTCGAATCGACATGAGCAAAAGCAACAGAGATTCGAATGCCTGTTTTATAACCGAAAGCAAGTCTAGTCGCGAATCGATGATGTATAGCCGTGATAGCTCACCGTCGGGAGGTTACGTCGTTGAGCAAACAGGGGGTTCTGTGACCCGCGTGTTTCGCGAAGGCAATAATGTTTCGAGTCAGACGTTCGACTCTATCGGTGCTTCACCGGAGAAAATGAGTCCTCCGCGCGAGAATAAACGGGCCCCAGGAGGCCGGGCGGATTCGCGTACGCCCTCGGGAACAGGACGTGCTGGTTCGATTCCAAGACCGATTGTCGTGGTGCCATCTCCACTGAGACACGTCTCCTCACAGAAAGCCACGCCTGTTATGCAACCGACTGGTCCCAGCACACCTGATTCTGAGCAATCACCCGTATCCCCTGCTTCTCCACAGGATACCGAACCAGTAGGTAGTAGATCTTCCAAACGCAACTCGTTGTTTCGGCTGCCTTCTATCAAGAAATCTATATCCCCCTTGTTCAGTCTTTAAGATCAATATGCTTCTTCTGGGTCAACGTGATACTACACGATTGCAGCCCACATTGGATTATCGCACGGAGTGTGGCCTTTGGGCATTCTTTGTTGATGAAAACCTGCGACGAGGATGGCAATCAAGCCTGGTCACTTGTTGTATGCATATCACTCTTTTGGTTATATGTTTAGCCGTGGATGATTGGTTGGTATGTGTGGCCTTGTGGGCTAAGTTCGTTCGTTCCTTGCTCTTTTTTTCTCTGTTCAAGCTTGTTAGCCCCTAGAACAATAGATACTCGTCCTAGCGGGATTCCAATCCTACAGAGTTATTTCTGTTATTTGTAGTGGTATAAATGCTCTCTGCGCCTGTAACACAATCTCTATCCCGAGACGTACTATCTTCTGAACCGGAACTATAGGCATTTCTCACTACTATACTTCCAGCTGCTGTCCTATAATGGTACGCAAACGACACGGCGCGAATAATAACCAGAATCTTACTCTTCATAACATTATCCCATTGAGAGTAAGCATTCTACATGTAGATTAATATTCTTCTTGATGATATCTCAAAGATTCCTGGTTCCCTTAAGAAGGACCCCTTACTTCCTGTCATCCCAATATCATACATGCATCAACATCCACATTCGTAACCCACAAGGCATACTTCTGCTTACACTCACCATCTACTTGACTCCATTTATAAAAACGTAAACCTAGTTGACTTGGTTTAGATCAGATACTTCCACTTCTCCAAGCATAAAGCTGGGATATCATCGCTACCACAATATAATTGATATATGGATAGTCAGTTCGAATACCGTGGCTTTGTAATGACAAAGGTTATGGTATTTCCAATATCACCCACATAGCTAAATATTTCGATCGTTAAGCTCTAATAGTTTAATAGACTCATAATTGATTGATTGGTATTTCTAAGTCGAGAGACCAATGTAACAGGTCTTGTTAGCACGAATGGGGATAGTATAGTTGTTGTTCTATACTCACCGTGGTTTGGGGTATGATTTCCTACGTGGAAGGTCACTTGTTATACGTAGTGGTTTTTGTATATGGACTAGAGTAAGGTAGGTAGTATGTATTTTGTACGATGATATCTACGCGATTATACCTTGGTATAGCCTTTTTAGACAGAAGTATGTATGCATCAAGAGTCGTGTGGATTTAGCTGGAACTTGGAATACAGGGCCAAAGACTGTTTTCGGACTCCTGTAACATCCAAACAGTTCACATCAGACCAAAAGACGTAGTTCAGCTTGCAGAGCTTGATATGTACGCCAGATACAGCCACTTGACAATTCTAGGCGTCAGTAAAGTGGACACAGAGGTGGAGGTAGCGGTCCTCACCTCGGCCTTTGAAGCGACGAGGAAGTCTGTATTATTACTGTCTGTGGGACCTTTCATTGTGTCACTGCAGTCAATATTCGCCATGGTTGTGGTCGAGACTGTGACATACTGGATGCAGAACAAACATCAGCCTGGTCAGTGGCTTAGCGCGATCGACAGGAAGGAAACAGCTCAGCCTAGCTGCAGCCCTCGTTATTTGATTAGACATAAAAAGCCTGCAAGCGGAAGATATCTTATACAGTTCCTCATATCATCATTAAAAATACCCATCCTCAATACAGAAGAGCGAGAAGAATGGATAGACAACACCTCGCAAAAAAACACACATGATAAGACAATACCCCTAATTCTACGACGAAGCGAACAGTCAAAGAATAGAAGAAGAAGAAAAAAGGACAAGTCTATTAATTATGCTGCACGATCATCCGACTGACGCACACTCCTCAGACACCGCTCAAGTCTCTTTCCTCGCTCCTTCTCACGGACAAGAGTGGCCTTGGCGAAAGCGCGGATCGCGTCTCGACCGACTTTCTCTCTCCAGGTTGTCCACCCAGCTAGTTCGCTGACGACCACATCTTTGTTCCAGGTGATCTCGCGGGAGAGGCGGGCGATCTGGGTTTCGGATTCCTGGATCTTGTTCTCTAGTTCGCGGACGGACTTTTGGCGGGACTCTTCAAGGCCGGGGAAGTTGAGGTTGAATTTCCTAGGAAGGGACGAGGAGACCAGAGAGGAGCGGGAGCGGGAAAGGGAGCGTGAAGTAGATGTGAGGGTGGATATTACGTTGATGGGGCGGGAGAGGGCGTCTAGAATGGCGGATGTAGTGTTGTCGATGGAGGTGACGGTGTTGAGGAACTGGAGGAGGGGAGAGGAGTCGGATGAGGAGGTTGAGAGGTGAGAGGCATAGCGGCAAAATGCATCGACGTGGGACTGGGGAAGAGCGCTGGTAGGTTCCTTAAGGGTTGAGATGGCGGAGGAACATAGGCCCAATGCGTCAGCTATGTCGGAGGCAGAGTTTTGTAAAGCGTAGCCACGACGGATCAGACTGCGCGTGTTGGCATGGACGGCGCGAACCATGTCTTGTGCGTGTGTGACGAATTGCTCCGTCTCGCGCATACCCTCCTGGGTGACGGGCTCGTAGTCGTCTGCGATTGACTCGTAAAGAACTTGCGCTTTGCGACGAGACCGATCTGCCATCATCTCCGGCTGGAGTTCGGGAACGAGGAAGAACTCCCAGAGCATTTCGTGGGTTGAGAAGGTTGGGTGCGAGAGTAAAATCTTGAGAAACCTATCTAGTTTTGCCTGCATGTCGTGAAGAACCGAGCGAGATGGCTTCGAGTGAATCTGGAAGGGAGAGCGGAAATCGGAGAGCAGGGGCATGTATGAGGCGGGGTGCTCAATGGAAAGCCATTTTGCAAGATTTTCAAAGTCAGTAAATGTGCGCTTACATGTTGTGACAGTGTAGGTGGTGGTAGGCGCCAGTCGGGATTCTGCAGAGTTCGGCGGAGGATTGGGGCCCCGGACTTGAGAACAAAGCGTACAGTTGCATCTTCCACGAAGAATGAACGGACCACAGTGGTGACCCGACCGGAGGGGTCGTTCGTTACTGAAGGTGGATTGGAGATGAGAATGAGATCATCGATGCGGTTTCGCACTTCATCATCCTTCGCGAGTTCAACAGCCGTTAGTCCGCGGGCCTCTTTAAGATGCACATCCACCCTAGGGTCCATAAAAAGAATCCGAACTTGGTCGATGCGGCCATATTTGCTGGCCATCATCAAAGGGGTGAACCTCTTGTCATTCGTCGCATTTGGATCACAATCACATTCTTGCAGGATCCTAATGGTAATATCAGGGTCACTGACGATATGTAGCAACGTATTCCCTTTCGCGTCAATATGATCGTCCAGACGTAATGGTCGGCCATCGCCTTGGGATTTCTGAGCAGCCGTTAACGCCTCCTTAACCATCGAACTGTAGTTAGGGTGGTCGTAGGATCTACATAGAGCAAACAGCGGCGTCTGTCCATGCTTATCACGTTGGCGCCATGGAAGCAACGTTTCCAGCTTACGCATCACCGAAGGGGTGCTGAAGAGATAATGAGCGACAGTGCGTCCATGAATATCCGACTTCCTCAAGTAGGAGACGACCGTTTGCTCGTCTGTTGTATTGAAGAGGTAGTCGAGTATAATGTCTACCATCTCAGGGTGCGCGAGTTGGACAGCTGCATTTAGCAAAGTTGTCCCATCCGTATTTATATCATCAAGAATGTCTTCCAAGGGATAGTATTCCTCCAGAGTGAGCAGGTAGTTCAGGGCTTCTGGTTGACGATTCTCGACTGCCATCATGGGAATCGAATGACCTGCGGGATCCTGGGTCTTAGTCAACGTCTCAATAGAGCTGTCTCCTTCGATCGTACTCGTCACGGATCCCATCGTAGTCGTACGAGAAGCGAATGAAATAGCTGAGGACTCAGATAGACTGCGGACATCCATAGACACCTTCTTGATAGGGCGCCGGATTTCTTCCGGTGGAGAGCTGGTTGCCCAGGTCTGAAAAGGGAATACGTGTGCTAAAGGTGGTGTATCCGATGGAATATCATGGGCCGCTAGTTCACTATTGCTTTCGTTGCGCCCACCAAGGATGGGCAGGGACAATGGGGGTCGATCATATTCATCGTGCTCGTCGGTTCTAAATGGAACTCGACTCCCTTCAGGCTCACAAGGGATATCATCTATCGATTCTTGACTACCGTCTGGTTCCAGGATAGCCCTCATATCAGTGATGCGTCCACTTTTGGTTGCATTCCATAAGCGCTTGTTCCGAATGCTCGACCTTCGAAGGCCTGCTGAATCAGTCACAAGGTACGTGAGGACTGCTTCAAAAGTACTGAGAGCGTAGCCCATTTCTCCGCTGTCGACATCGTCAACATAGATGAAGTGCTGCATATACAACAGTCGTGCTTGTAAATGCTTGGTTTGAGATCTAATGACCACGACAAGCAACAATGAGACCAAAACATCAGCGTTCACGGTTACAGGTGCGTTCTGCTTCTCAGATGCTTGTGGGTCGGCTTTATCATAATTGCCAGGATACGACAGAATCTTTACTGTTTCCAGCAAGGTGTTCAGCATATCATGGGGACATTTTGCATCCAGCATTTTGCGGAACTCCTCCACTGCTCTACCCAGACGCTGCAGTAACTCCCGTTTGCCTTCTCGACCACCCTCCACGGCTATGCCCACCTGCGAAACATCTATGCTCTCCATCTGGCGGATCCTAGTATCCAACTCAGTATCCTCGGGCTGGCGGAAACTACATAGGCGGGGGAAAAGAAGAGATTCGTGAACCTGCTCGGCGACGTAGCGTTCGATCAATCTCTCGACGAGAGGTCCAGTCAGGTCAGTCGTGGCACCGAGAAAAGACAATTGCTGTTTGTCTACTAATCGAAAGAGGTCAATGGCTGCGGTAACCGCTGTCTCTAGGCTGCGACGCATGAGATCCTCATCATCTTCAAAATACTCTTCCGAGTTGAATGGAAGCCCATCTTTGAAACGTGACGATGAACTGCGCACGGAAGCTGTCTCGTCGATAGGTGCCTCTTCGCGGTCACGTCTCCAGTCAAAATCTTCAGACAGTACAGGTGAGCGTGATGGAGGGGGAGGTAACGGTTTGCCTAATTCTTTTCCGAATTCCCGGAATAATCTCTCTAATCCAGGTTGCATCTGCCTTGCGATCATTGGGAAATGTGACAATAGTTCTGCAAAGGTCTTGATCTCCTTCTTTGCGGGCGAGGAGGCCGACTCCCCAGACTTGGCACTGCTGCCTGAAATACTCTTCTTTGGCAGTGTCCCTGGCACCACAGCAGAAATGATCTTGCCGGGTTCGAACGAACCGATTAATGGTCGGGAGATGTAGTAGATAAGCCATGGTTGGGACGCATTGCTTGGTGTGTAATAGAGGGCGTCAGACAGCAGCTGGGCTTGGGTTAAAGACTTGAATCCTAGAAATGCGGCTTAGCACATGCAAAGAATTAAGGGACGGTCTCCCTTTCCCACCTTTATTGCTGTAAACTGAATTCTCTTTTATGATCACGGTGCGGCCATTAGCGGTAGTCACCTGCTTTGCCTTCCCCCTACTGTCGCGGACATTCGTGTCATCCTTTGTTCCGGCGGTTCCATTTGTGACGGGAATTCGGAGCGCATGGCTGCCTAAAAATTCCTCGGAGACGACGAGGTCAGAATAGTAAAGAGACGACTCGCGATCGCGGGAGCCGATTAGCGATTCGGTCACAGGAACAAGGAGAACCTATAGAATGATGTTAGAGCTTGTCACTGAAGTATAGCCCCGCATAGTTCCGCTGAACGTACATGGTTCTCAGTTGGTATACACTGCCCCGGAACAGTGCTTCGGAAGAAGGCACGCAGGAAAGGATTTAGAGGGTGCATCCAAACGGTCTTGGACGACGTCCCAGTTGAAGAGCTCCGGACTTCATCAAGTCGTTGTGTTTCAATTCGCGAGGGGATTTACTGCTCGATCGCCACAGGGGAGGAGCAGCTCCGGCGCATGTGCTTGCGGGGGAGATATGGACAGAAACTCAACGTAATGGGAAATGGCGTAGTCAAAGCTAAACACACAAGAGATAGAAAACGAAAGATGACGCAAATAATGTAAATCCCGGGGAAATCAATGGTCCAGGGCAAGGAGGAGCAGCGTTTCAGTTACAACAGCTTTCGCGGAGGCCGCAAGAGCTCCTCGCGCTATACCGTATTAGGCAATCTAACTTGTTGACGGAAATCTAGACAACGTGATGGCATGGCATAGAACGACATATGACAAGTAAACTATTTAATTACAATACATGAGAAGATTATGAAGATCTCGCATAATTGAAAAAATATCCCGTGGATTCCCGGTACCAAATTGGCTAATATACAGATATAAGTGACAGAACAAACCATTTCAAGAGAGCTTCTCTTCTCTTTCCCTCCAATAAATCCAAAAACAATGCTGGGCTGTGAATCGTGTATCAAAGCTAGAGACATGTCGCATGGCATGTAGCATGTTCCGCCGCCACTCAGGATATATATGGATCGAAAATGGCCTCACGACAGTGCACCTTCAACCACGGCATTTCCAGACGGATGTACGACCAGAGAGGATCACCCTGAAACCCAAGATATGAAAATGATCTAACCGAGTCTCCGCACCTTCCTGCTTCGGGTACCACCAAACTTTATACGAGTCGAGTCCGTGACGCGACTGACTAGCCCACGAATGTTCTTACCCTCGTTACCCAGGAGAACCTTGGTGAAAGCCTCACGACCCAGTCCAAACCCGCGAAATACGATCTCCAACCGATTGATATCAAGAAGATAGCCCCGTTCCTGCATCTGACCGAACACATGGGACGTCAACTGGTATGCTGGGTCGTATCCCGAACGATGTCCTTTGCGGAAACCGAGATGGCCGGAGCTCATGGATAACAGTGGGTTGCCATTAGGCCGTGTCAAGGTCAAAATAGTGTTGTGTTTATGTGAGAAGACGTGTAGGTGGTGCGGAGGAGCACGGTCGGCGTAGGGTTGCTTAATCATTTCGGCTTCCAGGCTCTCTGCCATTCTGGAGTAATCACGGCTCACATTCTGATTTGTGCGAGTCCTCTCTCCCTGCATCATCTTGGTGATCGCGGAGAGGGCAGAGTTCTCGTCAGCGGCTGCCTCGGGCTTCGCATTCAGAATCTGCCTCTCAATTTGCCGGTTCTTGCCTTTAGCATCCGACGCGGATGTTGCATGGGTTGAGGAGAACGGTCTGATGAGCCGAATCGAAGAGGTACGAAGTTGGCATTGCCGACCAACTGAAGGCAATGCCTTCAACAGGGAACTCGCAAACGTGGTGTTCATCTTTTGCTAGGGAGGCAGAAATGTCGGGGATATGCGGCGAAGGTAGTCGGAAAGAGCGTGGCGGATGAGACCGACCAACGCAAGGAAAACAGGAGGGTGGTAACACAGCTATGTCCCACTAACGAAGGCAATTAGGCAATCCTAAGTAAAGAGGTCGATCTGGTCGCAAAGTACCTCGGGCAATTGGGATCGTGAACGGCGCAACGGTGGTTCGGGACAGAAGGCGGCGGAAAAGGGCCCGAATTTTCGAGTCTTGGCATTTACATCTCAACTTTTTCTTTCTCCCTCTCCATTGACTCCGCGGCCGAAATCGCTTCTTCCTCGCCTCCACATCCGACTCCTCAATTCCCCCTTCACCCTCGGGGCGCTGCTGACCTCATACTCTTTTTAACTCCTCTTTTTCATCTGTCTGGCATCTCTTCGTATCATACATAGCATGATTTCCGCTACTAGAATGTCGGCTACCGCGCGGGCGGCCACCTTGCGGTCTCAAGTACCGAGTTTGAAAACAGCTGCTTCTCAGCGGTCATCCATCCACTCTTACTCGACAGCGCCTACAGCCAGAATCTCCCTTTCTTCCAATACTGCACGCGCAAACCGTCCTGTCTCTCAAATCCTTTCCCCGTACGCTGCTCTTCCACTCACGCGATCTTTCCATGTCAGCGCTTCTCGCTGGCAACAACAAGAACAGAAGAAAGAGAAACAATCTGAGGAATCTAAGGAGGAAAAGGACGAAGGCAAGTCTAAGGAGGAAAAGGATGAAGGCAAGTCTGAGGAGGAAAAGAAGAATGCGCCTCCTCCCCCTCCTCACGGAGACAAGACTCCCTGGCAGGTCTTCAGAGAGACTCTGCAGACAGAGTTCAAGGCCTCCAAGGAGTGGAATGAGTCCACTAAGGCTCTTGCATCTTCAGCACACCAGTTTACAGAGAATGAGAATATTAAGAAGGCTCGTGCCGCCTATGAAGCCGCCCATGGAGCGGCAGCAACTAGAGGCGGAGCTGCCTTGAAGACCACCGGTCAAGCCCTCGGCAAAGGAGCTTCCTGGACATGGAATACTCCCGTGGTTAAGGGTATCCGCAAGGGTGTTAATGCGACCGGTTCTGGAATCGAGAAGGCCACCCGGCCCGTGAGAGAGACTGAGGCCTACAAGAACGTCAAGGAGGCCATTGACGATGGTAGTAGCTCCCGCTATGGCGGTTATATTGAGAAGGAGGAGCGCCGCAAGCTGAGGAAGCAGCGTGAAGAGTTGGAATTGAAGTCTGGCAAGCGGATCGAACCCATGGTCGAAGATCCAAAGTAAGTCGTTCTCCCCAGACGGTATTGGTTGCTCTGTTGCTAACCTTGCGCTACCTCGTAGTGCCGGTACCAACGTCACACTTCATAAGGACTCTGCCTGGAAGGAGTCATGGCGCGATTTTAAGGACTCCAACCCTATGATGCAGAAACTATTTGCTTTCAAGGAAACTTATAACGAGTCTGAGAATCCGTTGATCAGCACCGCCCGCAGCATTTCCGACCGTGTGGCTGGGTTCTTTGCCGAAAATGAAACTGCCCAAGTCATTAAGAAGTTCCGTGAAATGGATCCCAACTTCCAGATGGAGGAATTCTTGCGCGAGATGCGTGAATATATCCTTCCTGAGGTTTTGGACGCGTACGTCAAGGGAGACGTTGAGACCCTCAAGCTTTGGCTCTCCGACGCTCAGTTCAGCGTCTACGCTGCCCTTGCCAAGCAGTACACAACTGCCGGCCTCAAATCCGATGGTCGTATTCTCGATGTCCGTGGCGTTGAAGTCATGAACGCCCGTATGTTGGATCCTGGTGATATTCCTGTGTTCGTGGTGACTTGCCGTTCACAAGAAGTACATGTGTACAAGAACGTGAAGACTGGCGAGCTTGCCGCTGGTATGGAGGATAAGGTCCAGCTGATCACTTACGCCATTGGTCTCACAAGGATACCTGAAGATGTTAACAACCCGGAGACCCGGGGTTGGAGACTGATCGAGTTGCAGAAGGCTGCTCGTGACTACATCTAAACGGCCCCGAACAGATTTCTCCCTTCAACGTACCCATTCTTCCTCATTCGACGATCATATTATAACCGACCAACCATGTCTTGATTATCGGCGATTTTTGATGAATTACCTCCCCAATATTTCTCTTCTCCATTGTTTTGATATCATCCGACTGTACAATATGAACTTTCCAAAACTCATAGAGCCAGGTGGAACCAGTGCTTCATGTTATGTGTGATAGTAGCCATTGCTAATTTTTCTGGATGTTCTTGTTTTCTTCCTTTTCTCTCTTTATATCCATTTCCTCGACTGCTGCCTGGGTGTGGGTTTCGGCTTCTCCGGTACACACGACTGGATGGCGATATCTGAGCGCACGGTAACAGTGTCATTTCCATACATAAGTTGGTTTAATGGTCTGCCTGGTGTATTCGGCGTTTTCTGCTATTAACTACAAGATCAACGCTCCACTCTCCTCATCACTTGCATCTGGATGTATGTCCAGCTTGTTCGCCAATATATATTTTAGTCCGAAAGCCATGACAAATCATTATTTATTTAAAATTTCCCTAGGCTACTCAAGAGACTCATTCACTATAAAAAACTCTACTCATGCAAAATAACCAGGAATCTTGCAGGGAGCTGAACTTTTGTTACCGCTTTGGCGTAATCGTGGGCGTAAATATATAATCATATTCATTCCGTAACATAAGGACCAAGTTTCCCAAGATATACATAGCCAAGGTTAAGTAAATAATATATAATATGAATGATCCCTTAAAGCAAACGAGATACCCGGAATTTAATAAACATCAGAGCAGTTTCTTATTTATTGACCACGTCCGGCACCACCAGCACCACCAGCGCCACCAGCGCCACCACCACCCATTAGATTCCGAGCCCTGCCCAAGTTAATTAGCTTCAAAGCCACATTATTGTTTCCACAGGTGTAGGACTTACATGTCAGCGATGTTAGGGTCGCTCATCAGGCTCGACATATCTGGCATTCCACCGCCACGGCCGAAGTTTTCTGCCATCTGCCTCAACTGAGGGTTGCTCATGAGGTTGCTGAGCATGTCCGGGTTGCTCATCAGATTCTGAGCCATGCTGGAGAACATAGGGTTATTCATGAGGGAGCCAAGGTCGGGCATGCCGCCAGCACCACCGCCGCCACCGCCCATCAAGCCGGCGAGGGAAGAGAGATCCGGCATACCGCCAGCACCGCGGCTTGCTCCGGCGGCATCGTCAACAGCATCAGCAGGAGGTTCGGCACCGCGAGTAGATTCTGCGATCTTTCTCTTGGAGGTCTCCAAGCCTCTCTTCATGGCCTCGCTGCCACCATTACCTTCAGCTTCGATACCCTTCTCATAGGCCTCCTTGGCGCCGTGGAAATCAGCCAGGTCAAAGCGAGCAAGACCCAGACGGCTCCATGCCTTGGAATACTTGGGGTCGACGGCTGTGGCGAGCTCGGCATCCTCGGCCGCCTTCTCGTGTTGACCGGAGGCGGAATAGGCAGCAGCACGGTTGGAGAGGTAGATAGGGTTGGAGGGGGCAATTGCCAAAGCCTTAGTGTAGAGATCGATAGCGGAGTTGTAGTCCTTGCGCGCCATGGCAGCATTGCCCTCCGACTTAAGCTTGTCAGACTCAGCGGTAGGAGCACCAGTCTGGGGCTTCTGGCTCGAGCTGGCCTGCGCACCGGCACCAGCAGAGTCACCCTTATTGCGGAGCTTCTCGTAGACACTGTAGATGCTTGCAAGAGACTGACCGCCGAGAGCTTCCTTCACAGCAGCCTCATCGGAAGGGTCAACCTTGAAGGTATCCGCTATGCACGACTGAGCAATTTCGATCGATTCTGCGTCATCAGCAGTAAGGGTTCCATCCTTCAAGCTGGAGCCCAGAAAGTCGACAATTGCGAGCGCCAAGCGCTTCTTGGACTCTGTAGGAGCCTAGAGATGGGGCAAATTAGCACGGGGATTGAACACAAGATGCGCAACGGAGGAATCATGCCATGATATAAAAATTAGCTGGGATATCGCTGTAACAGGACTTCGCTTGTCTGGAGAAAGATCACCGTCGCGGGGGATTTTGAATGCGGGGACTAAAGCAGTAACTGTACTGTTTGGCACGTTTGCCTGTAAGCTCCCGTGCACGTGATAGCCGTTGCTGCCGTCACCCTCAACATCCGGTATACACTTTGCGTTTCTGTACGTCGCAGTCGGAAAAAGTATTAGATGATTATGGTCGGTTGTCCTGGGATTGACTCTGTCCCGAGTCCGACAGAATAACTCTTCTACGCCCGACGAAGATGACTCAATGTCAGCTCGCTCTTCACGACTTTCTCACCTGTGACGAGCCATGTACTGGCCCAATGGAGTACCTCGGGTCTATGCGGTCAATGGCCCTGCGATTCCCTTCGTGCCGTCCGACGATACTGAAGAATTAGATTTGGAGCGCTCTGTGGAACAGAGACTATCGCTGAATGACAATGGACCCAAGGAACCGTCCAGGGAGGAGGTGGCCTGGGCTGATGAGGCCATTGACGGCATCTGCGTCTCTCGGAGTGGCCATATGTTTGCGACTATGACGGATACTTCAATAGCTGTGTGGCAAACAAAAGTATGTCTCGGTTGAGTGATATCTACTTGGACGTATACATGTGTTGACTGGTCCCTAGCCGACCGCTGTTGTCGCCGCTGTCGCCCGATCCGCTTCGTCACTTAACACTTATGGCCCGAATGTAGCTTTGCTGATGCACCCCGACTCGACGATAATTGTTGTTCAGACGCTCAACGGATACCTCCTCACGTATACAGTTGCTACCGATCCACATGGCCATGTCTATCAGCAGCATTTCGATCACTCTGCCCAAACCCGCCGGCAGCAGCTTGCCCGCGAGGAGGATGCGAATGGCGTCCGGGACGCCAGTATTCGCTTTAGGATGGCTATTAAGATAGAATCTGGAATTGTGAAAGCTCTGGCGCTGGACAGCGA